TCAGCATGTTACCTCCCGAGTTGGGCATGTGTACTCCTCTCCGCCAGTTACTCCTCTACAACAATAACATTCAAACTATCCCCCCGGAACTTGGCGCCCTGCATTTCCTGGAATTACTCGGTGTCCACGGCAATCCGCTGGAACAAGACCAAAAGCAGAAGCTCGTTGAAGAAGGTACTAAGGCCTTGATTGCCCACCTCAAGGAGCAAGCACCAGGTATGAGGAAATTTCTTAACTTTCTCAAATTCCCCGCGTATAACTGGTTTACAGCCTATATCATCCAAGTAGACACTATTAACTGACTTTGTTTTTAGTACCTATACCACCGAACCCGCGTTTACCCATCACCATTCAGGAAGATGTAGGTTCGGATAAGGAGCACATTCGAGTCATGTCGTGGAATACCCTTTGCGACAAGTATGCAACCAGTACGCAATACGGTTACACCCCAGCTAGTGCCCTGTCGTGGGAGTATCGGAAGGATAGTATCATGCGGGAATTCCGTGAACGAAGCGCCGATATTCTCTGCCTACAGGAGACCGCTATGGATGCGTTCGAGACGTTTTTTACCCCGGAGCTTGGTAAACTTGGCTACAAGGGCGTATTCTACCCGAAGACTCGTGTCAAGCACTTAACAGGCAAGGATCAACAGTCCGTGGATGGTTGTTCTATCTTTTATAAGAACGACAAGTATATCCTGTTGGATAAGCAGCTAGTAGACTTTAGGCAGACGGCCATCAATCGACCTGATATGAAATCTGCCGATGACGTCTTCAATCGAGTCATGCCGAAAGACACCATTGCTGTCTACTGTTTCTTCGAGTCAAGGTTTACTGGTAATCGGTTCATCGTCGTCAACGCACATCTATGCTGGGAATCATTTTTAGCCGACGTCAAAGCCGTGCAAACAGGAATTTTGATGGAGCTTGTTACGAAGCAATCGGAGAGGTACACGCGTCGGCCGGCCCTATCGATCGAGGAGAAGAGGTTCAGCAAGCCTGTAGTCGCGGAGGAAGATGCAGACGCTGCTGAAGAATATCCCGAGCCGGCGCCTAGTCAGGAGTACCGCAACAATACTGACATTCCCCTATTTCTTTGTGGTGACTACAATTCGATGGCTGATAGTTCTGTATACGAACTCTTGGAGAAGGGACGGATACCACCCGATCATCCCGACTTAATCGGCCACTCGTACGGGAATTTTACGCGTGACGGCATCGAGCATCCTTTTAGCCTGCGCAATGCCTACGCCCACCTATTTGGAACTCCAGCGGAGCTAAGTTTCACGAACTACACACCGACGTTCTCGGGCGTGATCGACTACATATGGTATACTACCAATACGCTGGACGTCGTCGAGTTACTTGGGCCTCCGGATTATGAGTATCTCAAACGCGTTCCCGGATTCCCAAACTACCATTTCCCGGCTGACCACATACAAATCATGGCGGATTTCGTCTTTAAGTCAAGGAAAGACAAGAAGGTGATTGCCGACCAAGATAGGTCCGGCGGTCCCTCTAGGAATTGAGACCGGGCCTGGATACATTGCGGCACCGGGTAAATGAATACAAGAGAGCGCACGTCTCTCGAACCTTGGTCCGGAGGCCTCGCTGCATTCTAAATTCCACAAATATGCACCCATAACGATGGAAATGCCTTATGAAGATTGCGGCTCAAAAGACCTGAAGGAGACGGAATGCGCTAGCTGCGTGTATATGAAGGGATGAGGTGTGATGCAGCGAAATCTCTTCTCATACATTGAGGACGGGTTTTGGCAAGGTAGAGTTAGGTTGGAAATCTCGGAGTGCGGTTTGCAACGTGGAGTGAGGATGGTTGTTTTTTCGCGATTTGATCTCTGCCCTTTATGTTCCCAGTTTTATTATTTTGGCGGTCCAACACGTTACCTTTACAAATGAAGATACGGGCTGCGTCGTTTGCAGTCTCTGTTCCTCTTAACTCTTGCATTCCGTGTTCATGAGTCTTCTATGATAAGAGATTGAGTGATGTAGTCCCGCGTAACTGTTCGATCACGGGCCGTCGAGTTTATGTCTACGAACCAGTCCTCAAGATACCATCGCGATTTGGTTTACGCGGTTTTTTCTTGTATTTCCCGTTGCCTACCTACGTCACGATAATGATTGATGCGTATAGACGACTGATAAATAAGCAACAAAGACAGATTACGCGAGCAGTCAGTACATAATAGAACTTTGCGACGTATTGCAAAATTAGCTATAGCAATTCCATTATTGATGGCAGGATTCGAATTCGGGAACGCGTGAACAATAAATGCTTGTCCTAGTTAAGAGATAGAACAACGTAGGCTGAAGCTCTTGGATTTAGTAGTCTTAGGACTTTGGAGACGTAGTGGAGGGCTCGGGTTGTGCACGAACTTATGGTAAAAGGGGCTGAAGAACTATGAACTTAACCAGAGCCAAGGCAAGACCATTAATATATCGAGAAATCTTCCGTCTCACCTATTTCAGTAGCCCAGGCATCTAATACAACCTTAAAGGGTATACGTCCTACGAGAATGCTATCGAAAAACGTTGATCTCGTCATCGTCGGCAGTAACCCTCGGGTAGGTCTCAGCTCTCTTACGCGCTTATACAAACACATGAGCCTGTCTGACACGTTGGTCGGTGATAACGTCTAGGAGTCGCTCCGGGTTCGGCAGATGGAGTCGCGGAGTTCATTCACGACGGCTCGGGTATAACCAACACCCTTATCTTCATTCTCCTTCGAGAATTAACATTGACGTATAAGCCAATTCCGGAGATCCTGGTTGGGTCATCAACTTAGCCGGATTGGTATTATCTGACCTCGACGAACGCTCTTACTAGTCGACACTGCGTCGTCATTGGTTTACCCGAGTCTTGGCCAACGCCACAGAGAAGCAGAAAAAGAAAAACTTCTTGACGCTGTAGAATCCCCATGCTGCTGTTGTATTAGAGGCAGAGAGAACGGAGTTAGCTATACAACCTCGCGGGCATGTTATCATCGTCTACTAGCGCTTACACTTGCTGAGAATCGTTGGGACTTTGATATATAATTTACATTAGAACCGAGCCCCCCCCACGTCGACAAGCATCTCTAGAAAAATTCCCTATTTCGGTATAATTTTCGAGACCCAATGCCTTAGGTACCTAGTTAGTCAGGGGCTCGGTTGGCGATGAACAAATAAATGCCGTACGCCCCTGTCCCTACCCGAAAGAAGGATTCGCCTACAGCCGTTGCATTGTTGACGCCACCGAGTATCACATCAGCATCCTGTTTTTCGGATCTTACCGTAGATCCGAGCTATCTCTCTCGCTTGCGCAATATGCCTAACAGTTCAAACCTGATCTAGAAACTAGATATTTTAGTAATTACCTCTTTAGCAGTGGCGGTAACACTGAGGCTCACGCGGGATTTAATAAGGACAAGGCACGAGATATCGCCTGGTCAAAAGCCACCGCCGCACCTAATTGTTTAGCTACATATCGCCGGTGCCGCGAGCGCTTACTGATGTTCCGGATTAAGAGCTCCGTGTAATGTGGCTGGAGATAGAGCAGGCGGCTTCAGCATTCCTTCTCTCATATTTTGATGTCACCGCAGATCAGTGTTCGGTATTGTAGAGCATAGAGCATGAATACCAGGTTATTAAATGCGACTCCCGTTTTCACCGAAGCGGTGTAACTGGTTCCTCGGTTGGAATTAATAAGTCTTGGCTAGATAGCCAAGACTATTCTGTGGGATATGTGTATGTGTGTGTGTGGGCGTGTCGTTATAGTTATCATGATGCGAGTCAGAAAACACCACGCCGTTACACTAGGGCCCGTGAACTTAAATGCCGGGACTGCGGGGTATATCCTGTCAGATTAGTCAGCCATGAATATGATCAATTAGACCTCATATATCGCCTTTTCAGTACGTATTAGTTGTGTGACACTTATAATATCATAAAATGTCATTACTTATTATATGCGATACATCCCCCCAGGTTTCGATAAGGCGGCAAAAACTAATGCTTTTATGTTTAAAATTATGCTCGTTATTTAACTCAAACGTGAAATCTTTTAAGTAATATACTAATTGGCAAGGATTAAAATCTGGCACGGTTTTTTCTTAATATTAAATCGGAATTAAACATATAAAACTCTTAATTATTAAATTATCCACTTAACCAAAAGGTAATTTATAATGTTATAAAATGTCATTACTTATTATATGCGACAAGTAAAAACAACGCGGTATCGTTTAATTCTGTTGGTTAAAAGTGCTTAAGTTAGGGTCGTACATCGTTAAAATACGACTGAAGTTTAGCATAAGCAGAATAAACTCTCATAATTTAATATCTCGCCGGCCCATCTCCAATTATCTCTAAATCGACGTTGTATCATGTATACACCTAAAGGATCTTATAAAGTGATATATCACATTGACTCTTGCTGCTCATTTGACGATTACATGAACATAATCTATCTATCTCCCTTACATGAAAACAGCTCTGTACTATGCAAAGTGAAGTATTTACTACACATAGAATGGTGGCGAGTTCTCATAGATGGATGTATATAAGTTAAAGGGGATTGGATTTACGTATGATTTCTACTACTGCTTTCGGCACCTCGGATGGCTTAGTCTCCTATAATACTGATACTACGTCTAAGTCAGCTCAAGGATCTTTTTATATTAACATTCTATATTTATAAAGAGCCACACTCAGGAGGTAGTATGGCCTATGCTGGGTACCTTACCTAAGATATGCAAACTGCAATTCGACGTGGACATTGAGCATGGCGAGCGTGATACGCGAGATACAGCTGTGTTACCCATAAAGACCTCGCTTATCCAATGCCGACACCCCCCTAATATCGCTCCCGATTCTACCCCTTGATGGTAGGCCAAGGAACGGGCGTCATCCGAGCAGCTTTATCGCTGAGTTATAGCCTATCATGGGAGCCAGGTGACTACCTATACGCGTAAAGCCTTCGTTAAAGATCGATGGCTTCTTTCATTTCGTACCCCTAAGGAGGCGACGGGTCGCTGGTATAAGAATAAATACTGTCGAGTCTCCGTAGCTTCCAACCCTTGGTCATATTGCTCCGCCATTTATAATCTCTGCAACGAGTACCGAGATGTCTGCTAAGAGTCTACCAGAGATAGTCCTTGTTCCGGGGGCATTTGGAACAGCCGCCTGCTACGACAAGCTACTGCCGTTCCTCAAAGAAGCCGGTTTCTCAACACACCCAGGGCCATACCCTAGCTATAACCATGCCAACCCAGCTGAAGCGACTTGCATAGATGATATTACCTCTCTCCGCAACAATATCATCCTACCTCTGGTAGAAGAACAGCAAAGGAACGTCGTCATCATTGCGCATTCGTATGGCTGTGTCCCTGCTAACGCTGCAGCTAAGGACCTCGACAAGCAGACCCGAGAAGCGCAAGGTAAAAAGGGTAGCGTGATTGGACTAATATTCATAGCGGGCATAATCACTCTGGATGGCGAAACTGCGGTTGAGGCGATGGGCGGACTACCGCCGTACGTGCGAATGGAAGGGGTATGACCTGTCCTAGTAATTGCTTGATATAACAGGTCTGTACTGACTCATGTATTTAGGATACGGCGTTTGTAAAAGAAGCAATGCACTACCTGTACCACGACTGCGACCCCGCCATGGTATTCGAGTTAGACAAGCACCTAGCTGGCCACGCGGCTCCGGCCCTTGCTACCAAGCCCACAGCACCGGCGTGGGCGGACAGTGGCTTTGATGGAAGAAGAGTGTACCTGCGAACGCTAAACGACCGATGCAAGCACCTATCGGAGCAGAACCAGTGGCTTAAGAAGACGAACGTGGAATGGAAGGTGATGGACTACGAAACTGGCCATTATCCGTTTCATAGTCAGCCTAAAGCTGTAGCGGCACATATCGTGGAGTGCATCAACGACTTCGTCTCATTGTAGATCAAAGAGCGGACATTAGGGTGCTATGGTATCAGACGTTGAGGTTTAGTAAATACCCCCTCACAGAACAATTTGCATTGTTCTCAGAGCTAGACCTTATCTATTACCATATACAAAGCCAAGATCGGGTTGGACGAGATGAAAGATATGTTCCGCTGTCGAATAGTTATATCTATCGGGTGTACAATGAATAACACGCAAGGAATGTGCGAGGCATGTTGAACTTACTATACCAATGGTTTCTTAATATATTACGTGCAATGCAAACTCATCTTTCATGCCCAGTCTCCGAGCCCGACTGGCCCGGATGTCTTTGTACCCAAGTCCCGAGGCTCCGCTTTTCGGTCCGGATCGGATCGGATATCCGTAATTTCTATAAACGGAACCGTCCGGGACGGCGGAAGATCCTTTCGTTTTACATCAAACGACGCGACAGAAAGCGTACAATGATTCATACCAAGTCGCATTGAGCACTGCTCTTCTCTCTTTAGCCCAGCGTCCCATTTTGCATCCACGGATAAGCTACGTTCATAGCTCGTTTTATCTTGTAAATGGACACACACCGCCCAACCGACAACTCTGCCTGTATCAGTCGACATTTCCCCGGTTGAAACACCGGCAGCATACTGTGAAGATTTCTCTTCGGTCGGTCTCACTGCAAGCATAGTCTTTATCTGCATGGCTATTCCTTTTTGGCTTAGAAGATCACTGTTTCTAACAAATCCAACGCATATTACTTTAGCACGTACCAAGGAATATACAAACCGTTATGTATCTCGCTATGATATCGGGATATAAATCAAAGTTCACTAATTATATTGCAAGAATACGTATAGAGACGAGCATAAATGCCTTCATGTGACTTATATTTAAACAAATGGATTAAAAAAAGTATTTATTTCGATGCTCTAAAAACATTTTCACGAGTCCAAGACAAGCCAGCGCAAGTCAAAGCCAGATAAGTAAAGTTATTTCATAGCGGCAAAAGTTTAATGAATAACGTTAAATCGCTCGTCTCAGCGCACCTAATACCTTACATGTAGATATCTTACATACAGATGCCTATATAAATCCTTCTCTATTATTACAAGACAAAAAACCTCCATCTTTCCCACTAAATGCTTAACCCGGACTGCCACATTGCAAACGTCACCTTCGATAGCAAGACACCAACAGCATCATGAGTCAAGCACCGCCATTTATCTCTTGGGAAACTGTAGGATATTTTTTCCTTATTGGTATACCTGTTTTGGCAATCTACGGCTTTATCCTCATGCTTTCGACCGAGGACGGACGGGAGATACTGTGCGGACGTTACACGGCAACCATCCGCCCTGAGCGCGCTATGAAGGACAATTACTCTTCTGTGCCCGTTGATCCTCCTGCGTACGACGAGACATCTGTGAAAAACGACCTCCCTGTCAATGATGACCTTCCTGTGAACGACGACCCTCCTATGTACGACGGTACTCCTGCGAACAGTGGTCTTCCTACAAACCATAGCCATGCAATCGGTTCTTACCCTATATACTATTACGTTCCCATATATTATTATGTTCCCGCATACAAAAATATTCCCCCACACAACACTCTATATACGAGACTCTACCGGACGACAAGCTCCCCACGACAGGAACCCCCCAACATCCACGAATCTTCCCCATGGAGTACACACTGAGGTATGTTAGCCGTGAGATCTAGAGCGACCAGAGTCATAAAGATGTTAATTGTATAATAAGGTAATTGGACGGTCTGGTCCGACTAGGGTATCTATTAGGGGAAAGGAAAGGGAGCGGAGCTAAGAATAGAATATGGCTAGGGCAAAAGATATGCTTGACTCAAGTGGTGATGATCTCAATCAGTATACTGTTGTAGCCTAAGCTTCAACCTAAATCAATACACCGCCACATACTTGGATAATGTAATATGTAGTGAGCTAGGTTAGTAAGGCTAAGTCCGTGACAAACACCATCTAGGCCATGAATGTCGTCGCTTCCTACCTAATAATATTCCAGGCCCGCGTCAAGGCCACGACCAATTGCCTGTAGGGCTCTAATGCCCACTGCGAAGATAAAGTGTATTCAACACCATAAACCAAAAGGATAAAAATTAAAATCAATATGAATAAAACAAAACTGCCGACCGAAATCATCAACCTGTCTCACAGTCTGGGTAAGTAGGTAGCTTCGCGTAGAGCGCTGGCGAAGGAGTCGACGCCAGCACCACTGCTGTATTGTTCACGAGAAACAATGACTGGACCTTCTATATGCATTGCATGGGTGGCCATTTGTCATGTATCTGAGCGTGCCACCTTAGGTACCCGAGAAATTGTCGGGTTGGGTGTTTGTCGTAGTGAACGAATAGATAAAAGGGCAAATAGATGGATAGGTGCTTGACGATGCATTGGTATGATACGTCTAAGATAATACTGCGTAGTTATGAGGATGTGCCAAGTTTGCTGTGAATAGATGCAAGAGACTATAGCAACTAAGACGTTCTCATGGATCCGAATAAGATAGGTAAATAGCCTAGTATATGGATTGTTGTTCTGGATTATCCAATATAATGATGAAGTGTGTAGAAAGCGTTCCAGTCTTGCTATGTGTTGGGTCTTCTCTCGGTATACCTGTCAATTCCTGAACTTGGCTCACTTCTCTTACTTTCCCGTAGTATAGTCACTTCCTTCGTCAACCATGTTATAAAGAATGTCTCGCATTCAATCCACGAAATCCACTATATTCGTCAAATTATATTCCACATGAAAATTATATTTCCTATAGTTATTTCCTATAGTTACGTGTAGGTACCCAGGTAGGTAAGATTCATAAGTTGCTTGGTAAGTTCCTCGACTCTCGAGTACAATTGTTAGGCAGGTGGTGCAGGGTTGAGACGATCGACTTGGTAAGAGACCCATGCGTTGGTATGGTTATTACAAACGAAGGGACTGCCAGTATGACTTGTTGAAATGATAGTTCCTTCATCTTTACATAGTGGATCGCTATGTGCGCGGACTACATCATAAGGCAACATCTGTTAGTAACAGCGATATACGATATACAGATTGATCAACTCACAAACCCATCCGTTAGCCATATGGAGGTACATAGAACTAAAAGGGTCGCCATAATGATTGCAGGTACCAGTCATCGACTGAGTCACTGTGCCTACCCCTTGGTTGTCTGCTGAACAACCCGTCTGAGTAAATGTCCTAAGATCACCAACATAAGGATCAGATCGTGGAAGGGGTCCTGCCATAGTGGTAGCAACGAGGGCGCTAAGGCCAGTGAGGACAGAAGTGAAGTACATTGCAAGAAATATTAAATCGTACCAGAGGTTAGATAGATATCCCTAATTTCCTGCTTGTCACAGGAGACATTCGAAAACTGAACACGTGGGTGTCCGTGTCTTTATAGAATAAACACCTATATCATTAAGCCCTTCAGGATGGTCGAGTGCTTTAATCCTCGTCATTAGCTCAAAGTTAAATACTCTAGGAACTTCGCCATCGAGAAGAGCTGGGAAGGAGAGCAGCCTATGAATATATGGACCCTTCAAAGAAAGCCAATCTAGACAGGATAGTATGATATGTGTTAACCTTACTCTAGTTTTAAGACTCACGATTCCGTCATACATGAGTAGCTATCAGGGTATATAGTATGGATACTTGAACCTAGTAGGACGCACATAATGTAAGCAGGTAATCACCATTCGATAAAGTTTCCTAGTCTCATTACTGTATTATAAAGCATACCTACCTACCTAGGTAGTTAGGGGCTTTTCTTTTGATAAGTTCGTTAGGCTAATCATGTTTACATACCTAATGTACTGGAGTGCTAGAGTGCTAGAGTGCTTGGCTGAGACTATTCCATGAGGGTTGCCGATATCCGGGAGTGAAACCCCAGTAATTTAAACATAGCGACAGTGAAGTTCCCGTCCCGTTAAGAAGGGTTGTTCCACCAATTCAGCGGAGACCAAGATTTGGTTAGAGATTATTCGCGAGTACACTGTGACGTGATGGTGTAGAGAAAGATTGGACCTTCCCAATAGATTTATCAGAGCTTGACTCGGTTTTCCTGGAGAGAATCCATAGTAAATATTTAAATCGACTATACATAATTCGACGAATAGAAGATCTGGAGATAGTCAACACCCGGCAGACTTGTGGATGTATGGATGTGTGGGTGGATTTGGATAGGTTAAATGCAAGCAAGGAGTCTTGTGCAGAGTATCTTATCCGAAATCTCGGTAAGTTGAAAACTAACAAAGGAAGATATATCCTTTAGGTTACCTTGTTCTAGGTACTCAAACGATATATCGATAAAAGGTTGTTACCCTTAAGCTTTTTGACAGTGCTGCAATGATTAAAAAAGATGGCAACAATTATTCACATGCAGACTCGGTGGTGTAACCTTAGGTACATAATTCAGGTACCACATAATGATGTCAGCGTGCTACCGCCAGTAATTTCCCGGCCTTAGCGCCTTCCTCCCGCCACTTCATCCCCTGGCCTGGCGCGTCACGAAGAAAGCTACCTACCTTAGGTACCTAACCTTACTAGCCAGTGTCGAATTGATTAACGGAATTTAACCTCAGTTACCTACCATAGACCCTTTTCGCAGACCTCAACCTCAAAATCACCAACATTTGTAGAACGTTGACTCCAAAGCCTCATCTGCCTCTTAGTGGAGGAAACGGATCTCCTTATCCAACATTCCTTTTTTTCCAGTCCAAGTGACGCTTTTTGAGTATGCACCGTTTCCATAGTTCAACATTTCCATTCCGTAGCCGCATCTTCATAGCCGATCGATCGAAACGATATCCACGATGCCTGGCGGACTAGAAGCATCACGTTGGGCCTCAGCCCCAAGCAATTATCGCATCAACAAACCACAAGGTAGCCGCCGTCGCTCCGCGCGAACTTCGTCGACTCTATCACTATCAACCCCCTCAACCAAATCAGCCTCTCAATCCGATAACTTCCTTACCCAAGACAGCTTATCCGACGGCCCACCCCCGCCCGAATACGAGTTATCTCGATTCCTCAAGATTGTCGCTCGTCTCAATTGGAAAATGCCGTTCCTTAAGGAGGGATATCGCATAGCTATAGATCATACCGGCAAACCACCCTCTCAAATCGAAGCTCACGAGATTCAATTTAAGCTGGACTTCCATGAATTCTACATGCTCATTGAGCGAGCCCTGGTCCGCCTGATGGGCATATTTGGAATCGTCGTGAAGAATCAAGGCGCTACAATCAACGGCGTTTTCACGCTATACGGCAGCTCAGGGGGCGGTCAGCACCAATACCATGCAAACGTTCTTAGGGCGCTTGAAGACTCGAAAAACCCCCTCAGTGTCATATTTGGGGCTGCCGAAGTCCGGAAGCAGCTCTTGCAAGCTAAAGATCTCCGCAACCGCTGGAAGAACATTGACGAGGCAGACTCAACATCGCTTCCACCCGCGCCGCTCTCGACCTATAACCTCGAGCTTATTGTGCAGACTATTCTTTTGGCGATCGAACGCGCACACACTTTCACCGTCAACTATGTTGTTGAGCGCGAAGGCAAACCCATGAACACTCCAAGCGGTACCATCGGGGAGAAAGACTGGGAGTTTATGGTGGATGCGATGGATTGGGAAGCCGTTTGATTTACCTTACTTCTAGGCATATTGATGCATTGGCGTAGCAATCCATTATTTGGATTCCTCTCTTGTTTCTTTCAAGTATAGTCTTAGGCAGTTTGACTGCGTCAGTTTTTGGTAGGGGGCCATTGGCGTTTAGGTTGACGATATGATTACGGCATGATACCCGGACCTATAGGATAAGGTATCCTTTTGGCTCAACTGTTACTTGAACACTAGCATCTGGTTTGCGTTACCTTCAGTTCAACTGTTACTTGAACACTTGAACACTTGAACACTGAACCTACATGTAACAATTCAGAATCATCTTTACTTATAATAACTAACCATAAGAGTTAGTCAAACCCCCTTGATCTCTTGCTTATCCCTCGTGACGATGACAAGTTCCAATAGTGTTTTGCCTTGCCGAATGAGGAACTTAGCATTAAGAACGTGACATGAAGCTTCAAATTAAATCCAAGGGTACGACGCTTAGCATCAGGGGTCTTCTTGTAGGGCTGTGGCTTACACGCTCAGATAAACCAATAAAACGCTCTGATCTCCTTTCAAAGCGGTCCTGCCCCTCCACTAACGTCAGACAGATCCACTCCTCTTAATCGTGATAAGGATGATAAGGATGATAAGTACCTACGTAACCCCCCTGCCCCCTTCGAGCTTCCTCAAGCTTCAATCTTATCTACCTACCTTATATAAATCCAATGATATCTCTTTATTCTCTCACCCTACATCCCCATCATCATCAAGAGCTCTATCAGGAGCTTCCCTAATCATGGCGCCATCTACTACATCTCTGCGCTCTATATTCGCTTACGCAAATAACTTCGTCTCCCAATTTCCGCTTAACCTCCCCAACCTTCCAAATCCGCTCGCGATCCTTGGCCCGCAAGCTCCTATCGATATCGACAATTCCGTCACACCCTACGATCCTCTTACCGGCACGCCATCTTGCCCCATCGATGGACCCGTGAGCTGTCATAACACGTCTACTACCGATTCTTGCTGCTTTATCCATCCTGGCGGGCGTCTGCTACTTACGCAGTTCTGGGATCAGAAGGCCCACGTTGGTGGAAGCGAGGAAGACTGGACCTTACACGGACTATGGTTAGTTTATATATATTTATATATATATTCACTTTTCAGTAATCAGCTTTTGTAGTAGGTACCAGCTAATACTTGCTGTCTTGCCCCAGGCCGGATCTCTGCGACGGATCATACGACCAGTTCTGTGGAATGGCACCCCAGTTCAACAACATCAGCACGGTGCTAGAATACTATGACCAAGCGGACTTGCTTGCAGATATGAATCGCTACTGGATTGCAAACTAGTATGTCTTCCAGAGCTCTGCTAAGGAGAAAATTAGGGGAATCAAGGGTCCCCATAACGCGACTTGATATACTAACCAGACGATGTAGCGGTACGAATGACCACTTATGGGCTCACGAATACAACAAGCACGCTACATGCATCAATACCCTTGCCCCGAACTGTTATGGCGAAGGCTACACGCCGGGCCTCGAGGTCGTTGATTACTTCGTACGCGCCTTTAGCTTATTCAAGATGCTGGACACTTACCGGGCCTTGGCGGATATTGGCATAGAGCCCAATTACAAGAAGACTTACTCCCTAGCCAAGATACAGTCCACGCTCGAGGCCTTCAGCGGCGGCCGGGTCATCCTCAAGTGCACAGGTAGACACCACAACGTCCTCCACGAGGCGTGGTATGTGTACTTCGTGAAGGGCAGCTTGCAGAGCGGCGACTTCGTACCGGCGAAGGACAGCTTCAAGGGCGGCGAGGGAAACTGCGCATCCCAGGTGAGGTACCTGCCTAAGCGCCACAAGTAAAGTGTAAACCATACCACATCATAAATTGTTCGAATAAGTGTACGGCATTGTCTAGTTTGGCGTTGGAGGTTTGGGTATGCGGGTATGTCTGAGTAGTTAAGCTCGACATATAGAAGCTATCCTAATATCTTTGGTTCATTTTTGTAGTTAGGGTTATGTACCATGCAGCAAGCATCTACAATCTATTTTGATTATTTCAATGTGGACTTCCGCTAGTTATACGTATGGGTTAAAATGGACCATGCCGAGTATCGAGTTTCATGTTATCAAATCCAGTTCTAAAAGTAGAACAGAGGTAAATCCAAGCAGTCAAGTCTTGTCATCTTTTGAGTTCGGAGGCCTCCCAAGTCAGAGCGTAGTTTAAACTGTATATTTGACGAAAACCTTCAATAGTAGTTAGTGTAGGTTAGGTCTTTGAGCATGGTTTAAGGTTGTTGTTTTAGTAAACTTTGAACGCTGCTTGGTGGCTTAATTATGATTGCGAGAATGGCCTTGAATGATGTTGTTGTGTAAGGTCTTTTACCCAAGCTCGCATATTTACCATTTTAAGTTAATAGCTTACCTATAATATAACTTTGAGCACTTGGCGATCTCTTGATCGATACTTAGCTTTATTATAACTGTGTGGTGAAAGATGCAAATACTTGTAGCAACTCAAAGGCGGTACGAGTGAGAGAGAGGGAGAGGGAGAAGATCCAGAGTTTAGAACTTATAAAGAGGCTTGATAAATTCGAAGACTAATTATCATTAACTCTTCATATGTTATCTAATATCTAGGCCTTTATAAACTATGTAGAGATGTAGAAGTTAACGTCTTAATTATTATCTTACTATATCAGACACTTACGTTGACTTTGATGATAATCATTTAAGTTAACAGCTACTATAGTGACCTATCATACTGATTCAGAATTGGTAACTCAACCCCTTTACTAGTGCTGGCTATCGCATCCTCACACCCAAAGGTAAGGTTAAAGTTGTCCAATCATCGACACGCCTTATCAAATAGCCTTTTCCATTTATTATTGTTTTCCCTAGTCACGACTTAAGGAGTGCTGTGGATACATGCCCTACCTGTCGGCTTTTTAAGGGGCAAAGGGGGAAACATTAGGTATTTGAAGACCCATTCTTTCCTAATTCGCATTAATATAGTTGGATACCGAGGTCAACTTGGAGATTTACTAGCTCCTTACTAGCGGAAAGGCATATGATAGAGGATAAGCGCAATGTGGTATGGTACGATCTATAGACAAGTCTTACAGGGTGTAAATTGAGAACTCTATACCCATTCAGCGTGACATCAATAATGGACTCCTTTCATCTAGTACCTAGTACTTAGTATGCTACACGGCTGTTTGCAGCATCATTTTTTGGGGAGTCCCTTTGAGACCGTATCAAGGTATTTGAATAAAGAAGCATTATATGCTGGCTAGGTATCTCAAGAGGCAACTCTATAGATTTAGATTTTTTTTTTCGCGTTATAACGAGTTGGTTCAATAGTACCTAGTCATATATACGTCACGTTAAATTGCGGCTTAATCCCCGCATCGACAAGGACGTTGAATAAAGCTCACTGCACCGGCTTTGCGTTACCTGCTTCCTTGAGCGGAGCAACATCGCGGAGTTGGGGAGTACTCAGATGCAAGCCACCCGCTCGCAACTCCGTGCCCCTCGTACCTAGTGTAGGCTATTTGCTAGATGGATCCATAGGAACGCTATGGAGAATCACCTGCCTATCCGGGTAAGGATATGGTTGCTGGGCCACTCGTTTGAGGCTCTCGCGATTCTAAGAAGAGCATCTATACTGCGGATGTATAGTAACCATGTCTCGAAGAGGCATGTGAAAACTTGAAAGAACTAGGTGGAAGTAGGGTATCGATTAATTACCTCCTAAAAGACTGTCAGTTCTCGGAAACTCTACGTGATGTGTGATGAGACGACATTTGCATCCACGTGGGTTGGAAACACTCCTCGCTGCTACGTGATGGTGATGACTCCTCCGGCAATACATATTAAATATTAATTCTATGATATTATGTGTCATAGAAGCTCAAATCATACCATGTTATATGTAAGAAGAGACAGAGTTGTTAACGACTCTTGGCTTGCAAGCATCGATAGTTGGTGTCTTATGAGACTTAATATACTTGGATGAAAGAGGGGTTTGTTAGATAGGCGGTGAGGAGAACATTTACATACAACACTAGCATGAGCAATGCGACGACCGGGAAAATGGGTGCAATAAATCTTCGTGATAGCTTCTTTACCGTATAGTTTAAATACCCTGAATCGGTAAGTAGGTAGACTAGCACGATAAACTCAGGAGGGTATGCCTTAGTTGAGTTTAACTCGCGGGAAAATGACCATGGTACGTTCTTTGTGACCATGTAGGAGAAGCGGGAAGACATCATTTTCGGCAGCGTACCGCTCAAATGCCGACAGGGCAATATTGGCATCTCCCGGCTAACTTCTTATGACTTGGTGGTGTGGGGGTGCGATGTTTTACCGATCGACTGTTTGCTGGTGAAACATTTCCAATGGTAGAGAAGCTGTGACTATATTGACTAGATTGGTTGACTGCATTCCCGTTATTACCTTTCCGTATTTGATCAGCTACATAGTCACAAAGCTTTTCAGGTAGGAAATCGCGTGTTTTTTTTTTTGGTAACAACACAGCAACGATAACTGACAGAAGTCTGTTCTTGGTATAAATCCGGTATGGAATTTTGCCTCTTAAGCAAGAATTCAAAGGACTAGAAGCAAATTCGTTCAAGTTAGTAAGATTAGCGCTATATACTTCATATTTCGGTGTTTATATGAATGAGCCGATGTACCATAGTTTTCATACTAGTAGAATATAAAATGAACATTACGGCTTAAGTGAGAATAAAAGTAACCTACCTAGGTCAGTGGTGCTCTTCATAGGGAATGATCGACAGCACAAGCTCGAATTTGCTACCCACTCACTGGCTGTAGAAACGCTGCATGACTTTTCGATGACTCCGCCCTACTCCACACACAGTGCCGTTGCTCGCCCTGGAATTGGCTCCTAGATTCTAGCCTTAGCCAGTAACAGTTCGGTATTTCGCGTTACCTGCAGTTACTTAGGAGTAGAAGGATGGATGTACATATGTATTATACCTAAGTGGGTAGTCAAGATCAACCCTGCCTTGTCAAGTCGCATCGATCGTCAAGGTATGTATTGAGCGACAGCCCCGCGTTGAAGTCGTTGCGATGCTATCATAGCAGGTATCGTACATATCGGATGTCATGTCCTGCTAGAACGAGCAACGAGCAACGGCAGATAGCTCTCTTAGCAATGAAGATTATATCCCGTAGTGAGCAGTACGGCTAATAGACCAGCCTAGCCTATCTGATTCTGTGATAACCGTAGACACACCAATGGGGCGTGTAGTTTGAAAGGCAAGCTGTATGTCCGGACAAGCTTATATCTAGTCTGCAAATTTGCTGAAAACTTCATGGTGTGCGGTCATGAGCGTTGCAACGATGGAACCCTGCTCATCAAACGTGCATGCGATGAAGCGTGCCGTACGGGTCACACTTCTGTGTGTTGGTGGATCGCATTAAAAGTGTGCTATACTGTACGGATGGGTTTGTCTACTAGGCTGTTGGAGTTCTAGACGTCGATAATGGCGGCACCCGTAAATATTTTCGCGCAAATGTCTCCATATTGTGGGGTTGGTTCAAGATTTTTGGGATCTCATGAGAGAGGGGCAAGTGAAGGAGAAAAAAAAAGAAAAAAAGTGAATCTAACACACTGACATATCGACCGGTTGATTGGACTTGTCAGTGGCTAGTACGGCTAAGTATATCAAAGCTTCTTCCTGGGATCGATTATCGAGTCATCGAAGACTAATGTTTAATGCCGATTCTTACAGTCCCAATCCTTATTGATGACGGATAGCTGACCGTACCGAGCTTTTGTATTGGTTGTGATTGATAACCAAACTGTGAAGAGTTCCTTAACGGCCAACTGGTTGTCATGAGGTATTATAAAATGGCAATGACGCGTCTCTACGCCCCCTCCACGCCCCCTCCCCCACGGCTCTTGAAAGTCAAGGACATACCAAATTGATGTCTGGAAATAACAAATAACACGAAATATATCGTTTATAGTCTGTGTCTCTTTCGTTGCCAGGCCGGGCGCCTGATGTCTATGCCAAGCAACTTTTGGGGGCAGTTTGCCAAGCCTTTAAGAGATCTCCAAACCGAGGGATTCCCAATTCCTGAGGATTAGTGATTGGCTTAAGTCTTATGATACTATCTTTATCGACAACCCTAAGCAACTAAAGTAAGCAACATTAACGCGTAAAGCCGCCTGCGCCAGGAGGGAGGAGGGCTAGCAGTGGATGTCAGCATTGCAGCAACTGATGGATCCATAGCGTATTATGTTGGTGTATGCACGACACTTAGTTACCTCACTAGAAACAAGTTGTAGCTGATAACTGGCCGGTTTTGACATAAGTTAGTTTGAGGATTGGCGAGAGAAACCTGAAGGGTGATATGAACCGAATTAGCAAAACTCCACCGGCGTAGCTGATATCGATAGTGTATGTATATACCAGGTAGTACGGTATGTTAGTATATAAAATTCGTCAAAGCGTTCGGTATAATCCTATCCTGAGCTGTCCCGATTTAACTTATAATTTGATGTTTTGTTAGCAATTCGAATAGGCTTCTTGCCACTAGAAATAATATTTTATGGATCTCATCATGTAAGTTGGTAAAGGTAAAGGAGGTGACCCTGAAGCGCCGGATGGCCCGAAATAGAATATCGGGGTTACACTGGTGTTGTACCTTCCCATATGCCATATGGCACAGGAGAAACATAGGTACCTAAGCAGAGAGAAGACATAAATCTTCCAACATTTAGCGTGCTGTACCTACCCGGCCTGCCCTTGTCCGCCTGTCCTTCAGCAGACCAGGCACCTGGGCAAGCAGGCAAGCGGGCGAGGCAGGTACAATTACCTAGGTACATTAGGTGAGTACTCACGTACCGGCAAATGTTGGTACCTACTATACCTCCAATTTATACTGTACTGCGCCTTTCCGGCTATTGTACTGTACTTGGTTTATAGTGTAATTTCTATTCGCAGACAGAGTATCTGGAACCCCTGTGCTTGTACTTAGGGTACTTAGGGTACTTGACAAGGAACCCACTTAGGCGATCGCTGGTTCTCGTAGTACAATAGGTACATTTGATCCATACCTAGATGCTTTCGTTCACACTGCACCGTCGTATTGCGTTTTTGTTCCCTTTCTCCCACTAAGCATTTCCTGTCTTGATTAAATCCAATCCCACGATCTCCCACATCTCACACCCAAGTCTACATTTTCGGTAGTCTTCCCCGTGTCAAGCTGTAAATCGATATATTTTAAGATTTCAGCTCGAAATCATCCTATTTAGAATTATTTTAGCCTTTGCCGTTGGAATAACAGTAGCGCATGACAGCGCTACCTAGGTAGTCTTTTAACATCTCTTTTTCTTTTTCTTTTCGCCCCCGGAATAACTTCCTATGATTACCACACCGGGACGGTCTGTAACGTTTAACCTCACCTCCTTCCTATCCTCCGGTCGAGTTCGTTCGCTTCAACTTCAAACTGCAGAGGAAAGAGAAACGGGTGTTGTCATCGTTGCCTTCGGTTGACTGGCTGGCTCGGAACAAGCTTCTGGGTCGGGTCAGCATTACGCGAGCGTATGCCTCGCGCTTCAGCATCGGCAAAGCGACAGCACGGTGCTTCGATCCATCGCGATACTAGACAGCACGAGAATGGGCTGGTAGGCCCGGGGAAGCGCGTTTCCAAGCAAAAGAGCCTGGGTCATTTGGATGGAATCGCGAAGCAGCCTGACGACGATGCGGCTACACTCCCTGTTCCGCCAACACCACCCCCCTGTGCGAACGGCTACTCCAAGCAACTACTCGAAATGCCCGTAGAAAATAGGACCACCGAATCTCTTAGAAGGGGCTCGCTTGGCGGCTATTCCGAGTCCTCGTCTTCCGAGTCGTATAATTCTCACGTCGGAAATGCCCATCTCGAGGAGAACCATCGCCGAATCGATGTTAATGCCACTAAGAATTCCAACGTTCACCGCGATCCCGGCCCGTTTGGTGTCGACTTCGCTTTAACCGTTCTTCGATCATGCCCTTTGCAAGACACTATCGCTATTCTCATCATCTTAATGCAGATCCCCCCACTGGCTTTATCTTGCATTTATGTGCTCTTCACCTTGCTTACTTTCGTTACGAGTAACGGCCTGACATTTAGCGATGTGTTCGAATGGAACTTGGGCGCTCCTTCCTTGGCAACTGTCATATGTGTCGACGGCATTGTGCTCTTGATTTGGTTATTTCTATGGGGTCCGATTCAGCACGTCATCCTCGACTTGGCGCAGATGGTTATTGCCCTAGGCTTGGGCGGTGGTTCCAGTTCAAGAGATGGCGGCTCAATGAAGAATACTCTGATCTGCCTAAGTATGATCTTGCTGTCTCACGTGCTGCGCCATACCAAGATGAAATACTCTCCTGTAGGGTATCTCTTGGGTTCGAGCCGTTTCATGACACCTGATCTAGATGATCCGCTTGAATCTCTAGATTCTATACGCGGTTATGATAAGGTCCAGACGGGATGGTTCGGTTGGGTTAAGAGCATATTGGCAATTCATATTTTGACGCAGGGCTTAGTTAAGTACATACGCGATTGGTATCTGAGGCGAGAGAGGCGCGATATCCTGGCTCAAAACGCCGCCGATCCCGAGGCTGGGAAATCTTACACCGCAGAAAACGACGGCGGATTTTCAACCCCGGATAGCGATACTGCTTCTCTACAAAATTCAACAGCGTTAACTACAAAAAAGAAAAGAAAACAAAGTGCCCAGATCCGGAATCGACAACCGCTCTGGGCAGCTCTAGCGAGCACTAAGATAGTCGTTGTGAAGGAATACGAACTTACTCATGCAGCAGCAGAGTCCGCAGGTTCTAATGCCACCGACATTCATAATCTGGGGAACGCCCCGTTCAACACCGAGCCTGAGCAGATCTGGATTACGTACGTTGGTTGCGATGAAGTGTGTTTTAGCACCAGCCACTTTTTTAGCACACCTGTGCCTGATGTTACGCAAGACGGGTCGAGGATGGATATTTCTAAACCCTTCTATGTGAGAGTTAATAATGCTGTTTGGCAGCCCACCCGGATGGTACCAGTGCACGATTCTGAGGCGGATGCTAGCCAGGGAACTCATTGGAGCGGGGATATCTACGGGCTCACTCCTATGTCGAACTACGAGTGCGAATTCGTCAGTACAACGACGCACGAGATTTTATTCTCGACAAGTGTTAGGACTACCCAAGCTCAGTCAGCGGACGTGGATTCTAGCGCTTCGAAGCCTACCGGTCAGCGGTCTCTTCGGCCTGACTCACCCATTACAACCCTCAAGACCTCGATCGCTGCAGCTGAAAGCAAGCTAGCGGAGGAAAAGGCCCGACAGAAGGCCCTGCGAAAGGAGTTCCATCGGAAAGCGAATGCTATGAAGAAAGACAATGAAAAACTATCTGCGGCTGTCCAGTCGGCCGGCACGGGTGACGACAAGCTGCGTCAAAAGATCCAGCAGAATACCACACAGCACAAGCAGGCCGAACAAGCAGTCATTAACCTTGAGGCGGAATTAAAAGAGCTTGCGTCCATTCCCGAATCTTTGAAATCAGCTTGGAAGGCCAAGCAGTCCGCATGGACTAATGAAAAGGCCAAATACGACGGCGCGGTAGCAAAATTTAAGAGCTTCAAGGCGTCCGTCGACCGTGGGATCAAGGCCCTTCAAGAGGAGAAGACTGGTCTACAAGCCAAGCGTAACAAGATCAGCAACCGCATTGCCAAGGTTGATGGCGAGCATGCACGTATCACCGATGCTAATGCTCGTGGCCTCGACGAAGCAGAGCGGCGGCGGCAGGCCCGGGAAACGTACGAAAACGACATCGCTAAAATAGAGCAGGATCTCAATGCTAAGATTAACGAAATTGAAGCGGCTATCTATAATAAGGAACGAGACAACGAGGCGCTGAAAACGCAATTAGACTCGTTTCATACGCAGCAAGCAGCTTATGCTTATGCGAACGTCTACGATTTCCCCGATACTTCTGCCCCATTTTCGTCTCCGGGTTCGACACCTCAAGTCCAAGGAAATGTGAACAGCACGGCTCCGTACGATGCTACGGCTGCCTGGAACAACAGCTTGTATAATTCATCCCTTTGGGGTCCGTCGCCCCTTGCGTCGGGCTTCATGCCGCATGGAACTGCTGCGCTGAATGTCCAACTACCCATGACCAAGGCGCGAGGTCGTTCCTCGTCAATGCTCAGCGATGTATCTGGTTTCACACAAAGCAGCACAGCCGAGAACGAAGGACAAAGCACAGTCCGAGGAAGTATCGGGAACTCCGGTGCGTCTCCGGGCCTTGAATACCCCACGCCCACTGGACCTCGAAGTAATGTTAATGGCGAGGCAATGAGCGATGGTACGGGTAGCCCCAGCAGCGGTAGTATCGGAACTGGTAGCGTCGGGGATCCGATGAGCCCTGGGCCTTGACAGGATGACTATGGGCGCTTTAGTCTAGCTCCTACTCCAATCAAGCGATATCTTCGAGATCATGCAGCGATGGGTTTTCTACTGCATCCACCCAGGCCGAGTAGATTGGATTAGGCAATGATAGGCGTTTTTCTTTCATTTTGCATATTACTTTGGACTGCATATTTGGTTATGTGACGTGACTACCTAATCTATGATACCTGCTTTATGAGTCTACCGGTAAGGAGTCTTACTGACGTTTTACGAGCGTCCATAAAGCGCAAATGATTTGAGAGTTCTACTCTACTTTGCTTAACTATCCTGACTTTGATAATATGTGCTTGACACCGTAGTGTTTTTATTTAACATTTACTTTGGCTACCTCGAAGGAATAAAGCATTTTATTGAAGATAGCAAGAAAAGGGGTTAGTTAAGGTACCTAAGGTACGGACGGGATTAAGTCATATTAACCATATTAACGATATGTCTTTTTTATGCTACATAGGTACCTAGGTACCTATGTTTATAGATTTGTAGATTACCTAATATGTATGTGTCACCCAGCTAGGTTAGGTACCTAGGTAAGGTACCTCCTAACGTAAGCCGAAATTACAGCTTCCAGCCTTAGCCAAGCCTTAGCCAAGCCTCATCCTTAAACGGAATTAGGAGTTTTTTGAAATCCTAACGCCGTTCTTCTCTCTCCCCCATTTCATTTTGAACTTCGCGGTTGCTGCGACCTCTTGCTTTATACTCGGTATATTGCCCAGATAACCTGCTTTTAGTACGCTATTCCTAAAACCCGTCGACGGAAATCGTTTTTCGTCTATTCCGGAACGCCTACATCTCCACCGCGTCCGATCGGCTTCTTTGACGTTACAACTTGGCATAGATGCCCAGATGGATCTCGCCTCAACAGGCTCGAGAGAAGCTGTAGCTTTATTATCCAGCCCCCGCAAATCGGTTCCCTATGGCCAAGCATGTACCAACTGTTCTAAGGCCAAGTGCAAGTGTATCAGCCGCGGCAGCCCCGGTTCAACTTGCGAGCGGTGCCAGCGCCTCGGTAAAGAATGTGTTCCGTCTGTAAGTGTTCGGAAACGTGCGGCAAGGCGTCCCGCCTCCGAGAGGGCCGCTCATCTTGAAGAGAAGCTCGACGATTTGGTTTCGATACTCCGGGCTCAAGCCGCTGTTAACCCCCCGGCGGTGGGTACTTATAGGCCTGTTACCAACGGCGAATTGCCTAGCGTAAGCCCTAGCGTTGATGCCAATGCCAATGCTAATTCCGGTTCCGTGGATTTGGACCCGTCTATAGGGGTTGTGCGGGGTGGTAATGATTTGGCTGCTACTGGCCATGCGCTACCACTGCCGACACCCGTTGGTGCTTCTTATTGCGACAGATATCCCGCTGCAGCCTCATATCCTACTCCGCCTTCTGTTACCTCTTCTCATGATGGAGGTCTCTCGCTTGCTGAGGCTGAAGATACCTTACGGATGTTTAAAGAGCGGTTTCTCCCCTTCTTCCCGTTTATGTATATACCACCAGACACGACGTTAGTATCACCACCCCCATTTCTGACCCCGTGACTATCTAGACCCTTAACCACAGACTATTATATATATATATCTATGATTATTTATTCATGGTACCTATTGAATACAACTAACCCAGATGTTTTAGAGCTGCGCAATTGCAGCAGGCGAAACCCTTCCTATGGCTAAACATAATGACTATTTGCTGTAAATCACGGACAAGAAAGTCAGCGCTCAGCCAAAAGATTAGAGAATATCTAGCACAGAAGATGTTGATAGACCTAGATCGAAATATGGATTTGTTACTCGGGCTTCTCGCCTATCTAGGTTGGTATGTAATCCAGCTTCTCTCCCTCCATACCACTTTGAGCATAGGATATCCTTCTACATACCTTGCCGCGATGGTTTTAGCTATCAGTGCTTGTCTAACGTCTCCTCTAGGGGTATGCATCATTTCAATGGAAAACCATATATTGTTGCATATACCAACCTTGCTGTCACTGTTGTTACAGATCTTCGTCTTGATAAGCCAGCCCAAGATAACTTTTATAAAGATCTTCATTGCTTCAAGCCTTCTTATCCTTATCCAAAGGTCCCTATCTCGTCTACCCGCACAAATGAGGAGAGAAGGGCTACCCTAGCATGTTTTACCCTTTGCTCTAGGTATGTTCACCCACTTGGCACCGTGTCTAACCAATACGCAACGGTCGTGGTGTAAGCCATAGTGTGGACCAAACCATTAACGTACCTAATGTAGTATTTCAAATTTTTTGAGAACCCAAACAATGCGATGGACCGCTCACATGGAGGATTCTCTTCAAAAACTCTCTGCAAATCCGGAGTGTGTGAGCGACGAAGCTCTTGTAGCTATGGTAAGAACGTATAAAATACAAGAGGACGTTGCGCAAATAACCTGGCGTACTGCGGAACCTGCTGGAAATTCGACAGCAATAAGGGCTCCTCCTGCTATTTACGTCAAAGCCTTGCGCGCAAATCTGGATGCTATTAAGAAGGATCTTCCGCCTGCGCTCCTAGACAATAGTAAGCCATTCCCTAGATACCTCGAACGGTATCCTCTCCCACATTGGCTGTTTTGAGTGTTTGTACTCTTTTGAATGAGCTTGCAACCTCGACTATGTTGCCACCTTGAGTATTTCATAGACTGACAGCGCAATAGAAGTGGTCGATTCACATTTATTTTCAGCAGAGCTATCTATAGCGGATATGTCTCTCTGGAACGTCAACGCGTGGCTTTCAACGCACCCGCATAGGCCAACGGGTGTGAGTGGAAGCGGGAGCGGAGGTATTGATCTAGGCAAGATAGACGCATACTATGCTAGTCTCCAAGCGAGCAAGGCTTGCCTCGAAAACTTTCTAAGATTTGAATTGGCTGAATACCCTGCGATATCTTTCTCGGTCACACTCCATTTCGGTAGGGCAGCGCAAACCCTCTACCGGCTTATGGTAGTAGACGACCCAGAATGGGACCGCAGCATTGTTAAGAATACTATCGACGTGATAGCAGCTCTGGAACAGACTGCAAATAACTTTACGCAGGTATCTAGCGTAGGTGGTCTGGAGAATAATGACGACCTAGATGACATGGATTACTATTGTCGGGCAGGCATTGCGCTCCGAAGTACTATTCCGGCTTGGAGCTCTACGCTTGAGCAGATCAGCCTCGGAGTAGGCGTTGGCACGGCGGTTTCAGAAGGTACAGGGACGGGAGCTGGTGCTGCAACGCCGTATCAAGTCCAGGCGCAAGTTCTTCCAGAGTTGACGTCGTTAGAGTGGTTAGACGATCCGTGGTTATCGGATATGTTGCGGTCTTGGGAAGGGAGTTAACCATGCCGCATCTTCTGCATTCCTATCTGGATTAGTCTGCACTGCTACCGTGTAGCCGTCATGTCATTGGCATAGCATAGAATACCCAAGTTCGGCGCCCGGGTTGGATTTTTGGAAAGGCCGGGAACATAGAATTTATTACTTTACTCGTGAGATATTTGAAATAGCAAGGTTAATCCTGCTTACTCACTGAATGTTCACAGGTTTAGAGAGGTTACCTTTATGTCGTGCTTAAAAAGAACATTGCCACCTAATTGTATTTCTGTGAGCATCTTAAATTATAACGAGGGATATTGAATAACGAAAGAGACACAGAGAAGAAGAAAGATAGCTATGCGACCATTCATCTCGTGAGGCTACCCGGTTTGCTATAAATGTGTTATATGCATATAGTAGCAAGCCAGACCACAGGCTTGGCTTGCATTCCTGTAGAGGATCTAAAGCCTATCTTGATTCGTCCTGCCTTGAGTAACTTGCAGGCAAATAACAACCGGGCGGGTTAACATATTTAATTCTTGGCAGCCATTCGTTCTTCACGGCTTCTCGAATCCCACACACGTAAACTTAGGAAACTAACTCTTTAACCCAGATCCGCGCGGGCGATAGGTACCTATGCTGTGTTTTTATATACCTACCCAGATGACTTGCGTAGGAGTGCGTGAAACAAAATCCTGTCATCGTCCGTAGTCCAGGCTAATACCATCCCATTTCCCGCACGTTGAGTGACGAGTCAGAAAGAGACGGGATTCGGCGCGGGTTTTTAACCCGCTTTCCACTCCGGGTTAGACAAGCTGAGCCTGTAAGCGACGTCTCGCGCGGCAAAAGTCCAGCACGCTTGTACGCTTCCTTCGGTTGGCTTTCCGGGTCGATTAATTGCGCCGGTGTTCGTAGATTCGGTAGGGCCCGTATGCCTTGGATTGGATAGGGTAGGGGGGGTAGCGTATGTATATACATGTATAATATGGCCTAGGACTTCTATTTATATATAGTTATCAGAGTAGTAATCCTACTTCTATCTAGCTCTTGGGCTGACCTTCTCTTTTGCTGTTGGCTTCCTGTTGTACGTATCTTGGCCTTTGATTAGGTCTAGAATTACGCTTTTACGATCTGTAGAGCGAAGCGCAAGCGAATGCGGCTATTGTATCGTCTGGCATCGTGTACTAGCGACACAGTTTCTTCTCGGTACTTGAATCCGGTCACGACGTATACTTACTTTCGTATAGACGGTTTACTAGGGCGAGGATCTAAGAATTGGAAGAGACAAGGAACACCGAACGAATCGACGACAAACCTAGCTGTTAGCAACCCTTAAGTCGCCTGGATAAAAGAACGCACGGAGAAGTATCATGGGAGACACCAATAACTGGCAAGCGCCTAAACCGGCGGCACCTAGCGAGGAAGTATACACGACATCTTCCTCGCCATCGTTCCAAGAGAGAGAAAAGGGCAGCGCACCGAATGCCGATGCGTCAGTACTAGTAGCGCTAGATGAGAAGATTCCAGACGCGGCGGTAACGACAGACTCCCTGACGTCGGAGCACACGCTGATAGACGGAGCCGAGAATAATGAATACGTCACGGGGTACAAGCTCGCACTCCTGCTGTTCAGCGTCACGACCTTTTTCTTCTTGCTCATGCTGGACATGTCGATCATCAGTACGGTGAGTTGTGGCCGATTCCGATACGAGGTGGGTGTTACTGCGACTCGGAAACTAATATTTCATCCGATGATAGGCTGTACCGCAGATCACGTCGGATTTCCATAGTTTACCGGATATTGGATGGTATAGCGGTGCTTATCAACTAGCTGGGTATGTCCCCTATGCCCCCCCTCTTCCTTGATATATATAGCGACTACCTGTCTAGGCAGATGTTAAAATCCACGGTGAGAGTAGTAACTTACCTGTTCATATAGTGCCACGCTCCAGCCCCTGACGGGGAAGCTGTATGCCCGTGTTAGCGCAAAATGGGTGTTCCTGTTCTTCTTTTTCATCTTCGAAGTTGGTTCCCTGATATGCGCCGTCTCCCAGTCTTCGGCCATGTTCATCATCGGTCGAGCTGTTGCCGGTGTGGGTAGTTCGGGACTCCAGAACGGCTCGTTGACTGTTATTGCTGGTGCCGCGCCTTTGGATAAGCAGCCGATGTATGTGGCTTATATGATGGCCTGTAAGTATCACCTCACGCGTTAAAATTGTTAACAGGTAGCTAACGTCTTCGTAGTTGGTCAGATCGGCCTTATTGCTGGTCCATTGATAGGAGGTGTCTTTACGCAGTATGTGACCTGGCGATGGTGCTTCTACATCAACTTGCCGCTCGGCGGCCTCGCTGGGATCTTTCTAGCTTTCATGCATGTACCCGACCAAACACTCAAGCCGCAAGTCTCATTCAAGCTGCTCCGCGAAGTCATCCCGCAACTCGACCTTATCGGCTTCGCCATATTTGCTCCATCCGCCGTCATGTTGTTACTAGCTTTGCAATTTGGTTCATCCCAGTACCCCTGGAACTCGTCGACCGTGATTGGCCTCTTTGTTGGTGCGGGCGTAACTTTCCCCATTTTCCTATGGTGGGAACGCCGTCAAGGCGACCAGGCGATGCTTCCCTTTTCAATGATAGGCAGACGAATTGTTTGGGTTAGCGCCTTATACGGTGCTGCTTTGATGACAAGTATATTCGTCGGGGCTCAGTTCTTCCCGATCTATTTCCAGTCTGTTAAGGGCGTAGGGCCGACAATGAGCGGTGTCGATATGCTGCCGAGTATATTGTCGAGTGTGGCATTCATCCTCGTTTCTGGGGCATTGTGTATGTTCTGCTTTCTTTTCTCTTGCTGCCCGTTTGAGGATGAACCAGAAACCCCCTTTTGAGATTAGTTTTTGAGATTATTGCTAACGTCCGACAGTGGGGAGACTCGGATATTACCTCCCATGGGGAGCATTTGCTGGAGCAGCTACTGCGGTTGCTGCTGGCATGATATCAATGTGGGGACCTGACACTACGACGGCGTTCTGGATTGGCACTCAAATCTTGTACGGAGCTCGTGGCTGCGGCATACAGATCGGGTTGGTAGCTCTTCAGAACAACCTTCCACCCGCGCAGAGTGCATTGGGTGTTGCATTCCTTATATTCTGTCAAAACTTCGCTGCGGCGGTCTTTTCCGTGGTTGCGAATACCATCTTTCAACAGACGTTGCAGAAACAGATCACGATACTTGCACCCTCCGTCGACCCGGCCATGGCCTTGGCTGCGGGTGGTAGTGCGGAAGCGGTGCGAGCCTTAGCCCCACCGGACAGCCCGGAGCTCCGTGGAGTGCTCTTGGCGTTTTCCAAGGCCTTTAATTCGACTGCCTACTTGCTGATTGCTTGCGCGTCTCTAAGCTTCGTGGCATCTTGGGGTATGGGATGGGTTGACGTAAGGAAGAAGAAGCAAACCGAGAAAGGAGAGGCGTAAGAGATGCCTTGGACTGGTCGATTGGTGGTATTGATACTCTATTCATTAATTTATAGGCATTAAATTCGGCCTTAAAGATTGATTGAAGCGTTCGGATATAAAGGATTCATATAGGGATGGAATAGAAGGATAGCCCCTTTCAACTCGGGCATAGTAAAACTGTATAGATACCTATATATAATAATAGTCGTCAAAACCTCCTGACCTACATATCACTCTTTACTAGCTAGGGGAAGTTTCAAAGAGGATAACGATGTGCTAGGGCATTAAATATATAGGTACGAGGTGTATATGTGATAAAACAAGAACTGAATATGAAAAAAGATTGAATCTTTGTAAGTATAGCCTATAAGCAACGAATAATTAACGGATTCCGTCGTATCCGAGGGGCTGCCGGTTTCTCGTAGACCGGATAAACCGCGTAGCCAAGGAAGTACGGAGAGTTAATTAGCATCTTCTCAATTTATCAGTAATCGACACTGAGATATATGCGCTTGTAATTAATTATATACGGGTAGGCTTTGGCTGTAGATATTATAAGTTCTTGTATATATATGATATATCTAGCTCTCATGTCACAGAAGAGACCTCGGCCCTCGCATGCCTCGGTATATCGGTCCCTACTCTAGTAGACCCCAGTTTCGTCTTATTCAGTATGAATACCTTACCTTAGGCACTACCTATGTAGGTAACTGTATATAATGAAACTATTCAACTATAATAACAGCAATATGTTAGTCACGAAAGTTATGGATTGGTTCTTGGTTCTTGCGCCATATGACATGTAAGAACTTGGATAGTGGTAGAGTGAATAATAATGTTACACGATACACGATACACGATACACGATACTAGGTATGTACAGTTTGCAAGTCGTGGATGTCTAGGATCCCCTGTTCCCCTGTTCCCCTGTCCCCGTTCCCCTGTCCCCGTTCCTCTGCTCCCCTGTTCACCCCCCCTGACTTTAGCCACGACTCCGCCGTAATTCAGCCACGCTACTGAGTCCTCCCGTTGGGTCTTGACCTTACAAGTGTCCAAGCCTTGACAACTGTTAACCAATCATCCCAACCTCCTCCAATTATTTCGACGTGTCTCATGGCCTGAGGTTTGATGTCGAGTCACTGAACTCGCGACCCATTTTTGGCCCAAACTCGCTCGTTGTCTATGAATATGGAGGCTTGGGTTTAAAAAAAAGCTGGTTCATAAAGCATTGATCCAGCATCCCCAGCGTCTGCTAAGAACATGTTTATGTTTGTCTAGTTCCCCTGTTTTATTGTCAACCCTACGCTCTTTATCTTAGCAGACACCACCCTCTTTTAACTTAAATACGGGATACAATTCATACTAGGTGCGCTAGTTAAGTAGTTCAAGAACAATGCCATTCATTCCAAATACTCCCGAGTCCCGGTTGGGCCGCTCCGATTCCAAGAACCCAGCCACGACATGTCGAGGCATCACTTCAGGTGGTCGTCCTTGTCGACGACCATTGAACTCTTCTCCGGACTCGTCGCCACTGCCTTCTCCGCCTAAAATCGACGGACTGCGTGTTGACGACCCTCGAAATGCCGACCTTTACTGCTGGCAACATAAAGACCAAGCAATCGCATCTTCGAAATCCAGTCCGGGACCGAGGTCGAATATGACAACCATCCGCGAATCCCGTCAAAGCTTGGAGAGTCTTATTGATCGTCTTGGAATAGTCGAGGCACAGAAGCAAGGGAAAAGACCAACACATAACCCTTACGGCGAGAAGATAGATACACATCCGCCAAGAAGACCAAAGACGAAGCAATCGAGCTTCTGCTGTTGTTTCACAATCACCGAAGAAGAGGAGGAGGAACTTCCAGCACGACCACAACCCAGGCCGCTACAAAGTGCACCTGCGAAACCCATGTATTCTAGGCCATCGCCCAACCAGCATCTGGTACCTCCTCCTACGCAGTCACGACCAAGTGGCGAGTCTTCAAGACCGCACTCGAACCAGTCCGACACATCGCAAACGGCACGATACTTGTCCTTGATCCCGGCGACGGCATCACCGCAGACGGCCTCGCAGCTCATGGCAGAACTAGCCAAACCCATCTCGCAGCAAGATGAAGCCGGTTATATCTATATTTTCTGGCTGACACCAGAATCTCAACCGTCAACCCCTCCGGCAGAGGCAGCCAAAACCCTATTATCTCCACCCCGCCCAGACGGCGGTCGTCAGCGACGAACAAGCGACGTGATGGAGTCTTTCGCTGTTAAGGAGAGCAAGACTACTGGATCGTCCAAGAAGATACTTCTGAAAATCGGTCGGGCGTCTAATGTTCAACGACGTCTCAACGAATGGACACGTCAGTGCGGGTATAATATATCACTCGTCCGTTATTATCCTTACGTCTCTTCGTCCCAGCCAGCGGAACCTCGGAAGATGCCCCATAGTCACAAAGTCGAGCGTTTAGTCCATCTCGAACTCGCAGGTGCCGGTCTTCGGGTAAGCGACAAGGCGAACTGCGACGCTTGCGGGAAAGCTCACAAGGAGTGGTTCGAGATCGATGCCAACAAGAACGGAATCTCAATGGTGGATGAAGTTATTAAGCGCTGGTCTGACTGGGACGAAACCAACACATAGTTAGCCCACGTTTAGTTAAGAGAGGTAGTTATACCCAGATGGTACTAGGAACCCATGAAATTACGATACCATAAGGACACGAAGGGCGTTTTTGCCATAGCATTTTCGGATAGACAATACGGCCGGATGGGACGCATACCTATCTACCTACTTACCTACTTTAGGTAGGCGTAGAAAGGATATTGATTTATGAAGTAGATGAAATGTAACCGGCGCTGCCTATTCCGGCAGTTCAGCCGTGAGTCTTGTGCCCTGTACAACTGTGTCCCTTACGTCCTTGGGTTACTGTCGCATCTTGCATCATTACACTCCATATGTGTAGATAATCCCCGACGCACTTTTCCGCCCTATATGGGTTGCGGAAAACGTAGTCTATCCGATGGTTTGGGTTACCCTACGGCGGCCAATATACTTTAATATGAGACGTTCTCTCGAGAGCCACAAGAATATTAATGTTTGTGATTCAATATCGATTCTAGAGAACCTATGATACGGTGATACTTAAATTTTCCATAATTGAATGTTGCACTTGTTGATACTGCCCAGTCAGCCAGTATATGACAGCTCTATGACGACAACCGAGGCAAGCTATTATAGGGCCCGACTGTGGCGCTCTTCGATTCGGATCTCCTTTACATATTCGTACCGATCTTAAGCTTTACTCATGCTAACTCTGAAGTAGAGGTAACTAAGACATATCCTGGTAGAATAGATCTCATGTTACTGTAGATAGCTTTGCGTCACAAGCTAAAACAACTTTGTTTCCCCTCACATTCGTGAACGAGGCATATAAATAGTCCCGCATAAGAAATATTAAGCTTGTAAGCCGTCACACATGGTATATTAACCCTTCAGAGAGAATCATCTCCGAGGTACCTGTCGTAGCATCGATCATCAGTGTGTGGATTTCCTTTCAACCGTAGGAACACTTCACTGTGACCTTGTAGTTGTAAACAGATGATGCAATGCTACCTTGTGCTTCGCGACGGAATACATGACGGTACGTACATACGAAGTACAAGACCAGCCGCACCTAGAACTCCCCTAGCGTTTCTTCTAGAAGGATTCACACCAAGATATGTCGCCGGCGAAATGCATGTCCTGACAATATAACTGGTCAATGGAAAATTTTCCGTCACAAGCCATTGCTGACCACGCCTCCCAGCGCATCTCTCGCATACTGTGATCAATCCCTATGGCCAACTAATCTTGTACTGCACGTTTACCATTGTCTACCTACCTAGGCAAATTTCTAGAACTACTCGCTCGTGTAGCCTTAACGCGACCTCAACAGCCTTGCGACTAAGAGGTACCGTGATGGCAGGCCCCTCGTCGGATGTAGGCCATGATGATGGCTCCGCGGCATCGTTCTCGTGGGAATCTAGTCGGACCATCGCAGTTGGTCAAGATGTGTCGGTGCTGTCGTGGGATAGCGGCAGCGGGCCATCTCTGCCATCAGTCGATGATGACACTCAGACAGTCGGTGTGCATTGATAAAGGAAACGATAGCCCAACCCATTAACTATTGGATAGGAAACCATGTCAATTTCCACAAGAAGTATACGGTATAGTATAGCGGAGAACTCGGAATTAACGTAGAACATATATTTACTAACCATTTTAAAGATCTTCGACCATGTCGCTGGATTCAAGTCTTTACCATTACGTCCATGAAAATGGCCGAACTTACCATCGATATAAAGAGGGCAGTATGGATTATTCTACCTCTACCGACTTTGAAGTACCTGTTAACAACATCATCTAGGATATTTCTTACCGAATGACGCCGTATGTCTTTAGTCGCGTTCAAGAATTCATCGTTATGGTTGATTAATGATTTTTATAGGCAGAACAAGAGCGATTAGGTAAATATCATAGTCACTTACTGGATACCTACCTACCTAGGTAGTTAAGTATATCCTTTTGATGCTCATCGACTTACAATTGGTATAGATCTTCAACATCAATTATTTATAATAACTATTGAAAACAAGCTCAATCTAGCCCCAATACCGGACAACCCCCCGCGAGTCTTGGATATTGCGACAGGTTCATCCACCCTCTTGCCCCCTTCATTCGATTTCTAATGTGATATTAGGGACGGGCATATGGGCAATAGAATTTGGTTCGATTCACCGTTAGGTATTACTATGGCTCTAGGATATAAATATTAACATGCCGCGCAGCCTCCCAGCATCCCGAATCCTACGTAGTCGGGACAGATTTAAGTCCGATCCAACCTCAATTGTGCGTGGTACCTGGCGCCCTGTTATAAAGTACTAAGTCAAACGAGCCAGGAGGCTTACTGATTGTATCCTCTACTTAGCCTACCAGAGAATTGCAAATTTGAGATCGATGACGCAGAGGACGAGTGGACATTTAGCGAACCGTTTAACTATATCCACGGGCGGGCGCTGATGAGTTGTTTCGATGACCCGGCGGCCGTAGTGAAACAGGGATTCGAGCACTTGGCACCGGGCGGCTTTATGGAATTCCAAGACGGCTTATTCCCGATGAACTACGTGGGCGACCCGCCAACGGAGTCAGCACTGTACCGGTGGAACCAGATGATGCTAGAGGGTATATCACGCCTCGGCCGCTCCTGGTCTAATGCTCAGAACTATCATCGCTACTTTGAGGAAGCCGGCTTTGAGAACATCGTCGAGAAACGCTTCTATTGGCCTACTAGCCCCTGGGCAAAGGGGCGGTACTATAAGACCGTCGCTACGTACTTTCAGGAGGACTTACTCATTGGTCTAGAGGGTATAAGCCTTAAGGTGCTAGGAGTGTTGGGCTTGTCGCCTGAACAAGTTCGGGAATTCATTGAGGACGTTAAGAAGGATCTTATGGAAACTAGTGTTCATGCGTATATAACTGTGTAAGTCTGCCATTCCCGTGTGAATAAGAGTCATCTAGGTGTGGGTTCTTACTGGTTATAGGGCGTATATATACGGACAGAAGCCAGATAATACGAGTCAATGAGAATGCATTTGTTATGATGACTACTTGATCGCCCTGCCAACGCACATGTTAGAATGCAACACTGTTTCCTACCGTAAAACGGATTAACGTTTATGTTTATACTAGGTAGGTAAGTAGAATTAACGGGGAGCGTATCTCATCGAATAACTGCAAATAGAGAAGAGCACCACGGGTTTTCCCCTTTTAAGATACTTGATTATAAGTGGCAAAGTTGGAGGTACCTAACTTGGTGACATGTTATTTATAGGTACTGAACTAATATATGGACAGACTTAGAATATATGGAATATATGCAAGAACTCCCCTAAAAGCGTCCCCTATATAAATCTGCGCGATACAATTACAATAGCTTCGATGTAACTCGAATAAATCAAGGGAAATCTTGGCGGGAACGGGCAACAGCGCTGATCCAGTTGCTACCGCCGGCGAAGACTGTCTCTGTAGAACTGGTAGCGCTTAGAACACCGAGTTGGTAGCGAACCCCATTGTCGTTTTGCCACTACATCGCCTCAAGTTAGCATTTATTTCATCACATCTGGCGGGATACTCAAATGTGCCTGGGGGCGGTGTGATATAATCCGGATAATAAGAAGTTTAAAGGGTTTAAGGGGTAAAACAGGGGCTAACGAGGACTTACGATAGGGCCGCCGCTCATACCGCCAGCGACATCAGCATCCGTAGAGAGGCCACCAGTTGCATCACAGTCGAATCTGTTTCGAATGGTAATCTTCTCCTGCCGATACGGTCTCTCGCCGTTTGCTAAATCACCCGGATACCCAAGGTGGAGGAGTTGGGGGTTGTTAATGAGCGATGGCTCGATGACCTTGGCTCCAAGGCCTCCGCGCTGATCTCCGAGACGAGCATCGAGAATGAAGATAGCCCAGTCCTCCTTGATGTCGCAAGCATTCGCGTCCGGGTCGTTCACCGAGTATCCAGGGAGGTGGATGATCGTTGTGACATACGCGCCGGGGAATGATTCGCCGTCGTAATACGCCGGCATGAAGCGCACGCTGACGCCTTGATTGTTGAGAGGGGCGCAGTGCTTAGCAGTAGCTACGTGACGCGGTCCGACTAGGGCGCCCGAGCAGTAAACGCCATTCGACCATTGGATCTTTCCCATGGCCGAAAACGGGTAAGACTTATCTGTCCATAGAACACGGTTGTCGGCTCCAAAGACGAAGCGTTTGTTAATCTCGGAATCATCTACCACTTGTACATGATCGGGCACGTGTGCCGGTACCTCAGTAACATTATGGTTAATATCGGCTGGAGTAAGGGTGATGATTTCTGGGATCGGACCATCGAAGACGCTCGCAGCCTGAAATTCTGGGATACCGATAGGCTGGGTAAATGCTTTCGTCTTGAGCTCTGGAACAGGCGTTGCAGCAATCCCATGGGACAGAAGCAGAAGGGCCGTAGCCAAGGGTATGGAAGAACGGAGCACCATTGTCGCGGAGGGAGTTTAGTTATGTCGATGTAGAAGAGGCTTGATGATTTAATCGTCCCATACAAATCGAGGAAGACGCCATTCTTATATTTATAGAGTTGCACCTCACTGTCATTCAAGACTTCACGGGACGTGTCAAGGACTCAAGAAAATCCCACGACATGACTGATTCAACCAGCTACCCCTGTCAACCTACTGTCAAGAAGAAGAAAAAAAAGGCAGCATTGTAATGGGATTCAGGTCAAACTGCCAAGTTCGGCCACAAGGTAACTGTGCCGCGCATGATGAATAGACTGACTGGAACTAGTATACGAAAGGAATTATGTTCAAAAATAAAAACAGTAAATTATTCCAAGTTAGACAGGTAACATGTAACATGTAAACGCCAAGAACAGGGCTTTATCTACCTTTCTCTCGAGTATCCATCACAAGCGCGCAGTTTAGTTAGCGAGTGGTTTGAAAGCAAGAAACTGACCACAGACCAAACTTAGGTCTAAGACACAACTGCTTGGCCGTACGCCTTGTTACCACATCTATTATTATCAACCTTCCTCATCCGGGTGAGTGTCCCCGCATAGCGACTCCATCTTGTAATACATTTATCCCTCCTGATCTTGTCATCCTGTCAACTTGTTGGAGTCGAGGGCGCCGAAATAAAAACCAAGGGCATCACTGCTTGCTTCCGTAAGATTGCAATGTTGCTTTTCAGATCGTTCCGGCGATAAGTAACAGCAATGCTCGTCGTAGTGTTTCGAGATCTTAGACCAAACTCGCTTATAATTCTATAACTTCCCTGAAGGCATATTTAAATGAAACCTGATAACGCCTATATAGAAGTAAATTTTTATAACGGTAATAATATTTTGTGGGTAGATCGAATAGAAATATGAGAAAAAGGTTAAGAATCGATGAGTGACTGCGCGCAAGGGCCACCGGACCGGCGAGCAGCCACCTTTGAAGCGATTCTCGCCCGACAAGGGCGAAACTCGAATATTCAAGGTAACGTGGTATATAAATGCAAGCTTCCTGTCTTGAAGTCACTCGTGGACACATAACCACATGAAAAACCTGGAATTGTGCAGTAGAAATGAGACAGGTAAGACCTCACAACGCTACTCTTGGAGCTTTGCATTGGCTACGAATAGGAGAATTGCTTCAGCTTCCAACACTAACTGTTGCCATGCGTCCCAAGGCATTACGCTTCTATTCAGGAAGCGGGTAAAGTTGGGCTCGGTCCGCAAACCAATAAAAGTGTCTACTCTATAGCAATTTCCCTGGTATGGTAAGTATTTTATGTGAAACTTGGTGTGCTAACAACAAATTCTTGTTTCTTTGTATTAACAGTAGCACTCGTTATCGGACGTATACTGGACCAATCCGTTAACCGCTCAAGAAAGGAATAAGAAAGGAATAAGAAAGGAATAAAAAGGGATGAGGCGCGACGTCGTCCGAGGCCGAGATAGCGTCGATGTCTTGTGTTTTATAGTGGGCATAGTTTCTTGAGAACGGATGTCCGGCCGAAACCCCGGGTTAAATCTGAGGGTTGAGACGCTTTGCCACAAGGTCAAGTTGTCAACATCTATTAGCTCGGATACATACATCCTACCTCTACTACGAGACGCCTAGGTATATGTTTAGATAGAGACCCTCGAAGAAGTTGATTCTATCGAGGAGAACTATCCGGCCTCTTGGACCTCGGAGCGATAGGGGTCATTGCAGCGGTCTTTCCGGTTTCCTAGACACTCTTCTCTTCTGTCGGCTTCGAGCAAGTTGACTGGATTCATGAGCTTAGTGAAGTTGATAATTCCCACCAAGTGTAACGGCAGGCCCCAATAGATAACGAAGGCCTTTTCACTCACCGGGCGACCATTGTTACCCAGGTAAGCACCTCAAGTAGGCGTGTATTGACTTATATACTGTCCTTGTCTAGAACCAAAGATTTGAAAGAAATGCTATGTAAGATAAGAAACAGTAGGACTGGGTTGGAGTGTTATACCTCTATTATTACTCCCTAATCAGATATAGTTATGGAGTAACGACGTAGGTATCTAGGTTAGCAACTTCAGATGATGTAACTTCAGTAGATCTTAAGAATAACATTATATTCATGAGACATTAGGTAACTACCTAAATTATCATACCGAGTTATTGCCAGCTGTTTAGAAGTGCCTAGCATGCAGAGCCAAACCTATTATAATTTCATCTCAGTACTTGCCCATCCCCATCTTCATACCCAACTTGAGTAACGTTAATGTGCTTGACCCAAACATCCCTCGTTTGACGGAAGGTAAAAGTCTCTTCCGCCCCGCCCCTTGATCATTATCCGTTGCGTTCCAGTGGCTCAAGGCTTCTTGAATAAGTGTTGAGTTACCGAATACATCGTCAAGCAGGTCGGGTATGCTAACTTGACTACCGTTAGTGAAGCTGCTGACGAGGTCGCCTATTAACTTCGTAACCGGTATTGTGGACGCCACGCGCCTATGGTTGAGGACGGCCTCGATGAACCTGATGTGCTGACCATTAACAACAGTTGCGTTACCTGTCGCGTCAATCTGGACGTTTCCGTCGTTCAGTGCGTCCGACTGGGCCGAAAGTATCGTCCCGATGTTCTGCATGAGCACGTCTAGGTACAGCTCGCCGTTGAAGTATCTCGAGTTATTCCCTGGAGGGAGTAACACCTCGTAAATGGTGATGAGACCAATTCGGAGGTCGCCCGCCATTAAATTAAGCGACAAGTTACCAATGCCGAGAGTGAGCGCGCCCCAGTTTGGTAGGTTGAGAGTACCCTGGATGTTGGTCCCATTATCTAGAGCTGGATAGAGAAGCTTCATATGTTCGATCGCAAACCCACTAAGCTTATTCAAGGAGGGTACCTCAACAGTCTTGTCTATATACCCATTTGAATGAAGCGCCCCTAAGTGGATCTTGGCATCACCACGAGTAGATAAAGCGACCTTAGGCTGATCAAAGACGTTTCCGAACCACGTAATAAGCTCAGTCTCGTTGGTAATCATGACTGTCTGGTCGGCAAGAACTATTTCGGTTTCTCCGTCTATGTGAAGTGGTGGTAGAGTGATGTTGACGAAAGGTGAAAATGTGGGAGTCTCATGATTATACATCAACAGGGTTACCGGGTCTATAGCTGCTGGCAGAGGCGTGTCAAGCGACGTCGTGATAGATATATTGAGTTTCTCTGGTGTTATAGCTACGAATGCACCGCCAGTTACAGGCATCTTTTGGTTGTCCAATATGCGCTGTACTATAGCTGGAATGATCACTAAAAACCTGAGGTCGCTGTTAGTACGCGTATAGGTATTCATTCCCGGCTAGAATACGTACAGGATTGGTAGGAATATGGCGAGGAAAATGATGAGTCCTATAAGATACCACCACCAGAATCGCCTACAATGGCGTTTGAACTTCTGTTTCTTCGTAAGAAGTGCCGCGACTGGTGTCTTTTCCGTAACATGATCAGCCGAAGAGGTCTCGTCACTTTGCCTCCCCGGAGCATTCGTAGTCCCTTCACTACCCTCACCTCTACCGCCATGTATAGAGGTCGTAGGGCTGCTAGCCTCATAGTGTGAGGTGTCTTCTCGAAAGGCAGATGCCATGATCTTGTCGTTGGCAGCAGAAGATGCTGGATAGATGGCAAGCGGAGAGAAGATGGGCGCTCAACAGCTTCCAGGCGGAAACGAGCGCGATGTACTGAACTTGAGGACGATTCAGCTATCACATGTTTGCCCAGCCCGCCTCGGGTTACATTGCGGCATTGCAGAACAGATGAGCTCCCGCTCCGTCCTACAATGCCCATCGGGCCAGAGCTAGACCCATCGAACACCGCCTTATAGCATGTTACCCCTCGCGACTTGTTGATCTCTCTGCACACCATTTCTACCGTTTGTGCTCACACCCCGGTTTCTGTAGTCCAATATTACAGGGGGATGGTCAGCTTTCGTCTATTCCTAGGATGATTCCTGGTTTTGCGCGGGTCACGCACGTATGATTGAAGACTATAACATGATAGCCCAGCGGGGTATTCGGCTTAGTCTATCCCACTGTCCCAGCAATTAATTGCTATTAAGTAGGTCTTCATTTACTCCGCAAGCAGCACAAACCACCGCACTAAAATGATGTCACCCTATATTCCGCTTGCCTAATAAGGAAATAGAGTCGATGGCCACTATTCCCACTTTGACCGTGCTGTCCGAGTGTATCCAATAATATATGGCCTTGCCGTATTGCTAGTTGGGCATCCAAATCGCGAATAGATTTGGCATTATGTTCGATCTCAAGGCTTGTATTATCTATTGTCTTTTCATCCAGACCATTCTGGACTGAAGTGTCCGTGCGGAAAGAAAAAAGACGGGTGGTAATTTATTCATACGAAGTACCCTCCTCTTCAATATACTGAATGCATAAACATTAATTTAGGCCGAAGTGGTTTTGAAGACAAGATGTGAAAAAAACAAGAAATGACTGTGAAGACGATGTGTTTACACATGCGATATAACAAGTGCCTAGGCAACTGTCAGATTCATGATGTCTTTCATGTAAGTGAGGTTACTGTGAGCATACATAATTGCGTAAAGTTGTAACCATAACCCTACCTTAATGCCAAGTTGTCGAATCGTGATCCAGAAAAGCTTGATGAGTTGGGTCCACAAATCCAGGGGTCCCTGGTAGTCATATGCAACCCATGCCGGGAGGGATTAGGATCGTGGAGAAGTTGGGGTAGCTGGGGTAGCTGGGGTAAGCTGACAATGACCAGAGCTAGAGAGCTAGAGAGCTAGAGAGCTAATAGGTACCCATGTGAGCAGCTTGGTAAATATCCCAAGATGGCATAAAGTCCGAAGGACGGTCTCCATCGCCGAGACATAATTCCATGTGATATGAAGCGGACGGGCAACGAGGGCAGCATGTAATATTGCTCATATTCTCAAACTTCCCATCTCGTCTGTCATGTTTTCTATTCCGTTGTCGAGCTGAATCCGAGCCTCAGCTTCAAGCCAAAGAGAAGAGAACGACGCCTCAGAAACCTCCCAATAGTCAACCAATTATCGTCATGTTGTTTTTCAAACTCTTCCTAGTGGCTCTGGCGCCTATCAGCCTCGTCGCCGAAAGCGCACCGCAAGCAGCGTCGACACCAGACTTGGATCTTGATGCACTTCTCGCAAAGCACAACCTAGCTTTAGTACCTCGGTCGGATCTGACAGACGCCCTGACAGAGCTTAATGGCTTGCTCAGAAGAAACCAGGTTCAGCAACAGAAAGTCGCACTATATCCGCGACAGAAGAGCAACAGCACCGGTTCCGGCTCTGGTTCGAACTCTGGTTCTGGATCCGGGTCAAGCGGCGGTCTTGACCTCGGTGACCTTGGAGGGCTCGACGATTTAGGCCAGATTCTTGAAAGTCTGACCAAGCTCATTACACAGTTGGGTGATCTCGGGGGCTATCTTTCGGCTATCCAACAACTATTAAGCGATGAGTTCTTGCAGGCTCTACACGACGCTATGGTTTACCTTGCACAGACACTTCGTCCGCCCATTCCAAATATCGCTAGGAACGTCCTCACTAAGGTTGAACCGCTAATCGACCTGCTCGGTTCCCTAGATTTAGAGGGTATCGTAGATGAAATTAAGGGCATCGACTTGAAGGGTATACTCAATGCGCTACAACCCCTTCTAACCCCCGAATCTATTAAGGGCCTCGTTGGTCTGTTGAGTAATACAGAAAAGCTTTTGACCCCGGAGACTGTCGAGGCTCTAAACTCAATACTGTCAAGCGTACAGCCACTGATTGACCATCTCTCGAAGATTGACCTTGAGGGTATACTCGATGCCTTATCTCCCCTTCTCACGTCAGACTCGGTCAAGGGTATAGTGAGCTTGTTGCACAATGCTGGAGATCTTTTGACGTCAGATACTGTTGATGCGCTCAAGTCGCTGCTTTCCAGTGCCAAGCCTCTCCTTGATAGCCTCAAGGATATTGATCTTCAAGGGTTACTCGATGCGGTAGCCCCACTCCTAACAGCAGACTCGGTCAAGGGTATCGTCGGTCTACTTGGCAATGCTGAATCTCTCCTCACCAAAGATTTTGTTGACCAGACCAAGTCTCTGATTTCTGGAGCTGGGCCGCTCCTTGACAGCTTGAAGCAAATCGACCTGAAAAGTTTGATAGATCAGATCTCTCCAATCCTTAATGAACTCGGCCAGCTTGACTTGAAGGGCTTGTTCGAAGCTATCAGCCCGCTGTTGACATCGGACTCCATCAAGGGTATTATAGGGTTGCTCGGCAATGCTGAGAATTTGCTGACTGGAGAATTCGTCGACCAGACCAAATCTCTCATCGCAGGAGCAGGTCCTTTACTTTCGAGTCTGGGTGATATCGACCTGAAAGGTCTGCTCAGTCAAGTTTCGCCCTTACTCGATAGCTTAAGCAAGATTGATCTCCAAGGTCTACTTTCGGCCGTCAAGCCCTTATTGACGCCCGACTCGGTGAAGGGTATCGTCGGGCTTTTAGGCAATGCTGAGGACCTGTTGACGACACAGTTCGTTGATCAGACGAAGACGTTGATATCTGGTGCCGTGCCATTGATATCCGCCGTCGGTAAGCTTGACTTAGAGGGCCTTATCGAGCAAGTAAAACCACTACTAGATTCTCTAAGTCAGATTGACTTGGGTAGCCTGGTCGAGAAGATTCAACCTATTCTTGACGCTATAGGCCAGATTGATATCGCGGGATTAGTCAAACAAATCACGCCAATTCTGAACTCCCTCGGGCAGATTGATTTATCCAGTCTCATAGACAAGATAAAGCCATTACTTGATGCTGTCGGTCAAATCGACTTCGCAGGTCTGATCAAACAGATCACACCGATCCTGAACTCCTTAGGCCAGATTGATCTAGCTGGTCTTATCGAAAAGATACAACCTATCTTGGATTCTCTCGGTCAAATTGATTTCGCAGGGTTAATCAAACAAATAGCCCCTATTATAACAATATTAGGCGAAGTTGATATAAAGGGAATCTTCGACGCTGTCTCCCCTCTACTCACACCGTCCTCTGTCGACGGTCTTGTAGGACTTGTCGATAACGCCGAGTCACTCTTGACGAAGGAATTCGTTAATGAAACTCATACCATCATCGACGGCGCAGCGCCGTTGGTTGGAGCTCTAGGAAAAATCGACATTGGAGGTCTCTTGGACCAAGTCAAGCCACTTCTTAGCTCATTAGGTCAGATCGATCTGGCTGGTCTTATTAAGGCTGTCAAGCCTCTCCTTGGAACTCTGAGCCAGATTGATATCCAAGGAATTGTTGAACAGGTCACGCCTTTGATTACACCAACTTCCGTCAAGGGAATAATAACCCTACTCGGGAATGCGGAGAATTTATTATCAGCTGCATTCGTCTCACAGACGACCGAGTTAATAGGCGACGCTACACCTGTAAGTTTTCCTTGATTTGATTGCTGTTTATACTTGCCATCGTCGTATCTTCAAAGAGAGCTTAATCTGACATTCTGCTTCTTCAATATAGATCGTAGCGACATTATCAGATTTTGTAAACGCCATTCTTCAGGCGATGCTTGGGAATTCATGATCTGAATGAATGAATGAGTAGCGTCGGGAAAAGAAATGCGGGCGACGGCACGAATAATGTAACCTAGTAAAGGTAATGAATAATTATGAATATTAATGGATTGAAACAATAAGCTGCATTGTGACATATGCATGGATTATGTAGTGCATTATGTAATGCATATAATGTAATGCAGCTGTACCCGCTTAAAAGTTCCCATGTTTAAGCTCTACATGTAGTTTGGCGCGAAGATGCAAAAGCCAGCACCAATACACATCACTTGGGAAGAGGACATATAAACTCTATATCTCATGGAGGGCTTGAAGGTTTCAATGTGTTTTATCAACGGAGACTAGGTACTATTGTAGTTTTATTGTTGGCGTCGAAAAGAGGCAGGTTTGCTTGTTCTAGTTACTGTTCTAGTTACTGCTTCCATCTTCGAAACTCATTGCAAGACATTTTCCAACAACCGCGTTATTCGAATCATCATCTTACACAAGGCTCAACTACCTACACTTCTCATTAAAGAGAAATTCAGAGGCTTCAAAGAATTATTAAATAGGTAGGTATCTATAGCAAGTTCAACAGAATCTATTGTATAATGTATTAATTAACTTAGGTACCTAGTTGTTGATATAAAGTCTTAACACCGGTTCCGGAGTTACATATAGAATCTCCGGCATACAGTGTGCCCTTAATGGCAAGCTAAACGCAGTGAGGTACATTGCTGATTAAAAATCTGATTGGCCGAGCTTCTCGCACTTTTCCTAACATAGTATTTTTCAAGTCTTTTCAGAGTGTTGATTTGCTGATATAAGTGGGGTCTATACCTATCTCTTGCTCACAGCTGAAGGAAAACATAGAGGGCAGGGAATTGAGTCTTATTGCTGTCCTGGGGTCAAGCAAGTCCTTTGAAGTCACCGCATATAAATCCCGTGAAAATGTAAGTCCGCACGGATGGATTGTTCGCCCGATTTAGTTGAAATATATTCAAAAATTTGTCATCGAGCTTTGCAACTACACCGTTTTAGAGAGATACATATATTTTCTCTATGATGTTTTCACGTTCAGTCGCCTTACGGAAAGGGAATATCCATAGTCCAACAGAATTCGCAGATCCTTCCAATTATGCCGTCAAGGCCTAAATCTAGGGTTTCTACATAGTATCCTAGGCACCATATAGGACATCGTGACCCGAAAGCCCGATTGAAGCTACTGATGCAGCGCGGAGTGGTTGTCGCAATTGATGGTGGTATGCCTACAGAACGTTCTACTATGTAACTCAAACTAAAAGATTCCCCGGGTCTTAAGCCCGTTACGTCCGAGTGAAGTATATAGAGATACCTGGTATATAACTAAGTCCGATAGCTTCACGTCTAAACCGTTAGTTCATACTATCACTACTTTCTATATCTTCATACAGCTACTTCGATATAAGAAGTCTTTATAATGTCGTATTCTAAGTGCTGCCTCAAGGGTTTCCAATGGAGCGGAACTCCATGCGGGAAGACCGGGAAGATCGCCGATCTCAATACTTACATCGCGGGTGACAACGCCGACGCTGCCGTGCTGCTCATCCACGATGTTTTCGGTTGGACTTTTCCCAACTTACGTCTGCTAGCGGACCACTTTGCTCGCGAGATCAACGCGACTGTCTATCTTCCTGACTTCTTCGACGGTGAAGTCATCGAGCCCACTCCAGCCATCTTATCCGGAGACTTCAGTGGTTACGACTTCGCAGGCTTTATGGTACGAAACTCCCGCCAGGCCCGAGAGCCGGAGATCTTTGCCGTCGCGAAGGCCCTGCGTCAGAAGTACAAGAAAATTGGCGCTATCGGCTATTGTTTCGGAGGATGGGGTGTATTTCGACTGGGAGCCAAAGAGCACAACCCCCCTCTAGTCGACTGTATCTCAACTGGACATCCGTCTTTGTTAACTAAGAAGGATATCGACGAGGTCGCAGTCCCCGTGCAGCTTCTAGCCCCCGAGCACGACCCTATATATTCCGAGGAGCTGAAGAGTTACACCTTTGAAAAGGTTCCTAAGCTGGGAATCGAGTTCGATTATCGCCACTATCCGGGCGTGGCGCATGGCGCTCTTGTCCGCGGTAGCGATGAGGAGCCTGGCGAGCTATTGGCTATGGTTAGGGCAAAGAATGACGCTGTAAACTGGTTCAACCAGTTCTTACACGAGCCGTAGGTTGACTGTTCGGGCTACGATCAAGACTGACATCACAACTGAATGTAACCAATACTCTTATACTAGAGACGTGGAATTGAATGAAATAACTCGTATGAAAGTGGTTTATTGGCTAGGTACCTATCCATGAACTTGGTCTAATCTGCACTCTCTCCTAATAATACTAACCGTAGCCTACAATAAGAACACCTAGCATTACTCGAATCGGCCCTCCTCGTAAAAGGTATTCCTCCGGGGCAACTCAGAATCGAATCCCTTAGATTCCTTCATGTGGTGATCGAAGCTCAGAGTTGACATTTGCACCTTATCGAACAAGCTACGGTCCAACACCGGCGCCATAGGGAGCTGTTGGCCATTTGCTCGTGCCGCCTCGGTCGCGATAGTATAGTTGTGATGCGCCAGACTCGACGCAATCTGGAAAGCATTGCGGATCTGGCGACCGTTCCAGCAGCCAGTAGACCGGGCGTTGTCTTCGTAGTGCTTTCCGGCAAAGTCAATAATCTCGCGGTCCCTGATGACGAGCGCGGGCTCGCCTGTCATGTGGTGTCGCTGGGCTTCGATCTCGCGTAGCTTGGCAAGGTTGAGTCGGAAGATTTCTTGGGTCTGGGTCTTGTCAAGTGGCGGGTAATACAGCGACATGTGGATACGTGACTTGAACGCTTCGTCAATGGTGTTCACACGGTTTGTCGTGAGGAAGAGTAATCCGTTGTAGTACTCAAGCACACGCAGGAAGACTGAAACTAATGCGTTGCGCTTCATGTCGACCTTTGAACGCTGCGAGAGGAACACGTCGGCTTCGTCTAGCAAGAGGACGCAATCCCACAGGTTCGCCAGACGGAAGACGTTATTCAGCGAATACTCGACTTCGGACGGAGTAAGACCAAGGTCACCGCAGGTAATGACGAACAGAGGTTTGCGGTACTCCATAGCCACTGCTTCAGCTGTCGCGGTTTTACCTACACCAGGAACACCGTGAAGTAGAACAACCAGACCACGACCCTTATTCTGGATCAGATCCTGGCCCGGTCCTTCGGTGGACATATCGACGTACCGTCGCTCGAGGCTCTTTTTCTGGAAGTGGGAAGCGACAAGACCTCTCACAATATCCTTATAATCCTTTAAGATCTTAAGGTTCTCGAATACGCCCTGCTCCCTACGGATAGGTTTCAGGAACTGAATGTTGACGGGCACAAATCTGCGCTCGCGTAAGGCGTACGCGAACATACGCTTGGGGAGGAGAACAAGGTCTTCCTCGCGTAACTCTAGAGCCTCTGGGTTCGTCTCGTACGTGCGGCTACCCTTCGTCCGTTGGCGTAAGAATGTATCGATACTGAGGTTCTCGCGGCGCTGCCATAGCTCAACACCCTCCCGCTTCTGTACAATTTCGCTCTGTGAATATGCAAGGTTCGTTCGCGAGGCATCAAACCACTGTTGGATACCCATTCCGTCGTCCTCGACTTCACATGCGATAGACTTGTTTACGGTCAATCTATGGAAGGAAGGTCGCCATCCGCCATGCTTCTGGTACGCCTCTTGGAGATCAACGATAACGTCGCTCTCAACGAATTCGGGGTGACGCATCTTCTCATAGTTTTCGTTCTCCAAGACCTCGTCGTTGGCCTCGGCAGTGTCAAAGGGCGGGTTCCTTGTCAAAGTCCAAGCATGGTATGACTGATGCCTGTCACCCAGAAATCTCTGGAAATCTTGTCCCTGCTTCTTGAGAGAATCTAGGAGTAGTTGGTGATCCTGTCGGTAGCGAATGGGAAATACCTCGAGAGACTCGACAAGTCTCTCGCCAACGAAAGACTCGATTTCGAATGTGTGACGCACAGCGCCGAAGGAGTCACCGTCGTGGTCGATATAGTAGGCGTAGATGTTGAACTTATCCTTCTTGTCTTGCAACGACTCTTCCGGGAAAAATTCCCATTCTAATTTTGAGGGATAGGCTGCTTCTACTTCAGGCATCTCTGTCCGGTAGATGCGCCAGACCTCATGATAGCGACCCGCTGTCTCCCCGGCTGCTGGCATGTAAATAAGGTCCCCGGGACGAAAGAGAGACCACAGATCCTCAAACTTGACCTTGTCGGTTGCACTTTCGGAAAAGCGGCTGTGTTGAGGCATTACCTCCTTTTCGATAAAGTTGACGTAGCATCGCATATCCCTAAGAGCCTCGGGGCTGTCCATAATGGTGTCTAAATCCTCAGCGTTCGAGTCAACAGAAAGAAGAGACTCATTGTCGTCATCATCATCATCATCATCATCGCCAGCCTCGGAGCCCGAGTCCTTCGCCTTAGACTTAATGCTCTCCACGTCAGGAATCTCTGGGAGTTCCTCGGATTCGACGTCGTCAATCTCCTCATAATCAGCCCACTTCTCTTCCAGAGTGGCGAGGATCTCTTTCATTTTTGGCTGAAAATATACTAAAGCCTTGAAAGGCCTGACGAAAGTGCGAGGTGTAGATCTCAATTCGGTATCCTTTAGAAGCGATGTGAGATGTCCCAGGACAGGCTGTGATTGAATGCGGATGCGTTGCATTTCGCCCTCGTTCATCTGAGCACTCTCTGCTTTCTTGTCTCTCTTGGCCTTTTCCGAGGCTCCATTCTTGGCTCGTGAAGTATACACTTGCTCACGGGGAAGACCATAAGCAAGTAACATATGCTGACGAGTACGAGCATGGTCCTCCTTTCGCCGAAGAGCCTGCTCACGGCGGATCTGGGCCTGCAAATAAGACCCAGCCATAAGGACTTCGATGGCATAGTCGGGCTCATCAATATCGTGGAAGCGATTCTTGAAGTTTTCAAAGTTGAGCCTGCGTACTTCGGGAATCTTAGGTCGCCATTTGGCTTCAACACGGCGACGATCGGCCAGAATATTTTCACGCCGCTCTGCCTCCCTCTGCGCAGCTAGAAATGATGGATCATTTTCACGGTAGTGCCGCGAACGCTGCGTGGAGCGCTTCGACTTGGAATCAAGATTCTTTCTAGGAGCCATGGTGCGTATCTCCAGTCAAGTTTTTATAGTAATATATAAGTGTTTATGTGGAAATGGTCCTATAATGGCTAAAAGAAAGGTATAGCTACAGGAGACAAGATTGAAAAGACAAAGGTAAATGGCAATATATATACCTACCTAGGCAGGTATATAGTATAGGGGAACCGGGATACACTCGTTGGCCAACTAAGCTTGAGCAGCATATCTTGTGTATCGTTTCCTCATTCTAGACCAGATTCCGCCAACAGTAGCTCATCCTTCTTAGAACTTCTCGTCACCGTTGAATGATGCATATGCATTAACTACCCAATCGCTTCCGGTAGACGATAAACAGTGGATATCAAGGCAACTATAGCCTAATGGGTCCCTGGCTCAGCCGCCGAAGGGCTGAGTCACCCCGGAGAACAACCTGGCGGAAATGATCAATGCGAGGTTCGATCCAATCAAGTAAGTCCGTTAGGATCCGTCGAAATCAAGAAAAGGCATCTCTTAGACGATAACTAGTCCTGCATATAAGCATGAGGCAGCCAACAACAGTATGGCGGAGTATTCCAAACTAACTTTGTCTGTGCCGTACATAGTGTGTAGGCGTGTAGTGAGGGGACGTAGACAGGCTAGCAGGCAGGCAGGTAAGCTACGATAAGGCAACATTCTTGGCGATGTCGATCGGATAGATCAGCGAATAAAACCCCTATAAAACTAGGGTAGGACTTCCGAAATTTCCGAGCTAACCAAGATTGAGAATACCTGCCAGCCCTACCTCACCTGCTCAGGGATACTGGTGCCATTTTAGATGGAAGGATTGATGTGTACCCAACCTAATATAACAGTTTCTACTCCTCCAGGTACATAGTTGAGTTATTCAACTAGTTATCGAATCTAATTCATTAACAAATGGAACACACGGGATAGGTACCTATACAACCTAATCAAAGGAGCATATACTACGATATAGAGAATTGTCGAAACCAAGAAAAACTTAAAGGTGCATAATCATCAGATTCCTTTGTCAAGTCGTGGATAGTACGCCCAGAGTATAGCATAATCTGACAGTCCCCAACTAATCGAAAGTTCCCCGGCAGCACACGGTCTTTCCGTTCAAATGGCAAGTCGATTTCGTCGGGAGATTTCCTAAGTAGGAGAGACGACTTATTCGTATTCAATGGCCGCATGCCAGTATTGAAGAATGCCTGGAAAGTGGAGGACTCCGGAGCAAGTATCGTGTCTCCTGGTTGGGTATGGGAGGGTCCAAACCCGTACTGTGGCTGAGACTTAGCGGCGTCCTGCCAAATGAAGATAGTGCGTCCTTTCATATAGTTCCAAGTATATTTGTAAAATTCTTTGTTTATTGACCCTTGTTGTATGTCCTCGCAGACTCTTTGCAGATACCCTCGATACTCGGCCCATGATTTATGAAAGCCTTCCATGTTGAAACTTGTCAGCCCGTCATGTTCATATGGTGTCTTTTCATTTAAAACGGTATTGACTAAACGAGCTAGGATATGTTCGCTAGGTTGGTGTTGGTGTTGGTGCACACTATGTTGGGATGCTTGTACTTGTAGCTCAGATAAGCTTGCCCATGTGTCTAAGAACCATTCATGAATCTCGGATTCGAAATATTCGCTAGGGAAAATAGCGCTAACATTGTTATTAGTCACTTTACCCAGTAGATAAATGCTCGATGACTTGATTGTCAGTATTGACCTGTTATGAGGCTCCAAATGGCCTTGAATATGAGGAGAAAACCAAAGCGGCTCTCTAATCTTGGGTTTCCTCCAATCGGGAACCCACGAAGGCATTTGGTCAGACTCATCAGCTGTCTTCCTGATAGCGCATTGAGCTAACAGACCAACAGTCCCTAAGTTCCCAGAGTCAAGCAACCCAACCACGACATCATGGTAAAGACATTCAGCGGTGATGGTATAGTCAACAGGTATCATAGTTTTCTCATGATCTCCGGTCTCCTTCTCTACACCCCTCCCATCTATCTCTTTAGTCCGTCCCTTTTTATTGATGTTATCTCTCAATTGCACATCACTTGCCAGTCCGGCCAAGGCGTATATCATGTCCCTAGCATCTTGGCATTCGGAGCCGTGAAACGAAGCAAGAAGATTGAACATGTGGGGTTGTGCATCATCTTTCCGGAGTATCCAGTCCTTCCAAAGGTCCGCCATCGTAACTAGGGAGCTCATGACTTCCGTCGCTATTCCCGTGCTTAGAGCTTGGACAAGCCGCACCCATGGCATACTCACGCCGGCACAATTGAGAAAGACATTGGGGTTCAAAACCACTTCTTGTATTATCCAGCGTCGATGGAACCATGGTAGCTTGGTGATGTTACCTAGTTCTCGGGTGATCTCTGCCGTAGAGACGCTTGGTCCAGGCTGCTTCGTATAATGATGGAGTCGGCGCAGTGAGTCAGAACCACTTTCATCAATACCCAGCCAAACAAATACTGATGACGCACTGCGATAGATCTGCCTCATGAAAGGGATTTGTCTTGACTTTTCGTCATTATCTTCTTGGTTGATACAGATTGCATCAATCCAAATCATACGAGCCACGGTTGGCATTCGGAACCGCTGCAAAGCATACAAGAGATTTGGCGTGATCATTAAGTAATACTGATCAACAATAAGTTCCTCTGTAAAGCTTGGGATTCCCCACGTGTACGACAAGGCATCATATTCGGACTTCTCGTGGTCTAGATTGATCTCGAATAATGAGCACCGGATAGGCGCCAAGGGGTCCAAGGAAGGATGCAAGTTGAGAACTCGCGTATGAGCGTTTGAAGAAAGGGGGCTTTTCAAATATGTGAAAGTCAGTATCTAGGATTGTCCTATACGTTTACTGCTTAATATAAATAAGACCGCAAATTTCGAACTATACTTGAACATTATGAAGTAACCCGTCGGATTGACAGGTAATGATAAAATACGAGGCTTGAATACTAACCAGTATTTATAAGGAACGAGCCTATGGGGAATCTCTTCACGCTGAGCCATCGCGAGTCATATGAAGTCTAATAACTTCAACTCTAGACGATTTAAAGGGGTATATAGTGACTGGGTGGGTGGGTTATTAATTACTGACTTAGGTTAAAGATATATAATAAAGAGTAGCGATTGCATTAATGGTAAGGAGGTTTAGACATTCTACAGAGGTAGGTGGTGTTTTATAAATTGGGAGTTCTAGAGGAATGCGGGGGATATTACATTAGGTACCTATGAGCCTGGGACGATCAACTGGCTAGAATTAAAGATTTCCCAACTTTGATATGCCTTTGATGTAAGTAAGTGGCTCAGCATTCAGCAGTACCTAGGTACCTAACGTACGAAGGCCCGGACTAGGTTAGAAGTCTTGCACATCTAAGCTTGGCAAAGTACGTGCGAGTAAACAAGAATTGCACGGTCTTCTTTAAGCTGTAGTAGCTGATATCGCTATAAATATAGTGGCACTTAGGTACCTAAGTAAGCCACCTAAGTTTTGGTGGACAATCCACTATCGGGCCCTCAGCTTAACACGTGGCTGATACAGTGTCAGTAAATCAAAAGACATTCAAGACACAGTACCACGGATCTAGTTCTCATCCAATTTAATAATACACGCCTTATGCACATAGGTATCCTTACAAGATTTATTCTTTGAACCACTGAGACATCTACGATAAATGGTTTCTGCTCAGGATAGTTAACTAACAGGTAACTAACTAACTAGTGGTTTAATCTTAGTTATATTTATAATTATTTGTGCTTAAACATGGTCGAGTTTTTTATTTGCATTTATTCTCACAGCCAGGCTTTTATATTATTACCCCTATTTTTTGAAAGCAGATAATTTATCGAAAACATAATAGTCCCAAAATGCTTCATTATGACTGATTAGGTATGCATTATATCCTATAAATGATTTCTAAACTCACTAGTATAAAATGAAAATATTTAGCGACCTAATCTATGCGTGTATATTTACCTAGTTAATACAAGTTGCTTTACTAGGCCTGCTACGGTACATATGGGAAGTTTTCAATTCAATATTGCTGGGCTCATTAACAATAGGTACCCAAGGTATCATAACAGCTATAAGCTACTAGAATACTAGTCACGATTAGTTTTGTTGAATTATTAAGTGCTATTAAAAATGTGTAAGATATCAATTGTCAAATAAGAAAAAAAAGTCTCAACTAGCAACTAGGTAAAAACAATGTGGCATTTAATGCCATATTTATTGCTATTTCAGATCACGTAGTTGATTGGTTTTGCTAAGTATAAGTACTTGATAAAATATCTCATAATTAAAAGGGGGGATAAAAGGGAGGATAAAAGGGAGGATTAATCTTCCCCAGAGGTGCACCAACCACTTCGGCCCCCTTATGTATTTTCTGATTGAGTAGCCCTAATATCGAGAGGTGCCTGCCTCCCTCTGGCTCATTTTTCCGCTTTTCTCTTGTCTTCCTCCAGCTTGTCACTTGTCTCTATGAGTGATCGAATGAAACTCTGGAGATCATCAGCCTTATCCATCCCTTTAGCGCAGGTCTCATAGCGCTTGGAATCGGCGTCCAGTGACAATTTTAGGAGACGGAGTGTGCAATAATGCGTGTCAGCCTCCCTGAGGTACCCGTTCAAGAAGTCGTGTTCCTTATCGCTCAAAATTCTATCGTTGGGGATGGTCGACTCGATGTCGGTTCTCATAACTGAGAGCCTAGTAATGCTGTGTGTTTCCATGATGAATAGAAAGAACGGTAGTTTGAGATAAATCTAAGTATCGTGTAGTCTTCGCAAAGTGTGGTAGGCAGGTTGATGTATGGAAAAGATTTGTTAAGAGGAGAGAGACATCACTAGAACTTGGGCGTGTTTATATATTCATAATTGTGAGAAGAACATACTCAAACACGTCACCATCAATTTTAAGAAATGTCAATATGGGCTTTGTACAATGACAAGGGATGTGTATTTTTGTCACGCAATTAACCAGGCATGACAAACAAATTTATTATAAGATGAACGAAGACTCCAAGACACCATAACTCGGTGCATATTAATTACATGTAGTTGTGACGTGTATGCGGCTTCAGATGTATTTACCTCGATTCAGGGACTCACATATATCGGTTTTTGATTTGTCGTACACGTCTCATTCCACCATTGAATTTGCTTCTGGGAGGTACTTATAAGGGTAAAATACCGAACGACAACAAATTTACCTAAGCTATGAAAATCCATCATAGACCAACGTGAAATTAGGTACATTTATTTACTCAGGAGATGGCTGCCTCCGTATCTGACCTAGGATAAGTTAAGTACCTTAGGTTGGTAAATCAACATATGGTTTGTATATTGGTGGTGAAGTTTACGCTTCCACTCAAGCAGTACTAGGAGAGCCGCGGGAAGGCTAATGACAAGAGTCACCAGCCTAATTATTGCCTCAAATGTTAAGTTCGTCGCTATTATGAAAGCCTCGCTAGCAATAAGGACAACATAAAATTGACGCATGTTCAGGGTATTTATTCAAGGGCAATCTGGAGTATCCTTTTTATACTGGAGGGTAATTGCGATGAGATGAGCATCAATCTCTTGCATCTTGGAATATTAGATGTCAGTTAGTCCACTAGCACGTAAATCGTTATTCTATTCTTTTGGGTTACTATTTTATCTCGCGCATGCCCGTGAATCCATATTCAAAAAGATCAGAATTGTTGTGTAGGATGTGTAGGTATTTAGTATCAGTGTCTTACTGAGGCTTCCTAACCCACGAATAAATGGCCGCAGTTTTGATACCGGTGTTTCCCCCCTAAAGCTCTAGGTTAGAGGCTTCGTCTACCATCAACCGCCACCCTCTCTATTACACTCCCTATGACTAAACTTCACGATATACTTCAATTCCAAAAATATGAGTAAGGCACACTTACATTCATGTTCCCCGTGGTTCAATCAAATCCCTCACCACAGTCCCCGGGAAGCTGTTAAGCTGATAGATCATGTCCAGAAACATCGAAAGCAGCTGATCTGCGAGTTCTTGACCGAACACAGCACTTGTGAGAATAACTTTTAGCACTTTTTTGGTGACGTCTTCTGGACTGGGGAATGGAATACAAGTCACCATGGGGTAGGTGTGTATCATCTTGAAGTCGTGTATAGCGAGATTGCATGGGATATTCCCTGGGAAGACATAGCTGGGAGCAACTGGTGCACTTAAGTAGTGGACAGCAGATCCGAATTCGGTATCATGGGGCCAATCAGTGCTCTTGGCCACTATCTCGTCCCAATCTGCGGTGTCGCTTGTCATGGTCTGGATGTGCTGACGCCGGATCCATTGGAGTAGCTCCTTCGCCGTCCATTCGGCTTTCAGGGGTACTCGAACCGGAATGTAGTTGATACAAGGTCCGACAGTGCTCTCAATGCCAGCAATATCCAGGTGACGATTCCTTACCAGCTGGGCAAAGACAATATCCTTGCTTTGGGCATGCTGAGCAACACATAATGCCCACGCGGCTTTCACTACCGTAGCCATAGTGACGCCCCCTTTGACTTCAGGCATCGGAATGTCACACGAGCTCGTTACAAGTAGCTCGGTGCGCGTTCTGTCCGTACTGCGAATGTACTCGTGGGGCGGGACGAGGTAAGACATCTGTGACCCTTGGAGTATTTCTCGCCATTCTTGAAAGACGGATGGCGTGTTATGTGCTATACGACCAGTGATAAAACTGGCGTATTCCAGAAGAGGGGCCGCAGAAGGAGAATATATCGATTCACCCAAGGCGGATCGAAAATCTGCAATCATACCTGACATTGCGACGCCGTCATATTGGGCGCGATGCAGCCTAAACACTATAGAAATAGGGCCATCGGTTTGTCTTCCTGAAACTAGTAGAAGCTTTGTGCTAGGAATGCCGAACGCAACGATCTCCTTTCGATCTTCCTCCCTGCATATGGATTCAACACCCACTGAAGGATCCTCTTCATCGATCGTGATTTCTTGGATTGGTAAATCGAAGTGACGCAAAGATATTTGAGCGTAGTCTTCTTTGAATGGGACGAACGCGGTGCGGAGAATGGCATGCTTCCGAACGAGATCGAGAACGGCATTTTTCAGTCTACCGGGGTCAATTGGTCGACAAAAATGGAGCGCAATAAAATTAGCATGCTGCGCAGCTATATGGCCCCGTTGAAAGTAAGTGGTTGGGACGATGTCGATGACTTGACTCTTATTCAAACGCCACTGTGCGCAGATCTCGTCCACGGACTTCTCGAGGGGATTTAGCGATGTTGCCCTGGTAAGAGATTTCCGCTTGATTCCTTGTTCCTGGGTCAAGATTACAGCCAAGTCAGACAAACGGGGATATTTGAATATAGTTGGCACTGAGATCACCAGTCCGTCCTCACGAGCAGACGTCGCGACCGTCATAGCTGTGAGCGAATCCAACCCAGCCGTGAATAGGTCCTCGTCTAATGGAATGCTCTCGGGAGGTTTGTGCAGCGCGCGTGCTATGAGTCCTTGGAGGAGAGCTTCTAAGGGTGTCGAAGGGGCTCGTATATTAACATCGGCGCCTATACCGTACGCTTCTAATTCCTGTCGGGATAATGAAGCGATTTGTTGTCGCAGTAGCTTTCGGTCTGTTTTCCCCGTCTGTGCCATGGGTAGATGAATAAGAGGTAGGAATACGGTGGGGACCATATACAATGGCATGAGAGCTCGAAGCTTAGAGGCTGCTGCTTTGACGGTTTGACGGAAAAGAGATGACGGAGGGTAGAAGATGCTGGCGCTCCCCGGTGGTAGTGGTGCTTGTGTTTCATCCAATGCTACTTGTTTCGATTTGATGAGGGCTATCAACTCCACCGAGTTCGAGCCCTTGACAAGTTCGACGACTACGTGACTGCCGGGGAAAGCTTTGGAAACAAGCGCTTGCACCTCACCAAGTTCAACACGCTGACCCCTGATCTTGATTTGATCGTCTCGTCGTCCGACAAAAATGAGGGAACCATCAACACCATAGCGAACCAAATCTCCGGTTCTATATAGTCGATTGGATGCATGATCAGTCCGCAGTCTTACCAGCCAAGTTGGAGGATCGATGAACGCGGCAGCTGATCGTTCCGGATCATTGATATACCCACGACCTACAATAGGTCCTTCTAAGATCAACTCTCCTACCGCGCCAGGGGGCACAAGTAGTTCATAGTTATCAGGTTGGACAATCCATGCCACGCAACCGTTAGGCCGCCCGATATTTCTGGCATTGCTGCTCTTACCCAGTGGCTCGGACACGGTGCTAATCAAACTACACTCAGCTGGGCCATACCCCCCCAAGAGGCAGACCTTGTCATGCCAAGTATTGAGATCCGTTGGAGAGATGGATTCCCCGCCAAGAACCAGGGTCGTCATATGAGTCAAGTCTTGTGGTCTCATCAGTCTGGCGACCGTAGGAGTTAGAAAAGCCCAGTTCGCCCTGAGCTTATTCGCTGCTTGTGCAATGTCGCCGGTGCGTTCCTCGTCAGATGGGATGCATACGCAGCCGCCCACACGCAGAGTGAGCAGTATATCTGTTATGGGGATATCCCAGGCGTGCGAAGAGAACTGTAGTGTACGTGTAGCTGAGGTCATACGCATGCGTGACGATAGGGTCTCCGCGGCGGTGGCCAGCGACGAATGGTTGACTACTGCACCTTTTGGTGTCCCTGTTGAGCCAGATGTAAAGACCAAGTAGGCTGCATAGCTTCCTTTAACCATGACTTTTTGCCAGGAGCTCTGTTTCCTAGTATGTCGGATACGGTCGAACAACCGGTCTGATATCTCAATCGTATCCATCGCAAGATCCGCAGCCTTACTCCGAGTATGTGGCGATGATATCACCAGCCGAGCCTTCGTGGCTTCGCAGATACTCTGAAGTCGTTTTGATGGGTGCGAAGCGTCCATCAGTACGAAAGAAGCGGCCGACTTCAAGATCGCAAGAACGGCAACAGGGGTCCAGCGGGTCTTCTCCAGCAATACCGGAATAACTGTGTCTGCACCGACACCCAGGCTGATGAGGTCTTCTGCCAGAGATGAAGAGATTTGATCGAGTTCTTTGTAAGTAAGATTGCCATCCCAAGCACAAACAGCGGGAGAATCTGGTGAATCGAGACACTGTTGATAGATGGAGTAATGAATGCAAATGTCAGTTGAAGCCGGCACGATGCTGTTTCGGTTGTAGAGCTCGCTTTTGTTATCCTCATCCAGCACCTCAATCTCGTTGAGACGGGCGTGAGGCTGTGCCAAAACTGCAGTCAAGACATGGCGGAAGATCCTTGCAAGTGTCTTTGCATATTCGTCTGCCAAATATGATTTATGGTAAGCGATCTGTAAATGAGACTGATCGGGTAGCATAATAATATTTAGCGTGATGGGGTACTATCGACATTATTTACGTCAGTATGAGATGGCAAGGGGTATGGAGAGGAAAGAAACCAATACTTGCCTCGGATCGACTTAGTACACTGTCACCCACTAGATCGATGGAAGAAACCCCCGGTTGGGCTGAGTCCTGCTTCTCACGCGTATCGTTGAACACAGAAATCATCGTATTGAACAACTGCTCAGGGGTTGATCCAATGGAATGCAGGGTTTCGGACAATGACTGATGCTGATGATCTAGACTGGCCAAGAAATTGTCTTGATACGTCTGCATTAATGAGACCACTGGCGCATCGCGTGGCAAGTCCACTCGTGCCACCAGAATGTTGAACAGCGGACCGACGATATCTTGGGCACCATTCAGTGGGATGTGACGGCCAGAAGTCATGAAAGTAAAGCAGACTTCATCCATTGCCGTGTATGCTTGCATCACAATAGCCCATACCACGTGTAGTACACTGGTTAGTGCCAATTTATGATCCTCACAGAATTGAGTTAAATTCGAAGTTGTCGTCAATTCAAGATCTACGGCCCCGAATTGCTCCAAAGGTTGGTCTTGTTCGCTCGGGCCTTTTAGACTAGGAAACAAGCAAGGCTGTGTGCCCTCTATATATGACTTCCAAAATTTGCTAGAATTTGTTCGAGAATGAGGTAGTTGCATGTATGCAATGTAGTCACGATATGGCGTAGGTGCAGGAGATTCCGATAATTTACCTTCGTAAGCGAGGGCCAGGTCTTGTCTGATGGCGAACAAGGAGTGTCCATCAACAAGTGCGTGGTTGATATGTAAACTGATGGTCACCTTGCCCAAGCTCGATCGTCGTATGACGAGGTATAGCAGAGGTTGAGGATGGCTTGCTGGTTCCGGTGCAGCTATCTCTACATCGTCATCGTCGTCATTGTTTTCAGATATGATAACCGTCGGTGTATAGTTTTGCAACACTACTTGGTCCGAGAAATTCTCCCCGCTGATATCCATGAATACAGTGCGGAGAACAGCATGCCGGTTGACTACCTGAACCCACGCATCACGTAGATGATTGACGTCAACAGGAGCTTCACTCAGAACTCTCCACTGTATGGCCTCTTCATAATGACTAATATTCCGAGCGCAACTCATTAGTATTCCCCTCTGAACATCGGAGCATGGGTAGATGTCTTCTATAGTCTGGTGCTCCCCGAGTTGGGAACGGGCTTGGATCATGTACTCCTCAAGTTGGCTAGGACCATACAAGGAACTACTGACATCGGTGGTATTAGAGAGGGTTTTAGTTGAAGGCTCAAGAAACTGGTGTATTTTCACGGCTCCTGCCGTAAGCTTCTCAATTGTTCGATGCTGAAATATGTCCTTTACCGTAATATTCATTCCTGCTGCACTACACTGCGCAGCAACTTGCATACAGGTGATTGAATCTCCCCCCAAGCGGAAAAAGCTCTGGTCGATTCCAATAGTATCGGGGGAAATACCAAGAACACGAGCCCAGATTCTCTGCAATTCATGTTGAAAATCAGTGGATGGTGCAACTTTCGTTGTAGAAGCGTAATTATCCCAGTCTGCGCGGGGAAGCAATGAGAGAAATTCGGTCACCAGCTTTCGGTTCACTTTTCCGCTGGTGTCCCGTGGGACTCTGCAAATCGGTATGAATAGACTGGGGACCATGTATAATGGAACCCTTTCCTGAAGCTCAAGCTCGGCCGCGTGTGCGCTGGAGAGAAATTCGGAGTCAGTGGGCAGTAAAAAGGAGTCGGATGTATTATTCATCACATGAATCCCAGGAGACCCCATTGTTACCTGTCCTCTTGAAAGAGATGTAGAAGTGGTCATAACAAGGGCAACAAGGGAACTTGATTGCACGCCTGGAAGTTTAACAACAGCGGCAACGACTTGAAGTGCACCTTGAAAGCAGTTCTGTACGTGATTTTCTACTTCCAAAAGTTCCACTCGTTGGCCACGGAGTTTGATTTGGGAGTCTTTGCGCCGCAGGTAAATGATTGATCCATCTACATCGTACCTGACGATATCTCCTGTCCGGTAGATACGGTTCTCTCCGCTCCCGGCTCTGAAGTCTTGTAGCCAGCGGGGTCTAGATGTGAATACCGCATCTGTTTGGATGGGATCATTCAAATAGCCTCGAGCAAGAATAGCACCCTCAACAACGAGCTCTCCCTCGGCTCCAATGGAAACCGGTGTGATATCTTGGTGCTCCAGATCTACGACCCAGCAGACGCCACCAGTTGCAAAGCCGATATTCTTCGCATATTTGTTATCGGGCTGGATTGGGTTACTAGACGAACTGAATACAGCGGTTTCTGCGGGGCCATAACCATTGAAGAGTCGAACGCTTGGAGCCCAGCGATCTATAATGCCTTGGGTCATTGGTTCGCCGCCCTGAACCAGCGTTTTTAGAAGGGGAACTTCCTCGGGAGTTAGCATATGTATGACCGAAGCAGTCAAGATAGCAAAATTGACACCCATCTTGTTCATACTAGTCGCTAGGGAGTTCTCCCTGTCAGAAGATGATGGAATACAGATGCAACCACCAGCAAGAAGAGTGAAAAAATGCTCAACAATCATTGCGTCGAAACTGTAACCTGAAAATTGCAAAGCACGAGTTTCCTTACTGAATCCAAGGCGATCAAGTAGCTGCTTGGAATTGGCTAGAAACGCGCCATGCTCAACGACGACGACTTTTGGGATACCTGTAGTACCAGATGTTGCCACAATGTACATGGCATCAGAAGCACTTGGGATAGGATATTGAGGAAGTTTGCTGTGACCGTCGGCTTCCCGTAGGAAAAACTGCTTATTGATTACTAGGACGGGAGCCGATGCTTTGGGGTGCCCAGCGAGGCTCTCAGCCGATGTGCGTAGCTCTTCAGATGTCAAAAACACCACGGGTCTCACGGTATTACAGACTTGACGCAAATGGTCTATAGGCTGTGAGCTTTCTAGGGTCGCAAAAGCAGCGCCCGCCTTAAGCACGGCGAGCTGGGCAATCACTGTCCACAGTGACCTTTGGAAATAGACAGCCACGAAGGTGTTCGTTCCGACTCCCAGCTTTTGAATATAGCTAGATAATCTACCTGCGTGGTCTTCAAGCTCTTCATATGACATGTTACCATCCCAGGAGTGGATTGCTGGTGCTTTTGGTTGTTCTTGAGCCTTGTCTTGGATCATAGCGTGGACGCATCGATTTGGTCTTAAAGGCAATAAGGCATTCCATTTATATATTTCATCCCTATCATTGGGACTAAGCCTGTCGATGTCCCCAATGGTGGTTGTATCTGCAGATCGAACATCACGGATCTGCGTCAAAATATACTTGAACAGAGATAGGATGCGCTGCATCTGGCGATCGGATACAACTGACGGATCGAATATAGCAGTCAACGCGATTGATTTACGCGAAACTTGACACCGGAGTGTCAACGCGTGACTACTAAAACTTGTGAGCTCAGACAAGAACGAGTGGCTACTGAACCAAGTCCCCTGAGCTTCCTCAGCTGGTTCGTCGGGCTCCACAACAATCATCGTCTGGAAGCTACATGACTTTGCAGGGTCTCCCCCTTTTTGAGCAATACTTCTTAGACCAAATTGCTCGTAACCATTTCGCTCGACTAGCCGGTATTGGACGTCTTCTAGCGCTTCTAGCACTTCTTGCGAGGGATCTATAAGCACTCGAAGCGGCGTACTCGCAATAGTTGGACCCAGCATGTCCTGAACACCAAGAACAGGAACAGCTCGACCCGAGGAGACTACTCCAAAGATTGTGTCTTTGCTGCGAGTGTATGTGTAACTGGTTAAGGCCCAGGCTAGTTGAATTTGTGTTGCAACCGTCACATGAGGCTGCGCATCGGCAGGACCAGCGAGGGAAACAGATTCTGTGACTAACGATTGGGGTTTTGGCTGATACTCCAGATGAGGCAGTGTCGGGAAGTGTACACCATTCCATTGGTCTAACTCCGCCGTCCAAAATGGAGCTGCTTCCACCTTGTTATCCTCTATGTACTTTACAAAAGAGCTGAACAAGGGACGCCTTTGTATTGGTAGCTCACGGTATACTGAGTCAATTTCTCTGAGCAGTAAAGGCAACGACCACCCATCGTAGATTGCATGGTGCATGGCAACAAGTAAATGACTTTGAGTAAGGCAGAGATGGATCAGAGGTGTCCCTAGGCCAATTTTCGGGTAAAAGTGAACGTCAGGCTGCTTGTTGTTGATGGCTTCATCCAAGAAAGAAACTGGCCCTCTTACTACAACCTGGTATGAAACACCCATATCGGTCTGGACGATGCGTGTGCGGAGAATCGGATTATTCTCGACCACCAAGCTCCATGCCGTCTTAACCCTTTGTACGTCGCTATTGCTATGTAGGGCGAAAGATTGGACTGCTACATACGCATCTTGTTCCTGTGCAGTGGACGCCATGAGACTTGTCTGGAGAGGGGTACAAGGATACATGTCTTCGATATCATCAATAGCGATCCCGCACTGCCGACTTGCATAGGTCTTAAGCGACTGGTCGTTTTGAATCATCTCAAATGGCATCGGGTTTGGCCCGTCTGACGTCGCAGAGGGGGAGAGATCACGGGAGGAACTGCACACAGAGGCCATGTCTCTCAGTCGCGAATGATGGAAGATATCCTGGTAGCCGAGATTTTGCAACCCTTCTTTAGGAGCCAGTGCTAGGAGTTTCATCGCCTGGATGGAATCGCCACCCAAGTCGAAGAAATCACTATCAAGCGTAACTTGATCCGGTGAGAGGTGGAGAACCTGTGCAAATAAGCCTTGCAGACGACGTTCCATGTCGGTTGTCGGAATTCCCCCAGACGCTGGATGTCCTCGTTTGCGATAGAGAGATTCGTGAGGTAGTGATAAAGCTAAAGATTTTAATCGTGCCCTATCAATCTTACCACTCATGGACGTAGGGATATGTGCAACTGGTATGTATGCAGTTGGAACCATGTAGGTGGGAAGAATCTTCCTCAAATTCGATTCAACATCGGCTACTCTTGTCTCAAACTCATCGCTTATCTCTGCCATTTCTAGTTGCTGGGTATAGTCTTTTGTTCCGCCATCTGTACTCCGGCCTGACTCATTGGATGTGATGAATGCGACTACTATTGTGCGGTCGCCGAAGTTTACCGCTTCGACCACTGCTTTTCCAGTGAAAGGAAAGAGAGCTTTTTGAATATGTGTCTCGATCTCAGAAAGCTCTATTCTTTGCCCACGGACCTTGACCTGGAGATCCTTCCTGCCAAGAAAGTGTATAGCCCCATCGTGCCCGTAGCGAACGATATCTCCCGTTCGATAAAGACGGGTATTTTGAGCGGCACTGGCACGGAACCGGGACAGCCAGCGCGGAGGCGTGACTATGAAAGGAGAATCGGGGAGTGAAGACTCCGGATCATGAATATATCCCCTTGCGACGGCTGGTCCCTCGATAACAAGCTCACCTATGGCGCCAATGGGGACTAACTTTTGGCTGTCGCGGGCGTCCACGATCCAGGCGGCCTGTGAGGAGAAAGACCACCCAAGGAAACTAGGTTCATGGCAGTTTGCTGGACCAGAAATACCGAGAGGACAACTTTCAGCAGGGTTGTACCCCGTGATAACATTCTTTGATGCCCACGTCTCAATATCTGAAGAGCGAACTGCCTCGCCGCCCAAGCACAAGGTTTGAAGTGAGGAGAATTGTTCTGGTTGATACAATCGGGCTACTGTGGGCGTCAAGAAGGACCAAGTAGCTCCAAGCTCTTTCACGGCACTGGGCAGGTCTCTCTTGCGCATCTCCTCTGACGGGATGGCGACAGAGGCTCCAGCTGTAAGGGCTGTCAAGGGCTCGAAAATGCTGAGATCGAATGCGTAAGAGGCAAAATGCAGTATGCGGTCGTTTTTCTGAATATTTAATGGTTTCAATGATGCCAGTGCGCATGAGGAGAACGACTTGTGTTCAACCACAACACCCTTTGGTTTGCCGGTCGAGCCTGAGGTGAAGACTGCATACAGAGCATTGCTCGGTCGTATACTCGACGAAGAGAATAATTTCGCCCGATCATCGTGTCCATTTTGTTCCGCGGATAGAGTCTCTTCGATAATAATTACCGTCCGGGCTAGACGTGCTGCCTGTGCGGCATTGTTGACCGTTGTCAAGATTACGGATGACTTGAGCTGCTGGCATATATCCTCAAGACGGCTGTGAGGATAAGAGAGATCAAGAGCACAAATAGCTCCACCTGCTTTCATTATACCTAGCATGGCAACTGGCATCCACTTGCACCGATCAAAGTATGTAGTGACAAAGATTTCTGGTCCCACACCAACCGCATGGAGTTGACACGCAAGAGCGGATGACAGACGGTCGAGCTCCCCATAAGTCAGCTTGCCGTCCCAGGAAACTACGGCTAGAGATTCAGGTTGGGAGTGGCAATGCTTGGCAATCAGATCGTGAAGACAGTACTCTGAGTCGGCAAACTTCTCTCCGTTCCATTGGGAGAGCTTTTGCTGATCCAAGCGACTAAAGACCTCAATTTCAGTTACCTCCTGATTCGGAGACTCAACAATCGAACTGATAGCGATACCCAATGCATTGGCAAGGTGTTCGGCCTGCCCATGTGACAAGAAACCGTCCCGACAATGTATAGAACAACTCCATTCAGAGCTCACAGTTATAATAATATTGTACTACATGGCGTTAGTTGTTAACGGGATTTGATACATGAGTCAAAATGCACGGGGACTGGATGACTGCTTTCTTACCTCTGACTGATCATCCTTACTCTCAAAGCTCTTGCCTGAGAGGTCGTGAGCCTCGTGACCATTGGACAACAGCTCTCCGATACCAGAGATTATAGCGGTATTAAACAAGCCATCGCGCCCAACTCCTAATTCATGGTAAATATCCACAAGGGAGATGCCTCGGTTCGGGTCCTCTGAAGCGAAGTCTGATTCTAGTTTGCTGACAACATCTAACGAATTCGCGTGTTCGGTAAACTCGATGACTAAAGGTAGAATATTGGCCGGCAGCATAGATGCGGCCACCAAGTCTTCAGCAGATATATCCCGCCTGGCTACCCCGTGTCCGAAACAAATATGATCTGAAGTTGTGTAGGTGCGCAGAACTAGGCCCCAAGCTACCATGAACATACTTGTTCTAGAAACATTATTGCTCTTGCAAAACTGATGCAGCTCTGCAGCTCCCCTATCTGGTTCAACCAGTATTGAATGAAATTTTGATGACGGGGTGGATGGCACTATCTTGGCCGTAAGCCGTGGGAAGAAACATGGTTCAACTGTCTGCAAGCGTTGTCGCCAATAATTGATCGATGTTTTCCTATCTGATAACCCATTTTCGCGGTGTTCGTTCTCCCGAGTGGGCCTTGATATGGCATCATACGAAAACTCATCATCGCTGGGGTGGTGATCTTCAGAGCAGTCGAGGCTTGAACTACCGCTGAATAACCTGTCAACCGTTGTTGGACTTTTCTCAATGATATTAGAAACAACACTGGAGGCCCCAGATGGTTTGCGGGTGATGTTTCCCATTGTAGGAGTGGTTGACAAGTACTTGGTTGGTAGCAAGTATGAGTGCTTCGTCTATGGAAAATAGACGGGTTGCGTACTCGGAGCTCTGTCAATCAAAGAGTTGTAAACTTAAACGGAGGTTCAGGTTATCACAGCCTATGAATCAGAGACAAGTGTATACACTGAGTTACGAAACAGTGTATTGTATAGAACTTCCCCTTTCTCTTTTTCAAGAAATCTAGTGAAACCGAGATATGCCTGGACGCAAGCCACTATATTCATTATTTTCCTGGCACCCAATTAGTGGCCGGCGGTATATTACTATTGATTAACGAAACTATTGGTTTTTTTTGTCCTTTTCTGAAGCTACTGCAAGTTGTTGTACACTCTTTCGCAATCATCACGAGAGCTGAAAAGATCAAATGTAATATCAAACAGACCGCCATTTTGAAAAGAAACTAGTGACTAGGCACGAGCTGAATGGTTCTAAAACCCCCGATTTATAATATTGTATTCTTGGCGTGGCATGGCCGGCACGAGACTTTGAAATTTTATGCCGCGTATACAAATCTCAAGGATCACGTTAAATGATATTATGCAATACGCACGTTGTGGACGAAGCTGTATGAACTAAGATTCTGTATTCATTCTCTACAGAAAGCAATTAAGATGGCAGCACGATGAAGTGACAGTGAATCGAGCCACTGTGCCGGCATAATGTACTATAATAAGAGAAAATTTGAAACTATAGGAAGCTATATCTACTTCGACGGCAACATTTTGGGTGTTTTCTTTCGTGGCTTTATGTGGATTCAACTACCTAAGATTAAACGTACGGGGCTCCTTTTGATAGTGTTCTATCAAATTGTTGACAGTTGTTAGAACTAAGGGGTTACTAGAGCAGAAGAATGCAAAGTGAAAAGAAACACGACACAAATCCGGTTATTCTTCCTCCATATCAGGCTGATTAGTCTTCAAATTCATTTGCTCTCCAACCTCCCTCATATTCAAGCACCATATTCCAATCGAAGAAGGTGGCGCAATGGTAATGCTACGCCGGCCTACCATCCTCTGAGCCAGCGGTGTCATAGTCTCGACCAGATTCCGAGAGAGATTGCACGTTGCATCGAGGGGCGTCAAAATCCCTGGAATTATCATAGTTGCCAGGGCCCGGCGAAAGGTATTCGTGTTGTTAGCACTGCCCCGGTGTACTATCTTACCGCTTAGAATTGCGGTATCGCCTGGGTTAAGCTCGGAGAACACCACCGGATGGTCAGCATCGGGTACTCCTAATTCAATCCACCGGTTACTGCCCCAGATATACTGAGTCCTCCCAGTCTCTGGTGTACAGTCCGTCAATGCAGTGAAAAAGTTGAGCATGCCTTCCGGTGCGTCAGGGCCAGATTTCAGTAGTCCATAATTAGGCTGGTCGCGATGCCACGGCTGCTCCTTTGTTCCAGGGCCATTCTCTATGACCGCGCCGTACCCTAGCCAATAGTCACCAGAGTCCTTGAAAGCCAGGCGACAGAGTCCGTGCAGCATTTCATGATTCAACATGTCATGTCGAAATGTCTTGCTGAAGCCGACCAGGTTGTGCACACGATTGACTTCCGGTGGCACTAGATCTGCCATTAAATATGACGGCGAGAGCTGTGCTTGTGGTTTATCCGGATTCCACGGAGATGGCAAAGCTTTCGTTGGCGGCATGTCACGCTTTTCTCGCTCGCGAAGCTTGAAGAGCGGAGGGTCTACATCTTTATTGAGGCTTGCGACCTGCTCCAAGGTCAAAAAGCTCTCAATGACAGCTACTCCATCATCTGCGATGGCTTTCCACACTGTTGCGGGATCGGCAGTAATTGGAAAGCGTTGCACTTGGGGATGGACCTTAGATTGCACGGTCATTGTGGCGGTGACGCTTCAGATAATATGTGTAGCTGAAAGTGAAAGGTTTTGCGTTTGTTCTTAAAAAAATAGATCAGAGTATATAGAATCTAGACGGCGACATGAAGTGTAGGAAGCAGCTAGCTGAGGCTCTTCGTCATGGTATAGAGACTTTATAGATGCTGCAATACTACTATACGGTAAGAGATACGAAGAACATGGGTGCCTTTACAGCTGAGTAGTTATGACGCATGTATGATTCCGTATATCCTACGCGTAATGCACTCCAGCTCTCGGCACTACGGTGGCTATTTTAATGAAACAATATCCAGCTGATCCTCAACGATGCATGAAAAGATATAACCTAATCGAATCAGTACTATGTGCATGTGTAGAGCTTTACCGCATCCATAAAAGAATATACCGCCTATTTATAATGTGCATATATGTATGTACCTGATGTATGTGCTTTTTTTTTGTTATTGGCGCTGCAGCTTGCTACACTCATGCAACCTCAGCTGTACTGAATTCTCCTATCGACCACTTCTAAATATTTACATGTGGGTCGAAGAGCTTGGGCGTGTGTTGAGAACTCATATCGGTTTCTACGAACACCCTGGTCTGGTTTTATGCATCAGTAGGGTCGAATTATATTCTATTTGGACACGATGACCGGGACCGGGAGATGAAATGAAGTCTTAATGCCTTTCTCTCTCGCTATGTCAACGCTAGATCAATAATGCTACCACGGAATGAGGTCCGAGACGCTATATTACCATTTATTTACGTCTTACAGATTTATCCACTTTCAGCTACTGCCTCTTTGCCGATCAATGTCTAATCTAATAGGTAAGCTTGAAGATTTTGGTCTAATGGAATCTAGAAGACCAGGTCCAACCCTACGAGGAAATTTCTCGTCAGGAGATACAGATCCGGCGAGGCATCAGTCTTTATTCAAATTGGTCAAAAGCGTCCACAATCGTCACCTAGTCAAGATGTAGAAACAAGACGTGATGGATTTCAACATCTCCTCGAGCTCGACTGGTCAGTTCCTGACCAGTCAGGTGCTCCAACCTTTTCCCGTCGGTTTGGTAACAGCAAGTGCAATCCTAATACCTATCTGCTATACCATATTCCATCGTGTTTACTTTCATCCACTTCGACATGTCCCTGGGCCGTGGCTCGCGGCCGCGAGTGACCTATATGGATTTTACCATAACTTCATTCGGGAAGGGGGGTACTCGAAGAAATTCCGGTATCTTCATGATAAATATAGTATGTTTTGAAGGCTATCTTGACATCCATCTGCCCCTTCTGCAGATGTTGTCTCAGACGTTGACTCTTCATTAGACTCCCCAGTTGTTCGCATCGGCCCAAACCATGTTCATGTGAATGATCCACAGTTCTTTGAAGAGTATGATAGCGGTTTCTATCCCCTGTTGAGACACAGGACTAAACAAAAAAAAGCTAACTCTCTCAATATTAGGGTCTTCTATATCGGCTCAAAGTACTCTAAAGATCCGTCATTCTATAAGTACTTCGGTGGGCTGGATAGCATGATTAATCCTTCATATTTTCGTATATATCGCTCGCACATAGCGTCATTATACTCGACCAGGTCAGTGGATAGTCTTGCACCAAGACTCCTTAGTGAGCTCCAGTCCATCGCGAAGCGGCTATCCCCAGAAGTAGGGACAGACAAAACGATCAACATTCAGCAGATGTTACGTACCCTTAGTGTCAGTAAATATTCCATATACCTGTGTTTTGCACGCATTATGACAATAAGTAACCTTGTGTTTGGGTGAAGGCAGATATGGTTCTTCGAATTCTATTCCCACAGGACATTAACCTCATTAATTACGATGGATACCATCCATTCTTAGAGGCATTTGATGTAATCATGACCAAGACATGGTTGAGTAAGTATATAATCATCTGAGTGTCCTTTTCTGAGTACGAGGCTTACATCCAGTTCAGTGGTCACCTATCCTGTTGTCGGCATGGCATTAAGCTTGATCCCGGGTTCCGGTTACATGAATTTCAAGTTAGCTTTCGAAAGGTTCACCCTAGTAAGCTATAAGTTATCATTTCGTAACATCAATTAGAAGCAGAAGTAACTAACAGGAATAACAGTATTGTAGAAATTGGGCGGATGAAGCACAGAATCTCCGAGACAATGTCAATGAGTGGCCGGAGCGCGATTCTCATATGACTCGGTACCTTAATATTGACCCCAACGACCAAAAGAAGGTTGAAGCTGTGCCCCATCCGCTAGAAGATATCTTCAATTTCATTGCTGGCGGGAGCGACACAACGGCATACTCAACGGCTTGCGCTGTTTATTACCTACTCAGTTCGCCCGATGCTCTTGCCAAGCTCCAAGCCGAGCTCTACGACGCGGCCCCATTCATACGAGAACAGTTTGACCATAAGAAGATTCAAAGTCTAGTCTACTTGGTATGTTGTCGCCTTGCTTCTCCAAACCCCCGTGGTTTCATATGCGAGGGGAGACTGCTAAAAAGGAGTTGTGCACAGAATGCGGTAGTCAAGGAGACTCTTCGTCTCGCCAGCCCCGTTCCAGGATGCCTTCCCCGAACAGTTCCTGATGGCGGAGCTCGTGTTGGATCGATCAATATTCCGGCGGGAGTAAGTACTAGTTGAATTCAGCTGGTTATGGCTGCTGATGTCCCCAAAATAGCTTATCAATTAACATCACTAACATGATGCAATAGGCTGCGGTATCGGTGAGTTTACTAGCAATTCAGCAGAATGAAGATTTGTTCCCAGAGCCCCAAATGTTCATACCCGAGAGGTGGTTGGGTGAACAGGGTAAGATCAATGAAAAATGGAACGTGGCGTTCAGCCGAGGGCCACGTCAGTGTATCGGAACCAAGTAAGAATATATTCCAATCTATTCATCAACCCTTTAAAGAAGAACCTAGACTAATTGTTGTGCGCCTCGAAATATAGCATTGCCTATATGGAATTGCACTCTTCTCTTGCCTACCTATTTTCTCACTTCGAGTTTGAACTTGCAATGAACCCCGGTAAGAAGCTAGAGTGGGTGGATCGCTTTGTTGCTACAAACTTGGAGGACGTTCAGGTGAAAGTCGTGAAGGACCTGTGGCTATGAAAGGATCGTTAGATACTATATTAAAGTAGACGAATATGGTAGAAATATTTCGTAATATTGAAGATATTGAAGACTATCATGTCAGACAAAGGTCATGTAATTAAACAAATGTCGATGCCTTATGGTAATGGGCATTTTTGTTAGATAAAAGTCGTGTGATTATGGAGTTTGCTGTTTGGACCATAATCTAGACTACTCAAAATTTTATACAGAGGTCGTTTACAATACAATTCTCATCTCACAACAATATATTTTTCCCCTTTAGCATGACTACTTAGGTACCTACCCATATTCTAGCCATAAGTCGGTTCCTACAAACGAATGTAGATGTTTGCCTATACATCTTAACATCAAAGCTAATCTTGAGGAGCATATGAATTTGGAATCTAGAACACAATCTACATCGAAAATATCCAAATGTTCAACCTTACTAAGACCAATTATCCTTTTGCCGAACAAAATCATTAAAGTTTTGCGGCGGCCTCCCTGTCACTGCCTCTACCACATCATTTAGCCTGTTCTCGGCGCCATTCTTAATGATAGTGTCCATACCAGCAAGCATTTTTGCATCGTCTACAGGAATACCCGCGGACTCCAACCGCTTCCCTAACTCAGCCTCGGTCAGCTCTAAATGTGTGATCTTCCTGTAAAGAACAGAGGTAAGAATTGCCGCAACCTAGAGCTTGATTAGATTCAAAACATGCTGAAGGATATGGCAAGTAACCCACCTGGTTGTAAGACAATAGATCGGGACCAAGAATGACGTGGTCGGTGTTATGTGACTTTTCGTCAGTCAAGGCGCGGAAACCGACTTGGGCGATGTCGTTCGCGGAGACGAACGGAATCTTGCCATCACCAGTTGCTGAATACACCAGATTCTCCTGCTCTATGGCAGCTCGTTGAAGCTCGTTTGGGGCAGAGAAGTTTTCTACAGTCCCGCTATTATGAGATACGGCTATTTTTACCTAGATAATGAAATAAGACGGAGAGCGTACCCATAAACCATGTCGGTCTCAAGACTGCATACTCGATACTCCCAAGGGACTCTAGATACGCATGGACCTGACCCATTGCTGGTCCCCCTTTCTCAATAGTACTTGCACTAAGGAGGACGAACCTCTTGACACCCCTCTGGCGTGCAAAGTCCACAAACTTGATCATGGGGGGGGCTAAGTCAAAAATGGGTGGCGGAACAAGATAAGCCGCCGAGATGGGGCCAATGCCCGTACTGAGCGCCTTTTCGAAGGGACTCGCATAGCTGTCATCTTTCGTCCAGTCGAAATATGCGTGTGGATAGGGGTTTGTTTGTGAGTTATGGCGTGAGGCCAAAAGAAATGGGAGCTTGGCAGCGTGGAGGAGCGGTGCAATGCGACTGGCAGTCTTGCCTCCCGAACCAAGTAATAGAATGGTCATCTTGGTGATAGTGAAATCCTAAGATAGACTGATAATTCGGTTAGATTGTGTACGATAGCTAGGTAGTGTTTACAACGACCAGAAAATTCAGATGATGTGCAGGCCGTGTGATCAGTTCGTAGCTCCTGAAGAATAGCAAGGGTTTAAAGAAAACATCTCACTAACGAATCATTTCTGACAGTTAGTTTCGACCTCTTAGTAAATATGTAGCTGAAAAAAAAGTATACTAGTGAGACTATAAGGCCAAATACAGCTTCTATATTTACTTTACTTTTGATCGACTTGTAATGATCTGCAAAATATCTTTCGTCAAAAGCAACAGAGGTCTATTCCGATTAGTTCCGTGATGATACTCCGCTCGCCGATTGGCGGCCGGTTGGCGGTGGTGACTTTCGGGTTCATGCAAGGCGCACGGCATATCCGGACCGGGTATGGTGCCGGTAAATGGCCAACTAGGTAACCTAGTAGAATGGCTGGGGTTCATGATTCTAGCCAAAAACAGATGTCTTGAGTGGACGCCACTTCGTCCGCCCTTGCTGGCCTGGTGAGATCGAGAAGCTCGAGCTCGTGATTCGTGATTAGGCCGTACACTTCACTGAAAATATGCCCGCTGCAATGCACAACTGGGAATAGAGTGTTTTACATTAAGCGCCTAGATTTAATAAATCCTTAAGCGAAACGGCCAAGTAATCACTAGTGGTCAATAGCTGTGTAGGTGATGGCATTGAGGATGTAATGCAGATCTAACCCAAGTATTGTACAATACACTGCTGTAATGCGGAACAGGCGTTAAGCAACTAGTGTCGATAGTTAATAGCTAGTACTTAATGGTTGATCACATTGCTGCTATAACCCGCGTATATTCACCGCTTTACACGAACCGGCGCGGATCGGCGAGAATCAACCTATCTAGGAAGTAATCAACTGTGCGGCTGCAGCTGAATGCATGTAGCCAGAGCGGGTATTATATCAATAACAACCTTAAATCAACCTTCCTAGCTGACCTTCCTGGCTGACCTTCCTAGCTGCCTAGGTTAGGTGCTACTGGGTCGGCGAGCGGGCCGCCTATCCGAGACAGCGTGGTCCGGTAATACGAAATGTGACAGCCCCTAGTGAGGTGCAGATGAGCTTTCTAAGAAAGCAAGACGTGTAAAAAGCAAAAATCAAGTTCAAGCAGAAGGACACATAGTGCCATGTAGGTGATGAAGAATAAGTGCCGAATTGTGCGCCAAGTCCGGCAACGTGCTTGAGCGGTGTAATGTGTAATGAATCGAGTTGTGTCGCCAAGCAAGATTGCAAGATGGAAAATACAGCATACACATAACCCAAGACCTAACATGAACTCATTGATCAAGCATAGTTTCATTCGGATCATTCTGTATGGCACCGAGTCTTATAACTAAACTGAAATACGAAAAGTACGTAGAATGCAACATTATCTTTGTGTATTAGCGCACTTAAAATGAGGGTCCCCATTAATACATCTTCATTGCTATCGAATGAACACTTCAAACAATATCCCAAGTATAATTTAAGGGGCTCTTAGTGAGTCTCTTGGTGAGTATCGATCATGTTTGCTGTGCCGGGGTAGCACCCGTCGATTTCAGATGGACTACGACAAGTTAGGCTTTTCGGAATATTTATACATAGAATCTTGTAAACTTACGAAGCGGCCAGTCTCCGGTCTCGAGGGTTTGTAGATAGACACTGAGGTACGGCTTGCCTTTCCGGTAGGAAAACGAGATATAAGCGTGCAACCAATTCATTGTCTCGAGATCATCGTAAGGACTATCATAGAATATAACATTAGCGTCCGGATATTCTCACCCCATCTCGCAGTTCGTAATTCAAACTTACTAGTACGATCTGAGGCTATCCGTATATTTCTGAGCCATGTCTGACCATCCTCTTCGCTCGAAAAACGTCGTCAGAGCTTGGGAAATTGCCATATCGTTCATACCAAAGACAGTAAAGTAGACTTGAGGCTCAGGCATCGATTCCCCATGGTGAAGTGTGTAGTTAGCCATTGTTGGGAGCTGCTCGCATGGCGTGGTGTGTAAAGGTAGATATGGTTCGGGATATTTTTGAAGTCCAGGAGGGATCTGTAGGAGTTCCCAAAGCTCTTCGATCATCTCCCAACCTTCCTGGGTAGACTTATCGTTACGACGTCCTCCCAGGGTCCATAGGTCCCTCATTGATTCTAGGGACACCATCATTTCCAAAAGGTAGATTTTGATTCGAGAAACACCCGGTTCCACAAGGTCGCAAGAGAAAAGACGTGGGGTAACGGTGCTTGATGGACCTGTTCTTGATTTGACGTAGCTTTCCAGCGTCTCCAATGCCGGTTGAATGGTTGGGAATTTCTCTGCCATTTTCCCCACAGAATCAAAGATGAGTGTCTGTATCGACTTGCCAGTCGCCAAAGCCTTCAGAGCTGGATAAATATAGGTTTTGACCATGGAATTGTTCCCCTTCAGGTCCAATGCCAGTTTATTCTGAGTTCTGATCTGACCCTGCACGAGACCACGGTTCATCAGATGTGCCGATTCCTCGGAATTCAGAGTCAACTCTTTCTTAAAGTAAGTGAACCACTCAGTGTCCAGATCCGGCTGAACCTTCTTCAAGCTCCGTAGAGCGTTCCAAATAGCATGAGTATTGAAAGGGTCTTCAGGTGTACCCGTCTTTTCATCTATAGGTTCATATGTGTATCGGACAAGTGAGTCGGAACAATTCAGGCTCAGCTCCAGAGGAGTTCCATATCGTGTGAGGATGCTAAGCCACCGGTCATTCTCATTATCGGGGTAAACGCCCAAGTATGGGATGATATGCTTCTTGAAGTGTCCAAGATGTCTGTATTGAAGATGCGTATCATAGCCAGCTGTTTGGAGCATATTGGAAAACATTGGGGCCGTAGAATGCCACCAAAGTCTTTGCTCATCATTTGGAAAGTCAAATACATCACTCAAGACATTATAGGTATGATTCTCGAGCTTCGTACTCGAGATCAGTGAGGGCATTTTGAACTGCTTTGGATGAAGCACTCTGTAGAGGGTTGAAGGTAATGATGGAGAATGTTCTTAACTGAGACTATGATAGATGTTGCCGGTGCAAGAGACAGCAGTATGACTTCCAAGGATAAGAAGCGAGTTACTAGCAAAGAGTCGCCCCGTTGGCGCCGCTCGGTAAGATATGTCAAGATATTTACCGTACTGAACTTTCCCTAAATCACAATTTGAAACTCTTCACTTCCGATCTACCACTCCTAAATCTGCTAGAGACAAATTAATTTCACAAATAATCGATAGATCGTCAAACAGTGCACTCCAACTATTGAGCTACTGTATTCTGAGACTACTTTGCCCTGTATAACGCCATGGTGTGAATACGACTATACTAAAAACAGCTTTCTGGGCGTATTATTACCTTGCCCTGTGTAGCTGAAGGGAAATAGGAGACGGAAGTCGTGATTACGTGGCACCCAATAAGTGGACAGATACTTATAGATCAAGCTCGACATAAGCTAGTCAGGACTAGCTAGAATAGGACGGTATACTTCTGAGTTTCTTCACTTCACTGTCAATTTTCCTTTTTTTATTGCCAAAAGACCATACGCTAGTGCGTTTATGTCAGGTCTTGGTTTATTTGAGTATGTCTTTCGAGCAGATGCGTAGGCCCCCTCAATATGGCCTCCTGCATACCAAGGGGAGTAACGTTTCTTTTGATTTCCTCGTATTCAGTCTTCGATATGGCATATTTTGTGACGCGAGGCAAATATAGCCTAAGCTTATTGAATCTAGACGCTTATTTGAATTCCACCAAGATATTCAGTCTTTACAGTATTTACCTATTCATATTTTGGTTAAAACCTATATGTCTTCCATAGCTTGCAATATCTACTCTCAATAGCTGAATCCTAGTAGTTATCGACTCTCCTAAAATGCTGCGTACATTTACTGTGGTTGTCGGGATCGGTCTGACCATTATATCGTTATTGATTCCTACCCAGGTGTCTTGTAGATGCAGGCCATTTGAATCATGCTGGCCAAATGAAGCCGAATGGGTAACCTTGAAAAATTCCATTGACGGCAATCTCCTCCCTTTGAAACCCATCGGACACGTGTGCCATAACCCGGCTCTTGATCCCCATGCCTGCGAAGATCTCAAACTTCTGTCTCTTGATAGTGGATGGAGAGCAGCACAACCAGGTAAGCTCCGGTAATTAGTAATTCACAATCACGAAGCTGATCCCTAATGCGACAGCCTCGCTCCAAGACTGGGTTTGGGAGGGTGGCAAGTTCCAAAACGAATCATGCCATATTTTCTCAGGCCCAGAATCCAATTGCCATCAAGGTCGAGTACCTCTATACTCTGCTTTAGTACGATCCGCCTCTCACATCCAGAAAGCCGTACTGTTTGCCAAGAAACATAATCTCCGCTTGGTGATAAAGAACACAGGGCACGATGGAGCCGGGCGATCAAGCGGGCCATCATCATTTCAGATACATACGAATAAACTGAAAAATCTTGAGTTTCACGACAACTTCCTAGCTCAAGGAGCCACCGAGAGCTCGGGTGGTCCCGCCGTAACTATAGGCGCCGGTGTGATGCAATGGGAAGTGTATGAGAAAGCATCTGCAAAACGGTTATCCCTGGTTGGGGGAGAGTGTCCAACCGTGGGTGCCGTAGGAGGTTTCTTGCAAGGCGGTGGAGTGTCAAGTTTTTTCAGCTATGCTAGAGGACTGGCAATAGACAATGTACTGGAATATCAGGTAGTTACCGCAGAGGTATGAAGCACTAAGAAACGATGTTCCCCCTTCTAGTTTGTGAAGCTGACCTAGCCCCAGGCCGAAGTTGTTGTTGCGAATGCGCATCAAAATCGGGATCTCTTTTGGGCACTACGAGGTGGCGGCGGTGGTACATTCGGCATCGTTACGCAGGCGACCGTACGCCTCTTTCCAGATGATCCACTAACATCAACTACGATATCTGTCTCATCAGAGGAAACAAGTAACATTGAATGGACGGAAGCGATTAGTCGCTTGTTGTCGACTCTACAAACAATGAACAAGAATCGTTATCCTGGGCAATTCCTTCTACAACGCCCGTCCAATAGCTCAGGTGTAGCGAGTCTAACGGTCCACTTCCCGAACATAACTGATACCTCGATGGCCGAGAAGCAGACACGAGCAAGCTTCAAGTGTCCGGACGGCAGTGCAGGACTCGTGTGTTCGATATCATCAGAGTGGCTTGCTCAAGGTAGCTTTAGTCTTCGGAAGGCTGCTGATATATATCCTGAGAACTATGGAATACTTTCGGCATCCCTTCTGGTTTCAAATCGAATGTTTGGAACTCCTGAATGGCCTGCAAAATTGGCAGAGACATTGGTGAAAATTCAAATGTCTTCTGGAGATATTTTGTTCACAAGTAACTTAGGAGGTCACATAAACGAGCTTGAGGTGGACGAAACTTCTTTACATCCAGCGTGGCGTTCCTCTGCTCAACTAATTACTTTCGTACGTTCTGTCGCGGCATCATTCGCAGGAAAGACAAGTGTAATGAACGAATTATCAAACATCCAGATGCCCATTCTATACTCGATGGACGAGGAATCCCGAGTGTCTTATCGTAATTTAGGGCTTCCCAATGAAAATAACTTCCAGAATCTCTATTGGGGCAGCAATTACCAGAAATTGCTGAAAATTAAGCGACGTTGGGATAAAGATGGCTTATTCACCACAAAATTGGGAGTTGGAAGTGAGTATTGGGACGAAGAGGGGCTGTGTAGAATACATCCGAACTATTTTGAGAGAGCTCTGGAAGCTCTGTGGTTCTTTTAGTTAACTTTAATTTCAGATTTTATTTGAATTCTGTACGTTGATCTCGTAATATGTCGTTTAAGTGTTACAGAGGGCATGTTGACTGATCTAATCCTTCCTATCCTTTACCTTAGTTGGTGCTTCTAGCTCCGGTTCATTATTCCTCCTTGTGCCGATTGCCATATTCCCCCCCTTTTTTTCGCTCTGGCTATATATAGCGCGGGCAATCTCTTCTGGTCTTTAGAATAGCAATCGAGGTTTATTAATATAATTTTGGTATTGTCGGTCTACCTGCTACATTCACTATAAGTCCACCGAAAATGCATCAAAAGGCCTCTATACCCGTCACCGATATTCGTCGTTCAAAGTTTGAGACGGATATTCCCAAGCTGGTTCTCGACGGTCTTTCGAAACAGCCAAAGACGCTACCTGCCCTCCTCTTTTACAGTTCTGATGGGTTGGTACACTGGGATCGACACTCGCGCGGGCCGGACTTCTATCCGAGGCTTGAAGAGATGCAAATATTGAGAAACGAAGCTCATAATATGGCATCCGGGATTGCTAAACATAGTGTCATCGTCGATTTGGGTAGTGCGTAAGTCAAGACCTTGGACGCCCTTTGATGGCGCCATGCTACCTGTCTTTTGCCTGTGTGATTCACATTTTCAGATTGGAAACTAACTGAATAAATATTTGAAGGAGTCTCGACAAAGTACTTTTTCTCCTCCAAGCTTTAGAAGCCCAGGAGAAGGAGGTTACATACTACGCGTTAGACCTTAGTGAAGAACAGCTCCGAAACAGTATGGAGGAGATCCCAATGCAAATGTTCAAATACGTTCGGTTCGGTGCCCTCTATGGCACTTTCGAAGATGGAATCCACTGGCTCAGGGACGCCCCAGAAGTCCGTGATCTTCCTCACTACATACTCTTGCTTGGCCTGACGATTGGAAATTTCTCACGCGAGAATGCGGCTGCTTTTCTCAGTCAAATCTCGACTAACGCACTTTCCAAGAATCCTAAAAATAGCAGCATCCTCATCACCATAGACAGTTGCAAGATACCCACCAAGATCTTACGAGCCTATACTTCTGATGGTGTTGTTCCTTTCGCACTGACTGCTCTAGGATACGCAAATCATCTAATGGGCCTGGGGAATGAGACTGGACCGGCATTTTCCCCAGATGAATGGGACTATCTCAGTGAATGGAATTTTGTCCTTGGCAGACATGAGGCATCTTTGATACCAAAGGGCCATGACATCAGACTTGGAGGATCTCTACATGATATAATTGTTAATAAGCATGAGAAAGTTCGGTTTGGATGCAGCTATAAATATGCCGAGGAAGAAGTGAAAGCACTCTTCGAAGCTGCAGGCCTTAATTGCGTTGCAACTTGGTCGAGGGACAATTGTGACGTTGCATTTTTTCAGCTTCAACCGGACGCAAAATGAGTTTCGTCAACGGAAACAGGATGACAACTTCGTAGAGGGGCACATCATCGTTCTAAGATAGCTATTTAATACTCTTACAATTCCCCAGGCTCCATTGAATGATCGCAATCGTTTCTTATGATGATAACTACTAAATGAATTTCACTCTTTCTTGACTCACCTACGAAGTAGAGATTTTAATGCATTAAGGACACGGGAGAGTCTTCAAAAGCAACCAGCCTTGGCATATTGGACAGCACGAGGTTTGGATCACGATTTGGGGGCTGTGAACCGAAACTACCAGCCACACATTATTTTCAAGGGCAGTCTTATACAGCATGTCTAATAGACGATTCCGACACATGATCGCCGACTACCCGCTAGCCATATACAGTCCAAAAATCAATAGTATAGACTATTAGAAAAAGGAAGTGCGGTCCCGAGATACCTCACGGAGATACAGAACGGGGATACCTAATGAATTCTCCCTGCAAAAATTGATTTCCATGAATTGCTTTTAATACTTAGTGTGCAAAAACATGCATTAGTGTACCTAGGTATGCTGGACGAAGGTTGCCGTGTCTCAGATGGCCCATTGCCATGCTGATCATCGGCTTCGCTTTAGCTGAACATACTCTACCGTATGTCTGATACGGTGATACTGCAGAAATATTACTTTCTCACCGCCAAGCAGACACAGATTGCATGGCACTAAGAACTATACGCCGAACTAAGCGGTCAATAATCTATAGCCAGCGCAAATTGCGTCTTGACTCTAAGAAGTCCTACATTTTGTGGCGTGAAAGCATACGTCGACCATGTCAGGTGTGATACGAACTATTCCTGGGTCAAATTATTTCCTCTGTCAATCTTTTCTCAAGATTTCAATTCAAGCAGCAAACCTTTACACTAGGAACCATACAACACAGAAGCAATGGGTTCCCTTGCGAAGATTACAACTCGCGATGACATCCCAACGCCCACTCTCACAACCACAAGTGGGTGCCCTATCGCAAAGCCGGAAGGCTCACTGAGGGATGGGAAGCATCTTTTATTACAAGATTTCAACTTGATTGAGACTTTGGCTCATTTTAATCGAGAAAAGATTCCGGAACGTGCCGTCCATGCCCGAGGTGCCGGAGCATACGGCGAATTCGAAGTGAGTCCTCCCTGGAGATTCCTTGAAACAAGAATTACTGTTGTACCGTAGCAACGGAAAGCTAACTGACTCTTTTCGTATCTATAAGGTCACACATGATATTTCGGATATTTGCAGCATTGACATGCTACTTGGTGTAGGAAAGAAGACACCCTGCGTCACGCGTTTCTCAACAACAACTTTTGAACGCGGATCAGCCGAATCCATGCAAGACCCTAAGGGTATGGCTGTCAAGTTTTTTACTGAGGAAGGCAACTGGGACTGGGTCTGTTTGAACATTCCCATGTTCTTCATTCGCGATCCTATCAAGTTTCCAGGCTTGGTGCACGCTCAGAGGCGGGACCCTCAATCCAATTTGGCAAACCCCAATATGTGGTGGGACTGGATTTGCAACAACCATGAATCTCTACACATGGTCCTGTGGCTGTACAGTGAATTCGGGTCTATGTTCAACTACCGTAGCATGAGCGGCTACGTTGGTCATGCCTTCAAATGGACCATGCCGGACGGATCGTGGAAATACGTGCACTTCTTCCTTTCTTCGGACAAGGGACCAAATTTCGAAAAAGGAGAGACTGAAAAGAACGCCCAGCCTGACGACCCCGACTCGGCCACGCGTGACCTCTACGAAGCTATAGAGCGAGGGGAATACCCGACATGGACCGCCAATGTACAAGTAATTGACCCTAAAGACGTTGACAAGCTTGGATTCGATATCTTTGATGTGACCAAGCATTGGAACTTGGGCAATTACCCGCCAGACATCGACGTAATTCCGGGTAGGCCATTTGGAAAGCTGACTTTGAACCGCAACCCTCAAAATTTCTTCGCCGAGGTAGAACAGTTGGCTTTTTCACCTTCCCACCTAGTTCCAGGTGTTGCGCCATCGGAAGACCCTCTCCTCCAAGCTCGTATGTTCGCTTATCCAGATGCACACCGTTACCGCCTAGGTGTCAATAATCAGTCTATCCCGGTAAATAGGCCCAAGAATGCTTATAATCCCCAGCTCCGTGACGGCAGCGGCGTGCATGGCGATAACTACGGCAAGGTCCCTGGATTCGTGTCGGCCTCTCGCCCAATGAACTATGGTAAGCCAATCAACGGTGGTGCAGAGTTGGACGAGTGGCTTGCAAAGGTTAATTCCCAGGCTTGGCTGGACGTGGGTGAGAACGATTATAAGTGGCCAAGGGAGTTTTGGAAAATTCTCCCTACCCTGCGTTCTCCTGAGTTTCAAAACACTATTGTTGTTAACATGTCCAAGTCCTTGGTTAACGTTGACGGGGATATCCGGGAAAGGGTGTACAAGACGTTGCAATTAGTTGCCAACGACCTGATGGAGCGAGTACGGGATGCCACTGAATCTTTAGTATCTACAAATTAAATTGTTGATTGGACAACAACAATTTTATCGTTGTAAACAGGACTATCTGATGCTTTGTCAAATTGTTATTTCCTAATTTATGTTACTGGTTTAAATCCAACAACCCAGAAACGACCCGAAAATCGAGCAGACCGAAATATAATAAATCCTAACCCGTCTTCAATGTGATGCAGTGTCTTCCACTTGATTAATATTGGCTTCTAAGCGTAATATTGTTGCTCTAACCTATACCATTATAACCAAGCATGAATTCATGGATTGCCTCTTAGCATAACTTTGCTGTTCAATGGCTGATAATCTTTAACCTAGTTCATTAGTGCTGAAGTTCAAATCTCTATTAGAATATTTCGCACCCAGTTTAAAATTTCAGGCGCAGAAACATGCTGGACTAGTTGCCACAGTGATTTACAAAGACTCGTATATTTGAGGAGAGAACAATAGTGCTTAGCAGATATGACAATGGGCACTTTCATGTATGGACCCGGAACTTGCTCGCGGCTACTGGTTCGTAGATACAGCTCTCGATACCACAACACAGTTCCTTCTAGTGTCTCATGTTTGCATCGTGGCATCTATCATTAAGGTTTTCCAGCACCCACGTTCACATTCGCTCCGTAGACCGGCCGTGAGTCCGTGCTGAGTAGCCAAACTATTGTTCTTGCAACATCTTCAGGTTGGATCAAGGAAAACCCCTCACGTTTGTATGAGTCTTCTATATCCTTGAATGAATTGGCACTTGGCATGAACTTTGGGAGCATGGGTGTATTTGTAATGCCTATTGGGACAATGTAAGCGGTAGATCCAACAGAATGAGATGAGTACAAAATTATCAAAAGCAGACTGAATATACAACTTACCTGGAGAAACACCATTGACTCTAATTCCCAACGAAATAGCATCAGCCGCGACACAGTCGGTGAGATAGGCAGTAGCACCTTTAGATGTACCATAAGCATACACGTCGGGTAAGTGCAAGAAAGCCGCTATACTAGAAACATTTACGATGCTGCGATCTCGACGAGGCAAGTCCTTCATTGCTCGTACTTCAGCACGAGTACAGAAAAAAACTCCGTCGAGGTTGACTTTCATGACTTGATCCCATTCCGCGTCGGTTTCTGCAATAATGGTAGGCGTTGTTCGCAAACCCGCTCCCTGGCCTATGCCAGCAACGTTAGCTGCACCGTTCAGGTCGCCATACTTCGTAACAATGCCCTGTATCCACTGCTCTACCTGTTGGGAAGATGTCACATCCAAGACTGTAAAGTCAACAACAGTTGCCGGGTTGAGCTCTTTGATCTCGTTTTTCAGCTGAGCGAGATTCTTGGACGAAACATCGCCAACACAGATGAAAGCAGCTCCACGATCCGCCAAAAGACGGCTTGTCGCAGCTCCAATGCCGGAAAGTCCACCCGTGACAGCGAAAATCCCCCCTGTGACTGTAGCCATTATTTAGGTTAGTGGTATGTAAGAACGTCAAAGGGCAGAAGTACATTTGCAATCTCGGATTGTACCAAAGTAATGGAAATCTAATTAGTATCATCCAATCATATAGATGATGTAGCTATGGCGGTCACGGACATATAAGCATCTACGTCATCAATAAATGCTAGGCATTAGGATTGCTTTTCCTATATTATGCATCCCAAACGGGGAAGCTGAAAAAGCGCGAGACATGGAGACTAAAAAAGCAATGAAAAAGAAACAGGGAGAATGCCGTCAAAAAACATGCCCACAGGTCAAGGTCTCGATCAGAGAAAATCAGTGCCGTTTTTGTGTTACACTATTGTTCGATTATGAGGCGCCACTGTGCAGGGACAATGATAGACTCAGTACAATATTGAGAGGTAAGCATCTTCTGAAGCTGAAATGACTAGGCTAGTGTATACCCAACCCAGTAAACGATCTACCCCTGTACATCCCCGGTGTGCTCTGTTGCCAAGAACTCGTTGCTAAACGGATAGTCCAGGTAGCCTTTCTCTGAGAACGGAACGTAAAACGTGTCACGATCGTAGGGTTGAAGTGGAAGTTGGTGTTGCACGCGGAACGGCAGGTCAGGATTAGAGATGTATAACCGGCCAAATACGACAGCCACGTTGCCATACTCGGCATACGTTTCATCAACCATCAGCTTGGCTGATGCCGCATCGTAACCCCCTGCCAGCAGAACCGGCTTCGACTTTCCCCACATGTGAACAAAAGTCCTGTTATCGGCGTCAGGATGCGTAACGTCTTCCACCCATCGGGAGTTGGCTAGATGGAGATAGGCAATGTTCATCTCACGGAGGTGGCTAATGATGTGCTCAAACTGGGGAACCAAGTCATCCATAGTTCCCATGCCCTGGAACGTGCTCCACGGTGAAAGCTTCACGCCGACGCGATGGGCACCGATCGCATCGACAATTCCACTTGTAATCTGCAGTGCGAATCGGGCGCGTTTCTCAATAGTTCCACCCCAGCCATCAACCCGTTGGTTACAGGACGCCTGGGTGAACTGATCGATTAGGAAACCATTAGCGCCGTGAATCTCGACGCCGTCGAAGCCCGCGAGTACGGCGTTCTTGGCAGCTTGAACATGCTCATCAATGTAGACTTGTATCTCGGTCTCTGTCAGAGCACGCGGAGTAGGATCGTCTGGTCCGGCAGGAACTGCGCTGCTGGATGTGAGGTCGAATCCGTTTGCGGTTAGTACCTCGACCTCAGCGCTGCGTCCTGTGGCCCAGAGTTGAAGCCATATATACGATCCTTTCGAATGAACCACATCCACAATTTCCTTCCAGGCGCTGATCTGTTCCGATGCCCAGATTCCAGGGACATTGGCAAACCCCTTTGCTTGGGCTGAGATCGCAGTTGCCTCAGTGATCAATAAAGTCCCAGGCACAGCTGCGCGCTGTGCATAGTAGTCCTTGACGAAAGGTAATGCCACGGCATCGTCATCAGCACGAAAGCGGGTCATAGGAGAAAGAACCATTTTATGTTGCAGTTGACAGCGTCCGACTTGCAAAGGCTTGAGGAGGTTCGAAGAGGCATCCATTTCAGATAGAATAATGATAACAAGAGTGCCTTTCCACTTTGTTGATGAAATATAATGAGTTGTGATACGATTACAAGGAAGAAACTTATTTTCTTTATAAATCGGTTCGAGGAAGCAAAAGACAGAAATACTGATCTATCAGCCAAATATGAGATTATATAGCCGTATTTGCACCATACTACCATATTATTTCAGAAAGACCGTAAACCCATACCGTATTCTAGTTATCTTGAGCTAAGGTGATCGTCTGAGACGGGGATTAAGGAGCTATTGCAGCCACGAATATAGAATATGCCGTGCACAAAGCCAGTAACGGCTGAGGCCTTGGGCTCCCAGAAATTTTCAGCTCAAAATATTAGATCATGATGCAAATCTTGTCTTGCAGATTTACTGTATTGGTTCATTCTAGATTACTCATAATTCGTCTCTGCCGCAACAAGACCCAGCGTTGCTCCCCCGGGTCTGAATTCCGTCCAGGAGCATCAATTGACAGATCCAGGCTTCAAGAACGTTCTAAGGAAATATTTCACTGCCAAGTCAGTAACACCTTGTAGTAATTGAAGAACGGACAGAGTCAATAACGCCTTCCAGGAATTAGACTAAGGAATCGACATACAATGCAGGTCCAGAAAGACACAAAACATTTGCCAGGAACTTCATACTGGGAGACATATCTCGAAGAATGCGTCTCTTGCCATTTTCCTACACTAGGCGGTGTCGTTCCGGGCAAGAACTGGTCGGTGTCAGTGCCATTAGAGAATGATATTAACGCAAAGATACGAGATCTTTGTGACAACACAGGAATCAGCGTGTTTACTGTGCTCCGAGTAGCGTGGGGCCTCGTTCTTCGCACCTATACAGGACAGGATTTAATATGCTTTGCTGATTCTATGACGGCGGCATCCCCCAGCGATACGATTACGAATGACCAGCCTACGTGCATTAGTGTCTACAAAATCGATTTTGATGACGCTGAAGCCATGATCTCAAGAGCACTCAAGACGACTGATGCGACCCATCTCGAACGGCTTGCCATCACGCTACCGCCCGTGTCAGAATCCATCCGTGCAACTCTGGGTGTATCTGATAAAGATGTATTCAATACATTAATGTTGTTTCGAGCTGAAAAGGGACTGAAATCAGAGAGACCCATCGCAAATGGAGAAATTCATGAAGTCGACAACGAAAAACAGGTTAGTCTCGCATCATCAAAGCTTAGACAGCTGCAGTATCAACAATAACACAGAAATACTGACTGTGGGCCCTCTAGTACGATGTCGACATTGTTGTCCAGTGCGAGGTAGGTGAGAGTAGAGCATGCATAGTCCTAGATTATCAAACCTCGTTCATCTCACCTCAACGAGCGACCAGTATCGCCATAGCATTCGCCAAAGCCATCGACCACATAGTCACTCACTACGATACTAATGGTGATCATGGGGGACGTGACCAATTATATTTATTGAGTGATCTAGATAAATCAGAGATATACAAATGGAATAGAAATGAGCCGACTCGTTCCCATCGCTGCATTGACACCCTCATCCATGAGCAATGTCTGTCTCAGCCAAATGCCCCTGCGGTATGCGCGTGGGACGGCGACTTCAGCTATAAACAGCTGGACGAACTCTCAGAATCCATTTCCAGATACCTGACAGCGCTTGGCATTGGGCCGGATGTGTTTGTACCCCTTTATTTCGAAAAATCCCGATGGACCACTATCGCCATGCTTGGGGTGATCAAAGCCGGCGGAGCGTTTGTCCTGCTCGATCCCTCTCATCCAATCGAGCGACTACGGAGTATCTGCAAGAGCTTGTCGGCGACAGTCATTCTCTCTTCCGTACAATCTGCACAATCGGCTGCGGAGCTAGTAGCAACTGTCATTGAGATTGGAGACGCCAAGATGGACGTCTTCAGTGCTGTCAACACAAGAGCGCACTCGGCGACGGCTCCATCAAATGCCCTCTATGCCATCTTCACTTCTGGTTCGACTGGTGTCCCCAAAGGGATTGTTAGTGAGCACTCATCGTTTCACGCCGCAGTCTCTCCGTACATCAAAGCTGTCGGACTTGATCAAAAATCACGAGTGTTTCAGTTTTCATCGTATGCATTCGATGTGACTATTTTCGATACACTCATGACATTGATCAGCGGCGGGTGCTTGTGCGTGCCGTCGGATGACGATCGCTGGAGCAATGTTACAAGCTCAATGCAATACTTCCGGAATTCTCACGCGAGTCTTACGCCAACAGTTGCACGGATCTTGGATCCTAAAGATCTCCCTACCTTGAAGACATTAGTCTTAGGAGGGGAGAGGTTGGTGAATTCTGATTTTCTGAAATGGGTCGACCATGTGAAGGTGGTCAATCTATATGGCGCGTCAGAGTGTTCGATCATGTCTATCCAATCCACCATTGGAAATTCATCTGACTTTCAGATTAACGACCACTTGACTGGAAGCAATTGTTGGATAGTCAATCCAAACGACCATGAGAAATTACTACCCATCGGTGCAGTCGGAGAATTGGTCGTAGAAGGATCTATCGTCGGACGTAATTATCTAGACAATGCAGAAAAGACAGCAGCTACATTTATCCAGTCACCAAGTTGGTTACGTGAACTAAGAGGTTATGCCTCAAGCCATAAACTATACAAAAGTGGTGACCTCGCCAGATATACTGCAACCGGGGCCATTCAGTTTGTTGGACGTCACGACAGCCAGGTCAAGCTTCGTGGGCAGCGCGTCGAGCTCGGAGAGGTAGAGCACCATATTCTACGGATATTTACCCACGCACGGGATGTCGTGGCAGAGATGGTCACCACGCCTGATCCATCGAGGACCCTGTTGCTGGTTGCTTTTGTCCGCACTGGAGACATAGCCGAGCCAAACAGCAGGGACCGCACTACGGAAATCCCCCAGATAATAGCTGAGCCGTCCGATTGGTTTCTCTCTCAAATCCCCGTCGTGAAATCGAGACTTCAGCAATTGTTACCTTCTTACATGGTCCCAGCAGTGTTTCTTCCCTTGAATCTCTTGCCGCTCACGAGCTCAGATAAAGTAAACCGAAAGCTTCTGCGGGAGCTCGTGGCGAAACTTTCAAGAGAACAGTTAGCGAGTTATCGACCACAAATGAGTGTGAAGCGTACGCCAGAGACAAGGGCAGAGAAGCATATGCAACAATACTTTGCCCACGTGTTACATCTTGAAGCAGAGCAGGTGGGCGCAGATGATCACTTCTTTGACCTAGGAGGTGATTCGCTTGCGGCTATGAAGCTAGTGGCAATGGCGCGGAAGGATATGTATAAACTTACCGTCCAGAACGTGTTCGCTCAACCTCAGCTGTCTGCTATAGCATCTATAGCCCAATATGACAATGGAGAGAATGATGGGGAGGAAACAATACCGCAAGCGTTCTCGCTAATTAACAAGCAGCGAGACATAATAAGAGCTGCGGCCCAGCAATGCCACCTGCCGGTCAGGTCGATTGAGGATGTCTACCCTTGTACCCCGCTCCAACAGGGGCTACTGGCCGAGACGATGAGAAATCCTAGATCATTCGTGGCCGATATCCCCCTTTCCCTGCCTGGGAATGTCGATTATAAGCGGTTACAGGGAGCCTGGAGCGCTGTAGCGAAGGCACACCCCATTCTGCGTACAAGAATGATCTTGTCGAATTCGCATGGTCTATTACAAGCCGTTATTCGGGAAGATATACGATGGATGGTTTTGGACATGAACGAAGATCCTAATTTTATGGTTGGCGTTGGCAAGCCCCTAGTGCAATTGACCCTTCGTCGTTGTCAGGAAGAAAAGCAAGCGACATTTCAGCTTTCTCTCATTATCCACCACGCTATCTACGATGGATTGACCCTGCCGCTTATCTTTTCAGAGGTCGAGGCAGCATATAATGGAAACACCCTCACTCAACATCTCGTCAGTCCCTTCATCCGCTATCTACAGTCTGTTCCCCTTGGGGAAGGCTACTGGAGGTCTAGAATGAAGGGCCTCCGAACTCTAGCCTTTCCTGCCCTGCCTTCCCAGACGTATCGGCCATTGCCCAACGCGATTACTCAGGCTTATATTATCACTGAGGGCCCATTGGTAAGAAAATTCACCCATAACACTCATGTGAGGCTCGCCTGGGCCCTCACGCAAGCCTGGCATCAAGGGGTCAATGATGTCTTTTTTGGAACAGTAGTGTCGGGTAGAAATGCTCCAGTCTCGGGCATCGAGTCAATGACGGTGCCCACCGTCGCTACTGTTCCGTGCCGGGTCACCATTAACCTTGAAAATTCGATCCGAAAAATGCTCCAAGAGGTTCAGGATGACATGGTCGCCGGTATTCCATTCGAGCATAATGGCCTGTCCGACATACGCCGGCTGGGTAAGGACGCTGAATTAGCATCTTCGTTCCAAACGCTTCTTTCGATGCAGCCGATGGGAACCCGTAACGACTTCATATGGCAAGAACAAGAGGACTTTAATATGAATCACCGAGCGGACGCAACTTACGGTATCAACCTGTTCTGTATTTCTAAGGGAAACGAGTTAAATGTCACTGTAATCTATGACGGGAATATGGTGAAACAAGAAGAGATGCAACAGATGGTATCGCATTTCAGTCGGACTTTGAAGGTGTTACATCAAAGTCCAGACATACAAGTTCGAGATATCCTGTCAGATAAGGGTCATGAGAGTAGGTATTGATGAGAGATTATCGGATAAGAATGATGTGAGCTTATAGTGTTTGTTGTGTATCGTTTGTAGTGCAAGTCTTGTCCTAGAACAATATACAATTTTCACGATATATTAAACTATTTGACACATTCTGTCAATATAGGAGCCGATAACACTGCAAAGAGCTACAATAATGGGTTACTGTAGCGCAGAAGAACAAAGGAGATGATTGTAAGCCGAAGAGGCAATCTATCCGCAACTCTGGTTAGGATTATTAAGTACACTCCTTTTTTCCCCAGCTACCTACATAAGCTACTACTAGCCATGAATGACCATACATACCTACATTGACATATATCCAGCATATATACATCTATATATTAAATGCACGTACCACTATAGATACATTTATCCATACGCCGATTCCACCGTGGGTAAAATTTAATTTGTTCGGAATACCACGCGATCTTTACTAGTACGAGAATAGAAAACTAATGCAAATAATTGATAAATGGTCTCGTAGGCCGTAGAAAAAAAATATTCAATAGTTTTGGGAAAACCGGGCAGTAGAGCAATGATCATAAACACTTCTGGAGCTGAAATGTTGCATACTAGCACACGAGATCGGAAACACCGAAGCGGTGAAGATTTTGTTAGCCACGAAATACTTGCTAAAAGAAAGAGAAAAATACAGAAGGTAAATCCCTGAGGCCATGTAGCGATTCGGGCTGAGACATGCATATATCTATTTTGAGCCACTTCACTCACTTCCCTTCGCATATTTCTACTAAAATGAGTGCCTAGGTACCTTAAGGGAATACTGCCAGGTACAGTACATAGAATGTTGTAAAGAAAATCTATATAGACACAACTTCCCCCATCAATCATATACGTTAGGTAGAAAGTACAAGCAAGTAATATATCATACAGTTCATATACGGTATCTTTCAGCAATTGTTAATTTCTCTCGAAGCTAGCAATGCTGATAGCCATGGATACAGTCCCGCAACTTTTGATTGATCATCTGTTGAGTATAGTAGTTTTACTCATTATCCTTTTCATCGCTATTTTTTGGAAGAATATCGAGTCTTCGAAGGACAAATTAAGCCATATACCACTTATTGGATCCGAATTGGGTAATACCGAGCAGAGACGCAAAGCATTTACCTTAAACGCAAGACCGTTGTACGCCAAGGGCTACAAACTATTCAAAGATGCTCCGTTTCGAATAACAGATGAAAATGGTGAGTTTGTATTTCCCTCTCCCGGCTGCGCCAACGTGGAAAGTTATACTGACTTGTTAATAGAAGAAAAGGTCATCTTACCTCGGCGTCATCTGGACGAGATAAGATGGCTTTCAGATGACTATTTAGACAGCCACAAGTCAATCTATAAGGTCAGCATATTATCCTATAGCGCTGCAAGTATATCCCTAGCTGACACCAATCCAGCACACCATGACTCGCTACACTAAACTCGAACCAATCCATGCGCACATGAACCTCCTCACCCATGTCACTAGAAGCGATCTTACTCATAGCTTAGGTAAATGTATTACCTCTATTACGACCATCGTGATCTGACACTCGTTGTAGCTCGTATCAATACTCAATTAGCAGCGGAGGTGGAGCGCACAGTTGTTGAAGTGCTTCCGAGATGTGATGACTGGACTTCAGTCCACGTGGCATCCACCAGCCTACGGATAACTGCTATAGCTTCAGGAAGCATCTTTGTCGGGAGCGACCTCTGTCGTCGAGAAGAGTATGTGAACAGCAGTATAAATTTCACAGTCGATATATTCACAGCAATTCCGAAACTGAAGATGTGGTCACCGTGGTTGCGGCCTATTGGACAATACTTCATTCCTGAGTTGAAACGAGTTGCAGAACACAGAAGAAAGGTTAAGGAGCTCCTGGATCCGGTCATAACTGAGAGGTCAAATATGGCCAAAAAAGGGCAATCATTACCCGATGATATGCTCCAGTGGATGTTGAACAAGCGCGAAGATTTCAACCTGGCCGAAGATGATATATCCACAGTTCAATTGAACCTTGGGTTAGCTTCGATTCATACGACAGCGCTGACAATTGTGTCCATGTAAGCCCATGCGAGACAAACATCTTGATAGTCAATTAATGCTAATATTCACAGTCTGTATGACCTCGTAACTCGTCCCGAACTCATTGAAGATATTCGAGAGGAAATAAAGAGTGCCGTAGCGAATAATGATGGTATAATAACTATGCGCGCCCTTTTTGAGATGAAGCTTCTTGACAGTGTCATGAAGGAGACCGTAAGGTTGACTCCGGGAAGCCTTGGTTAGATATGCCCATTAATCTGTGATATCGAGAAGGAACAGATGGCTGACTGGACTCAGTTCGATTCAATCGTTACGTGAAGAAGAGTGTAACCCTAAAGGATGGAACGTATCTCCCGTCCGGTACTTGGATTGAAGCAAATCACGGCTTCATCGTCTCGGACCCAACATTATATTCTAATCCTGAGGTATTTCCATCATTCCCATACTTTGAACTGCATATATCCGAGCCGAGGATCTAACCACAAAGATAATATAGAATTTTGATGGCTATCGGTTTTTGAATCTCCGAAACAAGACAGCAGTCGACCCTCTGGGCTACAAGAACACGGAGCAGTACCAATTCGTTACGTCGACGAAGGATTTCATGCATTTCGGTTATGGACCGCATGCCTGTCCTGGTCGTTTTTTTGCGGCAAATGTGATTAAGTTAATTACAGCCCGCATTCTCATGGAGTTCGATATCAAGATGCCAGATGGTATGACCGAGCCGTATCAAAATACTGGCACAGGCTTTGATGTGCGGCCGGACGTAACGAAGATGCTCATGTTTAAACGGGTCAAGGTGTAGTTCTGATGGAATCGATGGAAACACTGTGAACGTTAAATACCTATACACGCCTTTCGCAACACTTTACCTACATTAGGTACTTTAAGCATTGTAATCAGTGTCGCTTAAAATCACTGTAGCGGGTGAGCGTCCTAAGAGATGCTTAACCTAGACATTTTTACCGACATAAACACAAATAGGATCAATTCGAAAAGCATAAGCGACATTCGTTATACCTTCCTTTGGGCTTCTTCTGAAGTAGGTCGTGACAACAACCTCATATACGATTTGAAGGACGGCCTGGCCTCGTCGCGCTTCGAAGCTCCCTACATAATTCACCTGGCCATGAGCTAAATCTAGTGCTATCTTTTTCCTCGTTCCACTCCATCCATTCCTCAACGTCTGACTATAATGAAGCCTTATCTCCTGTTATCTGACCGGAAAAGTGATCCCCTTAGTCGCAATCGCTAGCTTACAAACCAAGAGTGTTCGTTGAGGCGCTCGTAGTGTCGAGCAAGCAGGGGTATGGCGTATCTGTCACGATGTAGCAAGGATTACAATTTATGCAGCCGTGGCGTGGTAAAGCTAGAATCCATCCTATTCAATATTTTCTATTGAGCTATGTTCCGGTTAATACCTGGTCAATCTATTCTAGCGTTATGCTTAAGCGACCGTTGGAAGGGTCTTTGGTGTTTTGGGCCTATCTTCAATGTCCAGCTCAGGGTCCACAGGTTCAGGGCTTTGTGGCTTTGAGCCCACGATCAGAGTTGAACGAAACTCTTCTCTCTGTGGCCTAGTCCAAGAGTTAGCAAAAAACCCCCATTTTAGGTATATGGAAGATATTGTACAGCAGATATTTCAAATCAACATATCGCAGAACACAAGTCATTGTGATGACTAAAATCCATAGGGCAATAGATGATTGCCAACCATACTTGTCTTTTTTACGTTAGTATTATCTCTAGTTCAAGAACATTAACCCTGGGGGACTTACAATAAGGGGCCTGGACGGCGGGCCAAACTAGAACTTGGCTCCACGCTGAGACTGCATAATACGTTGCGATAGCAATTCCGACAACCAGTGTCCTAGCCTCCGGATCTTGCGGTAATCTACGAGTTTTAGTTGTCATTCCAATAAACCGTACCGGGAATATTCTCACAGATCAGACAGCCAAGCCATGATGAGAGGCGCAGTTCCCAGTGTTAAATACGAGATAAAGTAACTTGTGTATGCGGTAGCTAATGGTGTTGTGTCCGGATGGGAAGTCCATATGCTCATAGCAATACATGGGACAAGGCCGATAACAGCTACATTAGGAGGTACATATTAGTTTCACTCTAATCGCACGTTCAAACCTGTGGGATCTACTCACCCTGTGCTATAATCAAGGTCCATCGTGTCCTCAAGAGATCTGATAAAATAGCCCAAATCCAGACTAGAACATATAATTAGCTTGGCTAAAAGGGGGTAAGAGACGTGTATGTACCAAAGACGACGTTTATAGCACTACCACCAATCGGAATGGCATTAACTTGAGATGTAGACCAGACAGGTGTACCATCTGGATTCTTCAAGCTTTTCAAGAACAGATTAAAGTAGGCGTATCCCCACGGCGCCAGCACGGTCGCGATGTATAAAACTGGGATAAAGTAGGTCACCCAGTTCAAAAGAGTGCGCCTATATTCAATTAGTACTGCTTAGGGTATTTCAAGGGTGTTGATAAGGATTTACTTACTTTGCACCAGCCCAGGTCATTTTCTTCGGTTCGGCTCGTCCGTGACGTTCCAAGCGTTCCATCGCAATTTTGGCGTGCCCCCTTTTAAACCAAAATGCCCTAGGATTGACGCGATTTGGTAGGTCCGGTAACAAAAAGAAACCTAGGGCGCCCACAAAGACCGTCATGATCCCATTGATGATGAATAGCCAACGCCATCCGGCCAGGCCGTTCGCATCGTGAAGAGTATTGATGATGGCGACTTGCAATGCCCCAGACAGCATAGAGCCAATTGCTTGGCAAGAATGGTAGAATCCCATCCTCTTAGCAAGTTCTGAAGGCGTATACCAATGCACTATATGAGCGTCAAGGTAAGTATCTATAGGTGTACAGCAAAGACGAAGGGGGATGGAAAGGGGATAAAAGATCTTACTAAATAATGTCATCATTCCAGGCCAAGCTGAACTCTCGCAAAGTCCCAGGAAAACACGAAGTATGTAAACTTGTTTCGCATTATGAACTAGAGCAATGAGTCCTGTTATAACACCCCAACATATCTCCAATCCAGACAACCAGTAACTTGGCCGCACGTATGTTAGAATAATTTGAGATGGGATCAGCATTATACAATATGCGACACTGAAATACGTAGTGAAGCTGCGCCAAGTTAGCTGACTCGCTCAATTTTATATAGACGACTGTAAACTCACTAGTTAAGCTCATTGCCGTTTAATCCAAGGTCTTCTTTCATCCCCGAGACATAAGCGTTGCTAATATTTTGCTGGTCGAGATCTTTAAAATAAAATATCAGACATCCTGCTGCTCTGTTACAAATTATTAATTCGAGGCTTACATTTGATAACTAGCGTCGAACTATACGTTAGCCAACCCGTCTTATAGAGAATCTAATAAGTTACCAACCTTGAGACACGCATCCGAAAGTCATTAGGAAGATGTCCAGTCTCTGAACGAGATCGCGCTCCTCTGGCGTCCGCTCATGGCGCTGCGCAAATGCTAATCGATTAACATTCATATTGTATAGCCCTTAAACTTAGACATGATTTATAAAAGAAAGAAGCCGAATCACCTTATTCGACTTGGGCATCTCCTCACTGATATAGCTGTGTCTTATCTTTGGCTAACCCCGCTCATGATTGTTATGACCGGGGGTTGGTTCATGATCTAACTACCTACTACCACCTAAGGTGCTTATCTGGTTTCTAGCTTAACATAGTGCGCCCTAAATCAAGAAGAGATATTGTTTGCCGAGATGTAAGACTCTATCACAGGATCCCTTGACAAAAGGGGTCCTGTGGATGATTTCTTATCGGGACATTTTGAAAACTTCCAGTCAAGCTTGTTGTTTCTCGTCAATTGTCGAAACCCCGACAAGTCTATACAATAAATAGTCTATCCACAAGCATATCTGCATTCTGCCAATACCGGTTGTATCAAAAGCGGGGCACTTCCATTCTTCAAAGCATACGAGCAGATGTCATTCTCATCGCATCCGCCCTCCAAGTCTTTTTCGGGCTGGAGACGAATTTGTCCCGATAACAACTTATAAAAACCGTTTCCATACGCGTTCAGATGGTACGCAAGCGAAAAAGAGTAATCCATGTAATAGCCGGGCTGAATTTCATTAATCGTTATATTCCAGTTAGGCGTCGTCCCGCCAGACGTTGGAGCGGAGCAGATGTCCTTAGTATATCCGTACGGTGTCCTGTCATCGAATTTCCAGTGCACTGAACACTGCGCGGTACTGTTGCTAAAAACAATATAACCACCCCCCGAGGCGTGTGGTGCAGGTCCCGCCGGTATTCTGCTAGGATTTGAGATGGTGATATTTAGACTCGTGGCATTGGTGCCGTATGGGCCGACACGGGGGCTGCGGTAATGGAATGAAGATAATTCCCAAGGCTTGAGGGGATACCACGGAGGCAAAGGAGGATCTTCCGACAGTGCAATATGGGACTGGCACAGGAGGCCATAAAGGATGATGGAAATCGGGTTGAAGAGTTTCATTTTTTTTCGTGTCGCTTGCTGGTTGTGATGCCTAGATATTTTCTCTTCGGGGTCGTACCAGATGTTAGGAAGTCTCAAAGGGAGGAACCTATCTATCGAAGGGAATTATATATAAAAAAAAGCTCGAAAATACATATTCGCCTTTAATACGTGATGATGGATTACTCTAGTAATATATGCAGGCAACGTTAAAGTACAACGTAGTAGCAGCACGTTCGAGACTTTCTTGTCCACCCGAAATGAAAGAAAGTTTCTTTATATAGAAGTCGTGTTAGCTATGACTTATGTCGGCTAAATAACAAAGAATTGGGTATACACCGGCATCAACATCTTACTACAATGGTACGATACGATTGGACAATCTTACGAGAATATATTCTTTTTACACAGCTGAATGGTTCTTCTTCTTGGCTGTTATACAAGTTCCAACTTTTCTTGAGGTAATGTCGAGTATCGAAGTTACGTTACTATCAAAGGTCTGTATCACTCTGGAATCTTTGGATACTGACTTTATTCAACAAACTACCTAACCTACCTACCTACGTAACCTACCAAAAACCATAGCACAGGTAGTTAGATAAACATTAGTATTACCATTAGATAAGAATACAAATCAAATATTAAAAAATAGTATTCATATAAATAATAGAGATGAAAAAACTACCTAGTAGGCAATCAACCCTGTGCTGATATTTGATATTACACACAGAATATCACCAGTGTGCATAAATTTGGTATCGCAGTGTGCAAATGATATCGTCGGTTGGGTCTCACTGTTGTGGATCCCCATACAGAGATGCCCCTTTTTACAAACACTTGTCGTTCAACTGTTTGAAGTGATGATAGCCCAGCCACATGACAAATCTTATGTAAACCACGACCTGAAGTTAATAATCACTATACCAAAGTTGCATTGTATAGAAACTGTAAATTTCTCATGATATCAAGCCGTTGTTGCTTGGATTATGTTATTCTATAGCCGGGCTTACCTACGCCAGGCTCGGTATACCGGACTTTTCCGGAATTCAAAGAACACCGAGCTAATAATATCCGCTGTCCGAAACAACATGGCTTTAGTATCATTCATCATTTTACTCTTGTCCAAAAATTAGCAAACCCACCATCATGTTACAGGAATAACTTAGTAAACGGATATAGAATATTAATTCCATTGTTAAAACCGCCTATGTACTATCTAAGTTGTGTATATAACAAGCCTAGATGGCGACTAGAAATCGAGTTGAACAGCATCAAACAAGATACAGAAACACAAACGTAAAGACACTTGCTAGAAGTTCATTGAACAAACTATCCATTCAAAATGCGATCTCACGACCACCGTCTCATTGGGGCAGCCAAAAACATCCCCGTCAACCCTCAAACTCCCGTCTTTTCATTCAGCCCTATCGTTCTACCCTTCTCAGACCGACCTCTTGACTTGGACTTGAAAGTTACGGCCCCTGCAACTGGTGACGCTCTTCCAATAATTCTGCTCTCTCACGGCCAAGGCCGAAGCAACAACCTTAACTCCCTGGAGGGCTATACCCCTCTTGCTGAATTCTGGGCTGCGCATGGGTTTGTAGTGATTCAGCCTACACACTTATCCTCTTTATCAATCCCGGTCGAGGCACCCCCAAAAGGCAATGAGTACTATTGGAAAGACCGTGCCCAGGACCTAGTCAGGATTCTCGATGAAATTGACACCATTGAGGCAGCTGTCCCTGGACTAAAGGGGCGGTTGGACAAGACCAAGGTTGCCGTCGCAGGACACTCCCTAGGATCATGGACAGCAAGTCTGGTTTTAGGCGCCAAGAATATCGATTCACGAGACGGGACCGCCTTTGAGAAGTTCGAGAAACGCATCAAGGTCGGGGTATTACTTACCGGCACGGGAAATGCAGGCGAGGACCTTTCGGATATGGGACGCCTCATAGTTCCCTTTTATGGACCTGACTTCAGTGAGATGAAGACACCAGCTCTTATTGTGTGTGGAGATCAGGACGTTAGCCCGCACCTGACGACCCGCGGCGCCGATTGGCATGCGGACAGCTATCACCTCTCTCCAGGTCCCAAAGACCTGTTGTGGCTCAAGGGAGGAAAACACGGACTTGGAGGCGTGAGTGGCTGGGATGCAGCAGAGACGCAGGATGAGAGTCCCGAACTCCTAGGGGCAGTTCAGCGATTGACATTGGCATATCTGCGAAGTGCACTCTACGATGATAACTCTTGGGACAAGGCCCTTGATGCATTGAAGCAGCTTGGTGAGCTGGGTACAGTTGAGAGCAAACGATGAGTAAAGATGAGTTGGTTCAATGTTAATAAGTTGGTTCTAAGAGCTGTCGATTCCGTACCTACCTGGGCAATCTTACAGGATCCATATCCATAACATTCATTATTATCATTATATAACTAGATATTTAAGTTATCTCCTCTCTATAGAAACGGCGTTTCATATCATCATAATGATGTTTTCAAGGCTTTTAATATATTTGTGTGAATTGTGTATTTTACGTTCGCTTTGTTAGACATCAATGCTAACAAATTCAAAGTGAATTCCTGGACTCAAAGGTACTATATTGGCAAAGGCTCTTGGATAGATCTCCCTCCCTTATATGTACGAGGTGCCTCTTAGAGTGTCATTCGCGTCTTTCTCGTGAGCAGCTTCCATAGATACCTTGAAATCGGCGTCCCTAGATAGTCACGGACTTGTTGCGGTCGTCTAAACAGTCCCACGTAATAGGCAATAGAATCATTGTCCGTGATTCATACGGTCACTAGGAATACTGTAACCATGCACATCTCATATGATTCCAAACACCTCTGACTCAGGTATTCATTCAATGTAGGTACCCACCTTGTTTCTTGTAGTCTACGGATGATAGTAAAAAAATCACGCCGCGAGAATATATAAACTCTTCCATTCTATCATCACTTACCAAGGCTTTCACACAAAACGAAATTGCACAATTTCTTTTACTAGTTCGCCTTATATCAGTTTGCATCTACTCAAATCAATTCGAAACCATTGTTTACTCAAAGAGGCTTCACGAACTCCTGCTCACTTCCGCAGGTTCAGTTGCCGTCAACAATTAAACCCATCTATCAACATGGCGAAGCTCACAGATCTCCCTACAGAATTACTGCAAATGATTGCAACTGCAAGAGATGACCGCACTCCCTGGGAAATACTAAAAGAGGAGGACCTAGCCAGACTATCTGTAGTCAATCGACAGCTACATAAAGCAATAAATGGCATATTCTTCTCTTACGGCATTCACAACGGAAGCAACCCCCCCTCTTATGCTGCACAATATGGCAATCTTCATATTTTAAAGGCCATGGTCGCATTCCGTATCGAACCTATATCTTGGCATTACATATTACTGGAGGCTTGTGTATACGATCACCTCAATATTGTTGCCTGGATACTAGACCGCGGTATCAAACTAGAGGATCTCGGCCTCACAGTGAATACCGATTCACACCACCTGTTTAATCCGTGGGTGAGATCTTATAGGCGTCGGTGGATGCCTTATGGGGGGTATAAGCTTCCCTCTCTTCAGAAAGGATGCGTCGCCTTGAAGGTTGCAATCGGCAACGGAAACCAGGATATGGCTCTACTCTTATTATCGCATGGCTCCAATCCTTTTTTTGTCACAAAAGAAGGCAAATCTATATCAGCATTACACGAGGCTGCGGGTGCCAATATGGTCCAAGTTGTGGAGTATCTAATACAAGAAGCAGGGCTACCTGTTGATCTACCTGATTATCGCGGATTTACTCCCTTGCGTTACGCAATAAAATATTCACAGAATCGAGATCTGGACACCGAGATGCTGGAGAAGCTGATAGAGCTTGGGGCAAATATCAATAGTGAAGCTAGTGGTGAGCTCCCACTTACGTCGGCACTGTCGAGGGCAAAATATAAGCATGCATCTATGTTGCTTGATGCTGGGTCGAAAGTTGTACCGGACCAGCCATTCCCAAGAGTCAGGTTCCCCATACATGCCTTGATATACGGCTCGAAAGGGGTCGCATACAAGTGTCCGAGACAGATTGCTCTACTCCATAGGCTTGTCGACACTGGTGCTGACCTACAAAAGAAATACATATGGGGCCATACACCATTGAGGGAGGCATTGTTAAACGGAAGCGAGAGTCTATTGTCATATCTTCTACATATACTTGGTGAAGAGCAACCACATCCGGATGATCTTCTAGACGTATTAGTATGGGCTTATGAGCGTGTACACCATTTCCCCAAGAAGGTGGAAGTTGTACTGAAATGGGGGGCCAGAATGGACACCATTTTAAGTAATGGTGAATCATTCCTCTACTGGGCAATCCGTAACAACACTATCAAAACCTACTTCTTGGACAAGCTCTTAACAAAAGCGACCGATGCTATGCTTGACCGCAGCTATCTCGATGACCTTCTTGTAGAGCTCACCAGCCCCGTTTGCAGCACGACCGACTCGTATCAATTCTTACAGATTCTCGGCGAGCATAGTGCTAGACTCAAAAGCCCCGATCACCTGTACGATGTCTCCTTACATGTTATAAACATTTCTTGGACGGTGCAGGACTGGTTAATTGCGGGATTTGATATTTTACCGGCCGAGAAGCTGCACCGTCTATTTCTCCTCGCTCTGGAAAAGCGCGAAAAACTAATCCCCTACGAGTTACTCGACCGTATTGAGCCGAATATTTCGGAGCTGGACCCCGAGTGGTTACATGAAGCTGCTAAATATTGTCACTTCGGCATTATCACTAGGCTCTTAAGGTACTCTAAGAGTTCCGATTTGAATGCTGTGCAAAAGTCAACTACAGTCTTGGCAAGGTTAATATACCACGACAGTTACGAATGTGCTCTTGAGGTGATGGAACACGGCGCTGATCCAATTTTACCTACCAATCATCCAGTCTGTGATGGTGGGCAATTTCCACCTCCATATGGAATATGTCCAGGAGCATCAGCTTTCGAGATAGGATTACATGAAGGTATCCCCCTCGAAATCATCCAGAAGATGTGGCAGAAGATTGCTCCTGAGGCCCGACCTGACCCGGGGCTATTTATCCCATGTGTCTACAATGGAGAAGATAAAGAAGACCGTCACAGTGAAGTGGTCGCGTGGTTGAAACAAGTCAGAGTGAAGGATGATGGATAACTCAAGATAAGGGGGTGGTTCAGGAGGCTTGATAAACATGGAAGATGCATCGAGAGGCGCCTGATGGCTGCAAGTGTAAAGTCTTTTAATACCTATAGACGAAAATGAATTAGGCCAGTACCAGAGGCGCGAAGCTACCATACCGATTACATAGAAGTAAAAGCTTAGCAAGCAAATTCTCCGAGGTTTTAAAAAAGAGATGTGCATGCTGTACTGCTTTGTTCAGAATAAATGCTTTGTTATTGAAACGACAGTGATTATATTGCCACCGACGAGGGGGAAAAAAGGGTAGAATATAGCTAATTTCAAAGCAAGTCTTTGATTTAAAGTGACCTTCAAAGGTTTCGACCAACACGTCATTCCACTATGTATGATCAGTCATACGAATGAGCCAAAATCGAAGTGTGTAATAGGCCAAGGGGGTATGTAGATATACTAGTATGAGGTAGATATACTAGCGGTCACCTTCTATAGATATTCTATAGATATTCAGTTGATCAGGTGGGTGATATGGGGAGAAGGGCTGGATCTGTAACAGATTCTTTATAACCTATCACAATCGCGAGCTTTGTTCGAATGTGCTTTAATTCTGTAATTTCGATTATTAGCACCTGGTATTTCGAGTATAACATCAACTGTACGAATACGGACACAATTCCAAATCATCTATACCTAACGGCGTAACAACGTAGTTGCATTTTCCCTAGAGTTGGTATAGCACGTTTCCTTTCTCAAACGAGAGAGCTGGATAGAATAAATGGTATCTAGCGTAGAAGTAACGAAGACTGCTCGACAAGGCTATGTAACAAAACCTAGGCTCTTTCTCTTCTCACACTCTTATGCGTATCATAAACCCGTGACATGCAAGCATCGCTCTACTTACCCCCAAACCGTCTAATCCCTGCCAAAACGTGGCTTCCGGCGCCGATAAAATGTGGTATTCCCCTGTGCTGAGAAAGGAGGCCAAGAAAGTCGCCATCATCCGCGATAGTCGTGCGCATCATCGATTGGATAGTTGCACTTAAGCAAATCTAACCTCGTTGAACAGACCTGCCCGGACCTGAACCAGGCTCGCCAATTCCAACAAGAACTGTTGGTAGATAATAACATTGGTGAGAATGTGTGAGACCGAAACTGTCTTTACTTCGGGTGGTGTCTCGGGTGGTGTTGGGGCAATAGATTGGTCCACAACATCGCCCTCGTCTTTACTATCTTGGTCTTCTGTGGTATCTGCTTTCCCTTCATTTTCATCTTCTTGTTCCTCCTCGACATCTGCCGTAGCATTGGCACTCTTTCGTTCAAAGTCTAATGGAATCGGTTCGATCTTCTGTGCTGGTAAGCTTATTTGTTGGGCAAGTATTCCTTGATCGACTGCTGCGAATGCAGCAGCTTCACTGACTATCAGACTATCGTTACCAGAATGCTGGCTCCCAGGAGAGAGCGATCGTGCCAGTCCGCTCTTGGACGGATTATCGTAGTTTAGAGGAAATTCTTTCGGTGGAGGTTGTATTGATTTTGGGGTTGGCGATGTAACACCTTGCCCCCCTGATGTACCTGATCCCGTACTTGAACTTCGAATTGTTTCCTTCCGCCCACGTGGGCTACCTGACCGGCTTGGACTTCCAAATTCGGACAATATTCTCTGCGCAAATCCTTCAAGTGCACTGGGACGCTGTGGGGATGCCGCGCGAGATCCATCTTGACTTGTTTGATCTGGTATAGAGGCTCCCGTGGTGGAGGTTGGCCGGAAATTTTGATTTGGTATAACGGTATCAGCCGTTTGGAAGGCTTCACGGCGTTGCTGCAAGAGTTCCTCGAATCGCGGCACCGAACCTCGGAAGTAATCAACTTGATCAGCAAGCGCCTCTAGAACAGTGAGAATGCGCGGCAAGGCCGATGACTGCCATACCGGCCAACGACGGCACTTTTCAATTTCTTTTAACTTCTCAGTATCGTCAAATAAAGGGTATTCGGGGTCTAAGGGGAAAGATGTAGATTCATCAGTATCACCATCGTATGAATATCTTCTTGGGTGTCGCATAAGCCATCCCTCGACAGATATATACCCGCATACCGCTAAATCAAGTATAGTCTCCGTAGCGGATAGGTTCATCTCGACGGGATTAATGAAAAATGAGTCCAGAATATCTAAGATGCTATTCCACAAAGGATCTTCCGCGCTCAGTGTGTGTGGCAGGACATCTCCAGGTGCTCCAGGCAAGGAGTCGGGAATTATTGGTAGATTGGGGTTGTTTGTGGGGAGGTTTGGAGTAACCAGTTTGAGAGAACATGGGTGACCTTCTACACGCGACATGCTGTCTTTCAGGATGTTCTCGTATATCTCATTGAAATTGTCTTGGCCCCCAACAGACCCGGCTAGGGTAGTGAGAAACTCGACTTCTTGTTCATGAGCACCCACAGTTCTACGAGAACTATTGGTATCGATACCTTCTGTGTGGAGAAGAGTCGTAGTCGCGTACCGGTGATGCCGCTTAAGGATCGCCGCCAAGAGCTGAAGCGTAACGCATACGGTCTGCTGATTCCGAGACTTCAGGCATGATTGAATTAAATCAACTAGATTGAATAGTAAGGGTGTATAGCTAGGTTCAACTTTAGTAGCCATCATAGTGGCGAGGTCCATGGACTTTCGCTTTCGCGCAGCGCTAACCGACGGCTCGGCATCGGGCGGCGCGGCCGACTTCGCATCTGGGAGAGCTAGCAAGTAGTGAAGGATGAGGTTGATCATATCGGGATGATCCAAGGCTTCTAGTATGCGTCGAAGATAAGTTAAGACGGCCACTGATGAGCCTCCATCTACATCTGAAGACTCCAAGAGGGATGGGTACCTTTTCGAAAAGTTAGACCATAGATAGTTAGCAAAGGTTTATGTTAGAACTTACAGTAGTTGTTGCAAGAAAATGACCTGGAAATGCTCGAGAAGAGTTGATTTCACTTCCACCGATCGACAGTGGTTAAGGACATCCTGCCAGAATAGCAGATGGGAAAGGAACGTCTCTAAATGCAGCTGAAAATCTGGGCTACAAGAACTAACAATCTCAAAGGTTGATGTAGGATGTTGATAATCGGACAAAGCAAGAACTGGAGGGAGGTTCTCCGGGGGATGGTCGATAACAAGCTTCCGACTTAGTTGACTATATAACGCGCCAAGTCCGGTAGCCATCAGGGTCGACAAGTCACTCTCTACAATCCACTGTTCCAGAGCAACAGAGGAAGAAGCGGCTTCGATGATGTATAACAGACCAGTCCGAGCGAAGTCACCGATTTTCCCTTCATGATGTATATAATCCATCAGCAGATAGAAAAGCGGAAAGTCCTGCTTCTGAATCTTTCCGGCAAACTTCTCCCTCTGGTCCTTGGTCTTCTCGTCATTTGCATGGCTCTCGGGGTGGGATTTGAACCAAGCAGGAAGGATACCGGGCTCAAGGCGGATCTTAGTGGTGATATTAAACGCCAACTCGACAACCTTGACTTCGGTATCGGGACCTAATCGAATACTGTTGATGCCCGTTATACGAACCAGAAGATTGGTTAAGCTCGCGGAAAAGGCTTCACTTTCGACGAAGGCCTCCTCTTCACTTTCGATAAGAGTAGCAAAAAATAGGACGGCTTCCTTAATGATCCACTCATTGTATGACGATGTCGCTATCTTGGCGATCGGAACGTAGATCTGCTTGGTAGCGGAGAAGGATACACAAGGATGAGGTAGCGGCCGTCGGGATTCGTCGGCGAGTATATTGGTGAGCCCCTGGAGGCGGAGCTCAATGTTCTCGGCGGCATCTTCGTCTCGGGCGATATTTGGGCAGTTTCGCCATATTTGCTGGTGAAGGAATTAGTTTACCGAGGATTACCGAGGAATAGAACATAGAAGAGGTTGCTAGACTCACGAGGAGTTGGCTGTATTCCTTCTCGAAGCGTTGTCGACGTCTTATGGGATCCCGTGCGGCATCCTTGCTCGAGCTCCCCGAGGACAAGCCGGTGTTTGCTATGAGGCGCGACCACTGAAGCTAGAATTAGTAATTCTCGGTCGCGAAAAGTATGAATAGTTTATGAAATATTTTGAATTTTGGATGGTTAGATGAGGGGGAGAGTGACTTACAAAGTCCATAGCGTCTTGAGAGGCATTTCTCTCAATTCTCAAAATACGTGTTTAGAAAAGTTGCAATTATCAGCATTGAGGCATTGAATCTTAAGCTGTTTCTAATCTATTGTGGTAAGTCGCATAAATCACCCTCCAAACCCGGTGCCCAAGATGTTTCTTGATGATTAGGCAAACCGGGGTAATCCTTGCATTACTGGATTAATTAGGTCTATATCGGTTACACGATGGCTGGAGTGAGGCTTGATCTTTTGTGGCTTTACTTTGCTACCATTTGGAGGTCTGCTATGGATTCAAATTGGGATTTGTCCACCTTTGGAATTCGTGTAACACAGAAACAAGGCTAATTTTGGTACCTGTAACTCATACCCGATACACGTGCAGGTACCACACCTCGGTAAGAAGTCTCCACCATTAGATAGGTACCTAGGTACATAGTACACCTATCATTACTGTCACATGACCTAAGGTCATTGGACCCACTTAGTGTATACATAAATATATATATTTTATAAATATTAAATATTCTTCTTAAATACTTTAGAATATAATAATAATAAAGATAATATAACATATTATTATAATTAATAATTTTATTATTTTTTTCGTTTTTATTAATATAAGATTATATAATTTAAAACGGGAAAATTAAATTAAACTAAACCAATTAAACCGTTTATTAAATTTATTTGTTTAAGTTATTATTTATTAAATAATCTTTAAACTTAAATTATTATTTGCTTAACGATTTTTATTATCCCGATTATTTATTTTATAAATATTTATTTAATTAATTAATTATATTTTATAATTTTAATAATATTATATACTAAATATTAATAATTTATACAATATTTATATTAAATATATAATTATTAATTTATTAATTTTTTTAAATTAATTATTTTTATATTTTAAAGATTTAAAAAAGAAATATTACTTTTGTTTAATTGATTTTTTTTTAATAAATTTATTTTTTACTTATAAAACATTAAATAACGTTATTTATTTAATTATTATATACTTTTTTTTAATGTTAAAGAAAGAAATATATAAAAATATAATTTTAATTTATTTATTAATTAAATAATAATTTTTTAATATTAATATCCTTTATCAAATTAATTATTTTTATTTTATTAAAAAGATTATTTATTAATCTATTAAATTTTTTACTATTTTATAATAATTCTTAAATTCTTTAAAATTTTATTTTATAAATTTTAAAATAATTAAAATAACCTAATTGTTTAAAAGATTAAATTAATGTCAATTAAATATTTAATAATAATTTTATATTATTTATTAAATAATTTTACAAAATTAAATTATAATTTTTATTATTAAAGATTTTAAATATCTTTACATAAAAAACTTCTTTTTTTACATTAATTTAATTTAATTTTATTAAAATTGGAAAAGTAATTATTTAATTATAAATTAATTTATAATTTATATAATTATTAATAATATTAAATAATGATAATATTTTAATTAATTTTCTTAATAATCAATTATCTTTTAATTAAAATTATTTTAATTTTAATATTTCTTTTATAATAGTTTTTGTAATAGATTTATTTGTTTAAGTTTTTATTTATTTTAATAATTAAAATGTTAATTTTAATGCTAATAATAATGAACTGGTGCTGGTGTATCAGGTGACCTTGACCCTGATCATGTGATCATATTCTTAGTATAAGTACCATTTATGGTCGCACACACCCATTTTACATAGTATCATCCACTTTTAATACAAGTCATTCCTTTTCATCATCACCACCATTTAAAAGTCCTTGATATCAGGTCTAATAGGGCTTGATCCAAGGCCAAGACGTCTAAGTCTTGTTCAATACCTACATTATTTCTATATTTAATATAATATTTTAAAATACATTTTTTATATATTAATTAAAAATAAATATAATATTAATATTAAATTTATTAATAAACTTTTTAGAAATTAATATTTATAAATTAAATTAATATTAAAAAAATTTATTTAAAAAATAAATTATAATTATATATTAATTTTTAACTTTTTTTTTTCTAACAAATTCCTTAAACTTTTTTACGTTAAAATTTTTAATACTTTCGTATTTAATTAAAAAAATTATATAATTTTCTTTTATTTAATTTTTTTTATTTTTCTATTAGGTTTTAACTTTTTTACGTTTTTTTTCCAAATATTTAATTAACCAACATTCTTCTTTTTTACATACTTAATAATAACATTTCTAATATTTTAATATTTTTAATAAATATTATATTTACTATCTTTATTATTACAATAATATTTATAATTAATATAATATTAATTAATATTATATTTATTATTATTATTATTTTTGTTATTAATATTTATTATAAATTAACGTATTTTTTTAAAATTTTTAAATATTTTAATAAATATTTAAAATTTATTAATTAATTTCTTAAAATAATGTAATAAAATAAATAATATATATTATAATTATAATATATTATAGTATATTTAATACACAATTATAATAAATTATTATTTTCCTTTAAAATCGGATTTAAAAACGCGTTAATATAATAATAACTTATTAAGTATAACTTATAATATTTTTATATCGGATTTATCTTTATTCTTCTTTTCAATTTTTATATTATAAAAAATAATAATTATTTAATTTTGGTAATATTATATCTTATTCTATTTTATATTAAAATATTATTCCATAATTATATATATATTTATAAAACATTAATATTTAAATATTGAATAGGAGTTGGTATCTCTTACAAAGTATGGCATATCACTTCAACGTTTAAATCCTCGTAAAAGGCCTTAAATAGCTAATAATAATATTATATTTTAAAAAAACTGTAAAAATCTACTAATCGGATAAGATATATATAATAAATACGTAAAATAAGGCTATAAGCTATAAATATAAGAAAATAACAAATGTGTCTATATTAAATGCATAATTAAATAGTAATAATCGTGGTTATTTAATCAGAAAAATACGACAAATATTAAACCTTTATATGGCCTATAACCTAAGATTACATAATAATACCTTTGTTCTTAACGATGTAACACCACACCAGTTTAATACCAATTATATTTAAAATTAAACTATAAATAATTTATTTCTTATATATGTAAACATTTATTAAGATAACTTAATTGGATAGATTATAGTTTAATTATAAAATTCCAAATATATTAAAAATTTAATTATTTAAATTTATAATTATTTAAATAAAGTTTTATATTATATTTATAAAAAATATTTTAAATTTTTTAAATCTTTAATTTATATTAGTATATAATTGTTTTTTAATTGCCAATTAATTTTTAATTAATTTAATAATAATTATAATAATTATTTATTTATAATAAAATAATATTTATTCCGGGAATTTTATTTTTATCGTTTTTAAGTTAATTATAATAAAGATCTTTTAATTATTAAAAATATTATACCGGATAATTTGCTATATATAAAAGAATATTATAGTAAATTATTATTGTTAAAAATTTTTAAATAATGAAATAAATGATAATAATTAATATAATTTTAATAATAAATAAGTATAATATTTTAATTAAATTTTAATTTATATATTTTATCAATTTTTATATTTTTTAATTGGTTAATAATTATAGAATAATTAATTAAACTATATTTTTTATATTTTTATTTATATTAAATAATAATATAATCTCCTTTTATATTTTTTTAATTTAATATTTTTAAATTTAATATTTATATAATCTTTATATCTTTCTTTTATTTTTATTGATATATTAATTTTAATTTTGATTTTTTATTATTTAATTTTTTTATAATTATCTTTTTTAAATTTTAAAATAATTATATCAACTATTTTAAAATTATTTTAATTAATAAATTTTAAAGTTAATTTAATAATTTATTTATTATTTTTAAAATTTATAAATTTTTAATATTTTTAGTTATTTTAAATAAATAATTTTAATTTATTTTTTATTATACTCCTTTATATTTTATTTCTTCTTAAGTCTTTTATAATATATTTATTTAAGTTAAAGATATTATTAATTAAATAAAATTCTTATTAACTATATTATAATTGGCGTTTTTAAAATATATTAATATAGTTAAAGATATTATATAAAAATATTAAATTATTAATTTTTAAAAACTTTTTTTTTATTTTATAAATATTTTGCTAATTATTTTTTATAATTATTATTTATTATTTTTTAGTAATAATTTATATAATATAATTAATATTAATTAAGCGATATTTAATTATTTATATATATATAACAATTAAAT